CACATCTTCTAGCTACATAACTGTGACCTATAATTTTGTAATTCATGATATATATATCTATATCTGTCATGCTTAGCCACTGTTCTCTCTTTCAAAGAGTGACGGTTAAAATGAATAGTTAAAGAATGATAAAAGCTGGGAGTTTTCTGCTTTTTCAATGCATACCTATGGGCAAAGTGCGGGTGGCAATTCATGTTTAATTGACAATGAGTACCAAATCAGGGGTTATCATTAAGAATTCTAGATACATAAATCCAGAGTAAGAATTGGGAATTTGTGTAGGTGCATAGAGTGGCTGCTTCCCTACAAAGTGTTAAAACAGTAAGCATTCGCACACCACATCCCCAAGCATTTCACATGGCTTTTAGTAACCTTTCTCCAAGTGTCTCTGCTCAAGAATTTGGCATGGCCTTAAACAAAAGACAACTAGTTTTTGCCTGACTACGACAAGTAGAGGTGGAACTTGACAGCACAAAGCATATTCCAGGCTCAGAGAGGGAACCGTGCAATCAATGTGACAAAAGAGAGAATAAAACAGGGGAAATGCTTTCTGTTCCAGTGTCTTGAATATATGGAAATGTGTGTGAGGAAAGCCATGAAAGGCTGAGAAAGGGAGCACATCAAAAAGCAAGAAGAGGAAGGGAGAAAACATGTCCGATCCTGGGAAAAAGATTTAGAGAAGGGAAAGAAATGGCAGCCTGCCATCAGATCAGCCGTGGGCTGGTATATACTCTGGGGAAATCAGACACAAGGACCTGCCAAGGCTTGCATTGGTTGTGGCTTCCGAAAGAAACTACAGATAACTGCCCACATAAGCAGCACTGGCAATTGTTGTGCAACACTGCCCTCCTAGGGAGATAGGAACTGAGCTTTGATTTGTTGGCTCCCTTTGTGGCACTAGGGGGCGCTCTCCTACTGAACGGAAAGCAGGAGTACGTTCAGCACTGACCCTCGCACAGTAGATGTTTTAACAGGGACCCCCAAGGGAGCGATATTCCTTGTTTTTCCAAAGCTACGATGGAGAAATTGTGCACTCCTGGTTTTCAGGCAAAGGGTGGGGAACAGACCAACCTCCCTCATCCCCCAGCTCACACATTTGTCTAAAGAAACAAGTGGATTAGATTTGCCTCTGGACAAAGCGTCCTCGTGCATACCCTCACAAATATTATCACCCACTTTTTAAAAATAAAAAATAAAAGTTTCTATCATTAATAGGACATGAGATGAGACAAAGTGTACAGACACTATTCTCATTTTTGGGGGGGAGGGAATTAGCTTGCTCCCCCATTTCAGCATTTTACTTTGTGCCCACCCCCAGAAAAATTCCTATGCTACTGTTATAGGTCCTATTTTCCCTTTCCCAAATAGCAGTCTAATCAGATGCTTAATTGCCCCAGTTATCTGAACCGTAACTGTGGAGATTAATCTTATGCAGGGGTCAGCAAACTTTTTCAGCAGGAGGCCAGTCCACTGTCCCTCAGACCTTGTGGGGGGCTGAACTATTTTTTTTTGGGGGGGGGAATGAACGAATTCCTATGCCCCACAAATAACTCAGAGATGCATTTTAAGTAAAAGGACACATTCTACTCATGTAAAAACGCGCTGATTCCCTGACTGTCCGTGGGCCGGACTGAGAAGGCGATTGGGCCAGGTCCGGCCCCTGGGCCTTAGTTTGCCTACCCATGATCTTATGCCTTTTCCCAAGCACCTACTTGCCCTTTATGCTCCTCATCACGTTTTATGAGGCTCCTGGGGGCAATGAGATAAAGGCCTCAAAGGACAAAAAAACAAACAAATGAAGAGCCATTTACCTCCTTGCTCCCCCAGATTGTCTATAATCAAAATGTGTGTGCAGTGAACAGCAGCACCCCTGGCTGAACTCAGCTAGCAGAGGAATGCTCATATTTATAGCACTGGACATGTACACGCCTCTTAATCCTGTGATTTAAAGCTGGCTTGTGCCTCTTTTCACAATTAAAAAAACATTCTCCAAGGAAATGCAAGAACCACAGCCCACCCCAGAGTCATCTTGCATTCTTCTGTGCCCAGGGACTGTTCACTTTTGTGGACAAGATGTCATTATTTCTGGAGGTCTTAAGGTGGGAGTTTTAGGTAGGGTGGCAAGTCCAGTGCACTTTCCAGTTCACCTAGAAGAGCACGTGGACAACACACACTGTTTCTACACCAGGGATGGTGAACCTGTGCCCTTCCAGATTTTGCTGGATCCCAACAATCAGCCTGAGGCAACATGGCCAGTGGCCAGGCATAAGGCTGCCTTACAGTAGGCAGAAAAACTAGCCCACCAAGAGCCATCCCAGAGGAGAGCATGCAGCCACAGGGAGATGCCTGCTCTCAAGAGGTGCCGTAGCAAGAGGCATTTTATGTGCAAGAGGATTAGTGAAGTTTTTCCTTCACCATGAAACAAATAATATCCACTCACATCAGGAATTTTGTTTCAATAAACCCCATGCCCTTGGCAGAAGATGACCTGCAGCCCAACCCCTGGGTAGAAAACAGGGAGGAGTTGTAGCTCAGAGTTACAAAGCAGGCGCTGGAGGCTCCAGGGTCAGATCGTAGCATTTCGCAGCTCGATCGCTTAACTGGAGGTATTGCTGGAAAACATTTTGGTAAACAGAACAAAGAGGTTGGCTGCTGCCAACTGCTTGACAATACGAGCTGGGGTTAATAATACTGGGCAAAATAACCCACTGACCTGGTTCAGTACGAGGCAGCTCCCTGTGTTCTCAACACCAATTTGATCACAGGCAGCTGAAGGGCAGATAAGAAAACAGGCTGCAAGTTTGACGCAGCTCTACCTGCCTGTTCCCCAAGTCAGCCCAAGGTGCCTCTTAGCTGCCTTCCAAACCAGCAGCAATCCCCCCTCACAGAAGACAACCCCATGAAGCACCACAATTTGGTTCGGTATTTCCAAGCTTGTTTTCTGCAGATCCCCAGCCTCTTCCATTGCTTTCAGAGATGAACAAGTCAGGATCAGCCAAGAAACAAGCAGCCAAAGAAAACTAGATACACTCCTAAAATCAGGGGTGGGAGAGCTCAACCAGCCCAAAGACCACATTCCTTTCCTGACAGCCTCCTGAGGGCCACCTGCAAAGCCAAAAGTGAGGAGAACAATGAATGTAAACTTTGCTTTCATATTGTGAACAGGTTGCTCTGTCTTCCATCCAGCGAAGCAAGAGGTATCATCAGAGTTCAAAGAAAAGGCAGGGAAAACAACAGAGGGTGCAGAGCACAACCAGTGGGAGAGGAAGGCCTCGGGGGAAGGGATGTGGCTTGGGGGTGAGCCCTGTATGCCAAACAGAGAAGCCTGGAGGGCAGGTTTCAGCCCTCAGGCCTGAGGCTCCACACCCTGCTCCTAAAGGTCCTCCGCTGACTGGAAGAGAAGCAAGGAGAAACACGGCTGTTTGGGGAGAAAAGGAACACAATGGCAGTCAAGCCCCGCCCCTCCCTGCAGCCTCTCGCTCTCCTGTGCAGGGCACATGACCCTGACAGAGACACCCAGTGTTCCTTCCACTTTGGCAACTGCTTGGCTTTGCCAGCCAAAGCTCGTTGACTTAATTACAAGGAGCAGGAAGTCCGGACAAGGAGAGGCAGCCCCTTGCTGCTCCAGTAGAGACAAAGAGCAACACTGGAAAGGAGCGCTGAAGGCCAGGCTGGCAGATGGCCTCTGTACAAACAGCAGAAGGGGAGGGGGTGCAGCCACAGCAGCAACAGGCCTCTTTGACTGAGGGTCTCCAGACTCTCTGGCCGCACCCGAAACGGGAAGAGCTGAGGGAATTGTTAAGGCAAGTAAGAATGATCTGGTTCAGGCGCAGCTACTCAGGGATGGTCACAGGAGGGTGACCAGCACTGGCCAGAGCCACAGTTCTGTGATGAGAAGGACAAAGCCACACACGATGGGGGGAGGTGTTAATGAAAAGCCGGCCAACGTTTTATTGGGGTCTGAAGGCAAATACCACTCACAGCTGGAGCCTCCTTATTGGCAAGGAGGAATGGCATGAAGGGCCCCTCGGGGCAACGAAGCAAGCTCCCAACACACAATGCAGAATGCCAATTACGTTTTCTCGGTGTGTCTTTAATTCTGAGGTAAAACTTTTTTGGTTTTCCTGTAACGGATGCAGGGCACCAACTCAGCACCGGCCACACACGGATCGGGGGCATGGCACTCCCACACCCCACGGCTGCCCTTCTCAGAGCAATACAAATGGTGTTTGCCCGCCCACCCAGGCGGTCAGCAAAGGGCATTTTCGCCACCAGAGCCTTTTCTACTCTCTAGGTTAAACCCCACTGGCTGGGCAATGCTTTCTCTCCTTCTCTATCGGCTATCCTAAAGAGGCATGTTTTAAACAGCAGCAATTTTCTCCTCACTACAGTAGCTCCACCAAACCCATCACACCTCTCCTGAGGCCTAAGCAGGCTCCAGGACTCCCATTTTCTAACCGTGCCCCCTCCCTCCTTACAACAGAAGAGCCAAGCACCCCTCTCCCTAATCCTCTCCCAAAAGAATGCCGACTGTGGGCACCCAATTCCTCCCTCCTCCCCACCTCCAGGCTACCCTTTGACAACTTTCCCCACCCTCAAATTCCTGCTTCTGTTTGGGTAGCTAACCCAAGGCACCAAATTGACTCCTGTGTTGGAGATACTTCTGGACAGCAAGGGAAAGGCAGGAGAGGCGAGGCCTCATGGCAGCCCCCCTACCTTTGCCAATCCTCACCTCCAGTCACCCATCTGCCTGCGCACAGAAATACTGTCAGTGGGGGGGACGGTCCCTTTTCATTTTTTTGCCCCTTAAAGGGCCAGTGGCACAGATGGGAGAGGTAGGACAGTCTCTTAAATAGTAGGTCTGCTACATCACTGCTAAAGAAATATATATATATAAAAACGAGAGGCTGGCGGCTCTTATTTCTCCCTTTCCACCTATCACCACTGCCTGCTGCACCAGGAACTAGTTTGCGGCCGCAGAGATTCCAGTTGGAGGCAGCCTAGTGCAAGCAGGCCAGCAGACAGAGAGTTATCAGCAACTGGAGTCCCAGGTTACTGTGAAGATAGGGGCCACCCCCAGGAGGGTTCAGCTGCTCCTTGCATCCTTTCCCGTGCCATCCCTGGTAACAGTGGCACTGGAAGTGGGCCTTGAGGAAGGCAGTGTCATCCTGAGAGAAGTTCCCCGTGGCCTCAAACAGCTGCTTGCCCTGCCCAGGAGCGTTGCGGTGGATCTCGAAGCTGGCTGGGTTGAGATGCAAGAAGACGTCAGTGTTGCTGAAAATGCGCCGGCAGCGCCCGTGACCGCTGCACAGAGTGTGGCTGCAGAGTTCGGCAGCTGTGGTCACGTTGACGATGTAACGGCCAAGGCCTTCCTCTATGTAGTTTTTAATCAGCTGGCACGTTTCCTGCAGAGGAGAGGATTCAAAATTAGCAACAGGAACTGGGAGATCAGCAGCTACAGTCAGGAGGTGAGTTTTCGCTCTTATTGAATCCCTGATACAAGAAGGTCCAATGGAATCATCTATCCATCCATCCATCCATCCTACAATCCAGCAGTTTAGATTTCTGAGCCAAAATACATATCTGAGAGTAAATTCCTTTTATTTCCACGGAGCTTACTTCTTGGTAAGCATGCATAGGGTTTCTGCCTTGGTCAGTATTTTTCCCTTTCCTAAACCCTAATAATACATTACTTATGTGTGGAGCATTTCTGTGCGGACCCATGCTTCCAAGTCCTGAACCCAGGTCTGCAACCACCTCAGCTTGCACCCGACTTCGTCTGCAGAGAAAATTCAGAGCATGAGCACCTGCTTGTGCAAAGGGGCTGCATGCAGTCAGGACACCCAGTCATGGAGGAAGAAGGTCTGATGGAGGAGGCGGGGCCAAAAGTCCAGCCCCCTCTGCTGACATGCCCTACATGTGAATAATGCATGAACAGATGGGGCTCTATTTGGTAATGGGAATTTATCACTTCCCTCTTTCAATAGGATGCACTGAAAAGACTTAAGACATCAGATCCGGATGACACAATCCCCACAGCAGTCTGTACTGTACTGTGTACCGAATGACACAATCCCCACAGTAGTCTGTAGTTGCTTCACATCCTTGCAGGAAACTTGGAAGAACTGTTCCCAGCGCTGCTTTGCTAAACTCGGTGCTTGAAGGCCACTATAAAGGCAGTGTTGACAGCTCAATATGGCTACCCGCAGCTGTTAGGGTGTAGGCTAGGACTTTCACAGCGCAAGGAGGCCTTCCTCAAGACCGAAAGGCTCGAGTTGTGTACAGCCTCAATCTCTACTATTTACACTGAAAGCAGTTACTGCCCATTATGTACTCTGGACACCAAAGGGAGTATCTCTCTATGGTTCCATCTCTTTAGGAAATGATGCATATGCTTGGTATCAGCCCTGGAATGGCAACTAGTTGAATTCAATACAAGGAAGTGCTATGGAGGCCTTTGGTGGGGACCATGCCCCGTTGGACAAAGTAGCAAAGCTCCAAGGAAGAGTGTCTTTGTACCCCTCAAAGCAAAACGCCATTAGTAGTCAAAAGCCACCCTTCTCCCTCTAGTACCAGGTGGTCGTTGGGTTGACAGTATCTATCTATCTATCTATCTATCTATCTATCTATCTATCTATCTATCTATCTATCATCTATGCATGTGTATGTATGTATTGGTTAAAACAATAAATGGTGCAGCATGTAACAGGCAACACAGGATCTGGGATTGAAAATAAAGCAATGGCAGTAAAGAGAAACAATACCAGCCATAATACAATACAAGCTAGATCTTTTCAGGGAGACATGAAATAGCCACTCCCTTGGGAGTCATGAGTTGCCAGGGGACTACAATTTGCACTTGACTACAATTTGCTCATAAAGCTTAGAGGGAAACAAAATTATGTCAAATTTATCATGTCTTGCCATGCCTCTTATTACTCTGTGGTGGTATGTTAGATGTCTAGAAAGCCCATTTGTCCCACACCTGAGACCACCAGTGTTCCCTAGAGGGCCTTTCTGGGGTTTTCTGGCATTCAGCATCTTCCAGGTGTTGCCAGTATCTTTTTCAACACATGCCTCTTCCCCCGACAGCCCACCAAAAAGAGGCTGTGCTGATGCTGAGCTGCTAAACTGAACAAATTGCAGAAGTAGCTCCACTAAGAGGGCTGTCTGCTGAATTAAGACAGGACCCGACATGCTCTTGGCAGAAGTGAGATCGAAGAGCCGTTTTATCTGAAAGAAGCTCCCACTAGGCTTGTCTCTCTGGGGCTGGTGCGGAAACATACATACCCGACTTTTAGTGTTCTCTGCATCTCCCCAGAAGATCGTACCAGCTACCCCCAGAGCAGCACTCTCCCCAATGGTGGAGATCAAGTCTTTCTGGAAAGAAACATCCAGGTAGTTCCACAGTTAGTACAGATACAGAATATTAGGAGATTAGTAGGATACTCTCTAGCTCAAGAATGGATAGAAGCTGTTCCGGTTGCTGTATTATGACTGTTCCTTATTATATAGTAAAAGCGGGTGCCTTTTAACACCAGTTTCAGCATTATGGTGGAGAGATACGCACAAAATACACACTGTCAGATAAAAGCAACATTTCAGAATGATGAAAAGAGGTGAAAGCCTTGCCTGGCCAACATGTGGGAGGGAGTTCCTTGTTGGTGCTGTGGAGGAAATGGATGGGGGACTGCCTGCTCCCCTGCTCCTGAAGGCTTCATTCCCATGGAAGTAAGGTAAAGGTAAAAAGGTAAAGAACCCCTGGACGGTTAAGTCCAGTCAAAGGCAACTATGGGGTTGTGGCGCTCATCTCACATTCAGGCCGAGGGAGCCAGCGTTTGTCCACAGACAGCTTTCCGTATTATATGGCCAGCATGACTAAACCGCTTCTGGTGCAACGGAACACTGTAACGAAAACGAGAGTGCACGGAAACGCTGCTTACCTTTCTGCTGCAGCAGTACCTATTTATCTACTCACACTGGTGTGCTTTCAAACGGCTAGGTTGGCAGGAGCTGGGACATTGTACCAGGAGCTCACCCCGTTGCGGGGATTTGAACTGCCAACCTTCTGACTGGCAAGCCCAAGAGGCTCAGTGGTTTAGACTACAGTGCCACCCGTGTTCCATGGAAGTAATCTGTTAGGGCCACACACTTGCAGTGGGCAGGGCCAGAACCTCTCTACATGCAATCTCTCAAGAATCTGAAGATACAGAAAGAGTGTAAGGTGGTAAATTATCTTAAGTTAAAATCATTGCCACCTCTTACATTTGCCATCCGTCAATGCACATGCACCACACACCAAAACAGGTGTCACCTGGTGTTGGTAGGCCAGAAAGTTCCACAAAGGATTGGGAATGCCCCGCCACCCGAAAATCTGGAGAGCGGCTGCCAGTTCATGAAGGTAGTACTGAGCCAGACTGAGCAATACTGTAGTCTGATAGTAGACAGAACAATGGTAAAGCACAGCCCTAATTACATGGAGGATTTACTTTCATTCAATGAGCACTTCCCAATGCAACATGGGCAAGTTCAGGGACACAGTGAGACATGCACAAGGTCCTTGGAGGAAGGCTTGTCCCCATCCTCACTTTCAGCATCTACATTTTCAGGCAGATGTGTGAACATGCCTCTGGTAGAGTACAGACAACCAGGACAAATCATGCTACACCGAATGCAGAGATCATCCCCAGACCTGAAGGGGTTGGGTGAGGAGTGGAACTGCTAATTGTATTCTATGGATGAATAGGCCTTTCGGCATGTGTGGTTAAAGCTGCCATTTTATTATCAATGACTGTTGCCGAGCAAGAAGGAGCAACAACTCCTTTTTAAAAATATAAAGCTTGGGCGTTACTACCCCTTGCCTAAACATGTCTGAAGTTTGTCATTTTAATTAGCGTTTCACTTACACTGCTTACTTTCAGAGCACCCTCTAGTTAATCTGAATGATTCCTAAGTAGCAGGGATAAAAACCTCCATTCACTAACTTCCACTCTATCCATGGGCAAAGTCAGCCACATAACGAGCAAGGGTTGCATTTTTGAGGCTCTAGAACTCACCACTGGCCACAGATTATTATTTTTTTCCAAAATGCTCAGCTGTAAAGTTGCTCCTGCCTTTGGTTAGAGGTAGAGCATGAAACCAAGTTAAGATCTCAAAGAGAGAAAGACCAAGGTGCATGCAGGTATCATGCCCACCTCTGCTTCTCCAAACAGCGGATCTGCAAGGTGCAAACTTATTAAAGTAACTTACAAGGTAATTGCAACTGCTGACATAGGTGCCAACTCTCTGGGGCCCTGGGTGCCCGAGTACCCACAAAATTCCCCTTGAAGGGGAGGGGCCGGGCACCCACAAATTTCAATGGCACCCATGGCCCCGGGCACCCAAGGTTGCGGGGCCAAGCTGGCACTCCTGATCGCTGAAGTCCAGTTGTGTAAGGGCAGCTGAAAATTCTGTTTTGGAAACTTCCCCCACCCCAGCCAAGGCAAGATAGAAGCGGTCCAGTCTTAAAACTCATCACAGAGCCCATTGTAAGCCCATTCCTATTGTAAGTAGCAAACTCAGAAGTGATGGGTCCCTTTATGATAGTCCCAGCCACACACCTTCTAAGATTATACAACAATCTTATAATGATAAAATAGCAATAACTGGGGATGTGTTGCAATAAAACGCTTTCCACCTAAATCTACTGTTTTCTGCACACATACTTGGGAAATGATTTGGAGTGCTCCAATATCTTTCAGAGTAACTTATGTTGTGTTTTTCATAATGTCTCATTACATGTAACATAACTTGTACACCATGGGTAGACAAACTAAGGCCTGGGGGCCGGATCTGGCCCAATTGCCTTCTAAATATAGCCCACGGACGGCCCGGGAATCAGCATGTTTTTACATGAGTAGAATGCGTCCTTTTATTTAAAATGCATCTCTGGGTTATTTGTGGGGCATAGGAATTCGTTCATTATTTCCCCCGAAAAAAATATAGTCCAGCCCCCCACAAGGTCTGAGGGACAGTGGACTGGCCCCCTGCTGAAAAGGTTTGCTGACCCCTGTTGTACACCATTCTCTTGAAACTCAGGCACCTTGTGTTTTTGGTGTTCCAAAATGCTTAGCTTTGGAGCATAGTGGCTAAAAAAGCTTCCCTTTCATGCTGATCATGTGGCTTAAGGTCACTGGAGACTCTGCTGCAGAAATAGTAATGAGCCTTTGATTCCCCCCACCCCAAGGCCCCACATCACTAACACTACATTGCTGCCTGCTGCTTCCTGTAAGTCCAGCTAGGATAGGGAAGTTTTTTCCTATATGAGGGAAACAGAAATCATACTGCAATAGATTACCGATTACAATACAGTTACAGGGACCAACTATCTCAGAAAGCTTTCGCTCCCAAGTGGGCCAAGGCAGAAGACAGAAGATAGTACATTTTTGCCTATGGACAAGCCAGTCACATCAATCCTGACACTAGCCTCAGTGGTGCTCAGACCTTCGGGGCATCTGAAAGATCCTGCTGCATCTTACAGTGCCTGGTAGCCTCAGAAGTTACCTTGGGAAACTGCAGGAAGCAGAAGCAATGCAGCTTGGCTTTCAGCACAGATCTACACTCCAAAGGCTGTGGCACCATGGCAAAGGACTACTCTGAAGTTGGCATGCCTGGATGCTCTTCAAGCCAACAGAACTTGGGTCAATAGACTACATCCCCTTACCAACCCTGTGTGCTTCAGTGCGCCAGAACTAAGCCCACCCACAGGAACAATTTGGAGTGCAACTTCCGACTTCTCCAGCTCAGTGGTCCCCAATGGGCTGGACATGTATCCAGCCCAATGGCTCCCTATTCTTTAGAAAAGCCCTTGGCAAAATGCCAGACTAATGATTCTTTCTAGGAGAATTAAATGCCCATAAAGAACAGCACTTTCTTGCAGCAGTGCTGCCACAGCCATACAACTGATGAGGGAGACAGACAGAAGCAGCTGCCTCCTTCCCTCCTCAGCCCCACCCTAGACTTCTTAAGTTTCCATTACACATCAAGTCAATTTGCTTAGGACCAAGATAAAGGAGAAGTCCTTTCCCACCTCCCATTGTACAGCAATTCCACAGGAACCACAGCTCACAGGTGCTTCCTGGGAGCAGTCCCAGCCCACAAAACTTTGGTTGGAGACCTAATTAAAGCTTCTGATAAGCAGCCTTTATCTGATCATGCTTATCAGCTATTACCACAAACTAATGCATCTCAGTTATTGCTATAACAGGTCTGAACAACGTTTGACCCAGGAAGGCAAAAGCAGCTCACCAGCTAGGTATTGGTGGCCAGCTAAGTGCCAAGTAGCCTCCCACCCTAGCCCCACTGTTTCAGTCTCAGGCAGACAGCACACCAGAAAGTTTATTACACCCCTGGAGAGTGCCATACATTGCTGGTGGATTACCTTTTGGGAGGGTGGATCACAAGCTGGGCTGACCTGTCCTTCAGACTGCTCCTCTACATGGGACAGAAATCCAACCCCAATGGCCCTGGATTCTTGGCTATTTCCCAATTCCAACAGAGTAACATTTACCAGATAGGAAAGGCTTTCTTACCTCGCTTAGGACATTCTGTGTGCGTATATAGGTGGGCCTGGTGTAGACAAAGACCGGTAGGCTATAGTTATCATGGTGCTGCTGGGAGATGCGAAGGGCCTCTCCTACCCGAGACCTCACAAACTTGCGGCCATTTGTGTGGTTGGCCAGCACCTGCTCCAGGTAGATGGAAGGGTAAAGGGCAGTGCTCTCCTTCCAAAGCCAGAAAAGATGGTCGTTGCGTGACTTCTCCACATCTGGGCAGCACCCTGTGTAGCTGTCCTGGTTCTTACTGTAGTCGTGGTTGTAGCAGTCGGGGAAGAGGTAGAAGCCCCACAGCTGCCGGGGGCGATAGTACTTGGCGTATCTCAAGGTCTCGCTCATAAACTCACGGGCATACGACTCAAATTCATACTGAGCCTCCTTCTTCACCTGGTCCTCCAGCAGGTGAGGCTGCCGAGCCTTCACAAGTAAACGGGAGACATTGCGGTAGATGTCTTTCGACTGCCAGTTCCGGACCCAGATGGGTCTCCACTCTTCCCAGTCGATCACAGCCAACCCCTCCTTTGTCTCAGTGCGGATGTATTTCCTAATACTAGATTCCAGTTGGTTCCGATGCTGCTGTAAATTGCTGTTTTGGGGGACACCCCCATTCACAGCCTTCCCCCCATCATAGTAGGGATAGAGGCCCAGGCGCTCTTTATAGAAAATGGTCAAGTTCTGGTCCACAAAAAGTTCATTGGTCGAGGCATGAACGTCAAAGATGCTGAGATCTGGCTGGACACCATAGCGAGGCTTGCATTCCTCGGTTGGCGCATTCCAAGCAACAATGAAAGGCCTGCGGGTGAGAATGGGGGTGAAGGCGGGCTTCTCTTCGTCCTGCCCAGGGGCGCCAGCCACAACCAGGAACACAAACCAAGTCACTTCCAGCACAGAGCTTCCCTGCATCCTCTCCAAGTGGTTTGGGGACAAGGTTGTGGCAGGTTGCAGGCAGAGCAAAGGCCTGCAAAAGAAGACACAAGAAGAGCAGAGAAATATGTGATTATGCTAAAGTAAGGGAAAGGAATCACACTTTTTGACCAGGCGCAAACTCCTTGGTACAACAGTATAAGCTAAAGGTGGCCATTTGAAATGCTTCTTTGGAAACAAAGGAAAAAAGAATTCCTCAACCAGAACTTCTATCTCTATCAGTAAAACTCCTCCCTCCACTAGTCTTTATCGTACTCAGAAGGTGGGTGCTAATTGGGAATTGAAACACACACACACACCAGAGAGCTGGCCTAATCTGGTATACAATGACTGTGGCAGTGTTCAGAATTTAGCTATTATTGTTATGATCCCAACCCCCTTTTAAAAAAAACCTGTGGCATCTCAACAGGCAACATGCTTTTATTTTCCAACTTTCGTACCAGTTCCCAGAGCTCCGTCTGCAATCTGGCGTAACCCACCATCTGCTACAGGACTGAGAGTTGGAAAAGTCTACAGAGTCTAGCAAAAGCATGGCAGGCACAATCAAATAAACAGCAGCGGAGAGCAGAGCAAAACCTGGCAGAGAGGTTCTCAGAGCCTCAAGAATCAGCATGCAGGGACACATGTGTCCAGAAAACCAGCCGCCTGTTTATTTAGCAGCTTCAGGCCTGCCAGCACTGCAGAGATACTTCCTAGACAGGGCAGTTCTTAAGGAGAACCTTCCTGCTTTCTTTTCCCTGAAGGCCCGTCATCAGCATAACCCTAGACTAACTGGTGGACCTAGAGGGAGAAAGGGCCATTATACAAGCATACAGATTGTACAAAAGCACCATTGGCCTCAGGAGGAAAATGGGGCAAGTAAACAGAGAAGTTAGCCCATCAGAACCCTGGCAGCAGAAGCTTTTCACTAAGGAAGCCAAGCAAGTGAGACCTCAGCTTTGATGACCCTTATCACTACTGCTGAAAGAGAGTCCAAGAGCTACTTTGAAAGAACTGCATTTAAAGCCTTCCCCAGCAAAGGATGGTCCTCCAATATCAGAACATTTTCTTAAATTTATACCAAAATGCCTACCTTCCTAACATGAAATTCAGTATTGTCTCTTTCAACACATCAACAAAATCAACACAATTTTAATATTTTTTAAAAAGAAAGTTATCCTTTGTTTGTAAAACTTTGCTTCCCCATTATACACTCTTAATATCTTGCTGGAACAACATAGCTTCTAAAGTTTTGGGTCCCCCCCCCCCCCACAGAAAAGTTCACAAGGTGAACTATTTGGTGGAAAGAAAGAACCCCTATCAAATAGCATTTGAGAGGAAAGAGTTGTGGGGAAATGTGGATGTCAGCAACTGAACTAACAGAGTCACTTTTGAAAAAAGAAGAAATAGCTTTAAAGACTGTAACTGCAGCAATCGGACAACGCTAGAAGAACAGGCAGCAGCAAAAAGTGGAAAAACTTAGCTAGAAAAGAAAATCAAGACTCAAGTAGTTACTGAAGCCGGGTCAGCAGGACAGATGGAAGAGCACTTCCACGTGCTAACGCAAAGACCAAGTCAAATATTCCGAGTTCCGAGCGAGCGTGATCTTTCCAGCAAAAAAATCTGCCCACTAAAAAGCAAGTAGCTTGAAACCGGGATGTTCAGCCAAAATGCAAACCAGAATCACTCGCCACAAAATATTCAAGCGGTGCACATAGGAAGGGGCCGGAAGAAATAAGTTCAAGCGAGAGAGAAAAAGATATTTTCCATTCACTGGCTCGGCTTCCTCAAAAGGGCATTTCATCAACTAGGAGGCTTGCCAAACCAAGCAGGGAAAGCGATCTGCAGTCTTGCAGAAAAACTTACCCCTGCACAGATGCGCTAGGGGACCCGAGAGAGGAACAGCTAAGCAGAAAGAAAGTACTTTAGGAAAAACCACACTAAACACACACACACCTCCTTCTCCTCCTCTCCGATTCCCAGCTCAACTTCAGACACTCCTTGCCAGCCAACTCTAAACCAGCCCTGAGGGCTCCTCGAGCCGCATCTCTATTGTCCTACAGTCCTGGGGCTGGGGGCGGGGAAGCTCTCTGGGTCCCCCGCTGTGCGAACTCACCTGGGTACTTAACTTATCACCCCCCTTGCCAGCTTAAGCAATATATCCTCCTGGGCGCAGAGCAGCCTCTACTTAAAGGGCACATGAGCCCAGTACCACCCACCCGCTTCTCCGGCAAGTCCGCTTCTCCCTTAAAAGATCAGAGCGAGGGACAGCCCATTGCCGATTTCAGGAAAGGGGGAGAAGGGGCACACCATGGAACAAGCCTTCTGAGGACTTTTGCGCGAGCAGCAAGAACCGAGAAAGACGTTTGAGAGCTGATATCCTTGCACACTTTGATTTTGCAACGCTCGGGTGCAAATGGCGTTGTTTCCGCCCCCTCCTCAGTACTGTCCGGTGTGAGTGCTCCCCCGCCTACCGGAGCCACTTGGTACAATCCAGCTGCTTTCCGTATGCCAAGTGTGGCTTTGCCTCTTAAAGGGAAGCGAACATCTCAGCAGTCGGGTGGAATGTAATATGGTAGTAGGCGAGGTGCCAGCAAGTTCGCAGACCCCGGTGAGCAAAGGCGGTTGCAGTCACCCGCCCACCCCGGCCACCCCCAGCCTCTACAGGAAAAGGCGATGGGTTTATGGAGGAGTGGGGCTTGAGTTGCCCGCCACTCAGAGCTCTTCTTCGCAAGGGGATGCTCACTCGGGATCAGGAAAGCCAACTTGGCTCCGCGACTGAGGGTGCCCAGGGCCTTGGGTGCCATGCAGTGTGCATGGCCCTGGCACTGAAATTTGTGGGTGCCCAGCCCCTTCATGGGGAATTTTGTGGGTACTCAGGCATCCACCCAGGGCCCCTGGGAGTTGGCACCTATGCTTGGGACTTTCTTCGAGGTAGAAATTGCCAGGGCTCAGCCCTGGAATTCATTTCCAGCACAGTACCAGAAACCTGGGAGGAGTGCCCCTTGGCATGTGCCGAGTGCCCTTCCTTCAAAACTCAACACACTCACAGCAACCCCACACCGTGCATATCATTAGAGAATAAAGCTCCTCAATCAAAGGGTGCAACAATTTATATCAAGCTCAGCCAGCATAGTGCCCTTGATATGTTGTTGGACTACAACTCCCATCAGATTCGGCAAGTTCGTGCGGCCAATGATCAGGCATGGCAGGAGTTGTAGTCCAACGTCGGTAAAGCCCCATGTTGGCTGCCCCTGGTTCATATCATTTATGTACACTTACATGAAAGGTTTAGAGTGCAGCAAGCTTTCCTTACATCGTGTGTACAGCAGCCCGGCAACGTACATCTGTTATACAGTATTATCCTCATTTTTGCATATCACAGAGACTGAGAAATGGTCATATAGTGAGTTCTTGGAGAGGAGAGATTTGAGTTGGGGACTTTTCTGATTCTGAGCTTGGTTGCAGGAATTGTGCCACACTAATTCTAGGCAGGCTTGAACCCCATCATCCCTCTTTTTAGCAATTAAGTGTTGTGAATGTTGTAGGCAACCAGTGCTCTCTTCATTTTATCTATGTGCCCACCAATACCTCCTGAAGCTGCCCCCTTTATTCCATCCTATCAGAGTCCCTGTTCATTTCTGCCTTACCTTCTCTGCTGAATAAAGTGTTTTTCTTTCTTTCTATGTAGTTTCAGAACAATGACAAGGGACAGTATTTTATATGATCAAAATTGTTTGTTTGTTTTAAACCACCTTTCCTGTTTGCATGGCTTGCCATAGACAATTAAGCCTCAGCCCTTCCCCAAAACTGCCGCGATAATGAAATGGAGGTGGGGTAGGACTGGAGTTCATGAGAAAACTTCCTGAGATGGAGAAACTGTAAAGGAGGGTAACGGAGACTCCTGGCTGGCTATTACTGAGCTTCATTAATCCAAAATTCTGGGGTTCATAGTTAATGAAGTTCTATTTCTGGCCTCCCAAGGAGCCTTGAGCGAGAACTGTTCTATAAGAGCTTTTGCCCCAAACAAGAATTTCTGAAAGCCAAACAACTTGTGGGCACCCCCCTTCCCACACCATCCCTCTCAGTGGCAATTGGTATAAGGATTGACTTGGGAGCACTGGCTCTATTATCAAGACCACAAAGCGGTTGTTATGTCCAGAGCTTGGAATCCCTCAGAGCAGTCATTTGATTATAGACTGCAGATAAGCATCTGCCGCAGGAGCAATCTGCCTTTCACTGAACAGCCATTGTCTTGTGAAGGAGAGTCTTCTTCCCAGGAATGTGCCTGTCGGCCTCGCTGGGTGGCTCCCAGTATCCTGGCAACAGGGGGCATGATGCCAATGCAGGATGCTGCCATTGCAAACAATTAGCACATCCCTACCGGCCAGTGCTCTGGAGCTTTTCCAAAGTGCCACTAGAAATTGGGAGAAAATGCAGCTCTTGAGAGCCAAGATGCCAAATAGTTGGGTTTTGTTCAACAATGAAGTTTGGCTCCTTTCCCCACATGCTGTCACCAGAACACACACTTCACCAGAAAGCATACCCAGAAGTCAATGGAGAGTGTCTCATTTTGGAAGCCCAGGAAAAATGCTGCAAGTGACACCAGCCTGATCAGGCCCAAGAGCATTCTGTGCTCCCAGTGTGTTGACTGGTTTTTTACTGGCACAAATATTAACATCTTGGAGTGTGGACCAGAGAAGGGCTGAGCAGCCTGGTGGCTGGCACCATCCTCTGCCTTATCTGCTCTTCTCTTCTTGGCCAGTAAGACTGTTCATTATCTGACTGCTTCAAGTTGATAGTATGACTTAGGTGTGTATGGATTTTCTTTTTCTTTTTTCTTTTAATCTGCTTGCAGGATGAGTATTTTTGCGGAACCCACTGTGTTGATTGAGTCATTACAGCTGGGAGCGTGATGGTGGACCCAGAACTTACCTCAGGTTTGACTCATAAGTACTGACGAGGCTGTGTGTGGTGGGGTTAATCCTGAAGTAATGACATAAAGCGAGATTGCTCCCTTGGGAAGCGATAAAGGACACTGTTAGTTAGGAACAGGAATTATTGGCCAGTGCCCAGGTCCTGTGAGAGAAACAGGCCTGTGTCCTGAGTGAATGTAAGCCTGGTTCTGTTGGGGTTCCCCTGAGTGGGTATGGAAAACAGATTCTGGCTTGCAGTGTGGGCCATGTTTGTTACTACTGGTCCTTCATTTGCTATCTTTGACCCTAATCCCTGTGCTGCACACACTTTAATTGGGTGATGGTGTGAAGATATGTCTTGGTTGGGTATGTGGCAGGGAGCTACTATGATACTACCTCAGTTTTGGTAGTTGTGAGCAGGGTGAGCTACAGTTTAAGTGGAGAGGCTGATGATCATCTGGGGAAATGGCTGGTCTCTATGCCCTTTTTCTGACACCTCCACTGCTTTTGGTTGCTTATCTGCTGAGTGTCCTGGTCTTGTGCTGCTTCTGCTGCTGTGTCAATCATCTTGCTTCCTAACAGGCTTCCTGAGCAAACTGGCAGAGGAGGCCTTTACCATGGCCAATAATTCTGGGTGACTTTAACATCTATACAAAGGTTGCTCTTGGGCCAGTTTGTGACTTTGCGACCTCTGTGGCAACCATGGGCTTCTCTTGAATGGTTGTTGGTCTGAAAGATCAAGCAGAACACATCCTGATTCCTGATGTAGTCTTTGCTCAGTGGTGTGAGGGATGGACTGTAAGGGTATGTGCGAAATGCATTCCTTTGTCATGGATGGGCCACCATCTAGTGAAGTTGGATTGGTGGGGACAATTCGTCCCTGCAACTATGGTGGGTCTGCTCAAATGGTCTGTCCTCAGAGACTGAGGAGAGTCACTTTACAATGGAGAGACTTTGACTCCACAGTAGTTTCAGTTTCAGTGGAAGTGTCCAATTACACAACCTTCGATGTGTTGTAGAATCACTTTCAGACGATGTGGACACATGGCTTGCAGCTTTCCTTTATATCTATTTGCCTTCTTGCCCTCTGTTCCTCTTGGCTTATTAAATCTAGCAGAATAAATTTAACTGGTTGGGTTTAGAGTGTGGTAAGCTCTTCTTGGGGATTTTTCTTTTTTGATTATGCAGTCTATGCGTTTTGTTGGATAATATTGTCTCCCGAGACAGAGGGATGCCAACCAATTGCTTGGGACGTCCTAGAGTAAAAATGTATGTATGTATGTATGTATGTATGTATGTATATGGGGGGGGGGGTTGCTTTTTAAAATAATTATTCCAGCTTAGTTTCCATCTGAAATAAAAAAGTTCCCTAAATCAACAGAAATCTCTATGAGAAACATTTATGGCTTTTTAGTTTAGAGAAAAGGGAAGTAAGAGGGGTCATGATAGCAGCGCATAGGACTGGACATGCTGTGGACAAACTGGATTGCAAAAAAACCCCCTTTTCTCCTCTTTCGTAACACTGGAACTCATGAGCATTCTGTGAAGCTGGGAGTGGAATATTCAGGACAGAAAAATGTACTTCTTCACAGAGCGCCTAAACATACTATGGAATTCACTCCCACAGGAGGCAGAGATGACCACCAACACAGATTATTTTAAAAGAGGATTAGACAAATTTATGGAGGGTAAGGCTATCAATGGCTGCTGGGCACAATAGTTACGTTCTACCATCACTGTTGGGGAACAGTAAGCCTCTGAATGACAGTTGCTGGGAATCACAAATAGGGAGAGCTTGGGTCCTACTCTGGGGATTCCCATAGGCATTTGGTTGGCCAGGATGCTGAACTAGATGGGCCGCCACCGACCTGAACCAACAGGCTCTTCTTATGTTCAGGCACTGGATGCTGCTGAAGAGAGGAATTATATGAGATTTGCAGCAAGCAATCCTATGCATAGTAGTGAGGCTGTGTGCAGGCCAAGTTAACGGCACAGGATTAGGAAAATAGGAAGCTGCCTTATACTCAGTCAGAGCATTGGTCCATCTAGCTCAGTACTGTCTACACTGACTGGAAGCAACTCTCCTGGATTTAAGGCACAAGTTTCTCTCAGCCCTTCCTGGAGGTTCCAGGGGTTGAACCTGCGGCCTTCTCCTTGAAAGGTAGAAGTTCTTCCCCTGAGCTTTGCCCCTGCACCTGCTAGGGAAACAGGTGGCAAGCAACCATGATTCAGTGTTAGGTGCATTGTGTCATATTGGCACAACCAGAGAGAGGACCCACTGATTTTTGCTTATCACGTCCCTTACACTGTTCTCAGCCTCCCGTCGGATTGTGAGGGGGACTTCTCTGTGCTAATTAACCTCTGAGATTCTTTGTGGCAGTTGACTTGTTCACAATTGCCACCTTCCATGGGAGGAACAGGACTGTTACACAGTTCAAGGACATTTCTGGTTGTGTGTGTGTGTGTGTGTGTGTGTGTGTGAGAGAGAGAGAGAGAGAGAGAGAGAGAGAGAGAGAGAGAGAGACTGGAGATACTGTATAGCCAGTCTGTCAGAAAAGCAGCCTTTTTGTTGCTAAGTTTCACACCACTGCAGGAAAATCCAGCTTTTTATTTGGAGCAGCCAGATAACGCCAGGGAACGTCTGTTTCCTTCCTGCACAGGAAGTTCCTCCACCCAAGCATCATGTTAGAGGAAACCCCTGAGGGGGTTTGCCTCTTACAGGCTCAATTTTGTACGTCAAAGCTATACTTTCGCCACACACGAAAAAACAAACTGCATCACCAGGTGTGGCCAAGAAAACAGTGTGATGTCCAGAACTATGACAATGCTAATAAGATTTCCAGGTTCCTAGATCCCAACAGGATACAGAGACATTTCTGCAAAGAGGCACTGGAAATTTCTACCACCTGTCCCTCTGGCAGTGCTTCTGCACCTGTAACAGTGCGCTGGTACTTAGCGATAATGTCTTTAATTTTGAGGTTCCCCAATGTGGTGCTCATGGCATCCATGGTCCCTGAGCAGCATTCCTTTGATGCCCACGAAACCTCTGAGACTCCCCACCCACACTCCTGTTGGTCAAGAGGCAGTGAGAGTGGTTAACTTTTTTTCCTTTGAAAAGTAGATACATCTGAAGGAGGAGGTTTGGACAAGTGACTTTCTTTCCCACTGCTGCATTAAACCTTATGCTTTTTGAAATTCTGCTGAATTAATTTGACTTTTTCAGAGATTCCTTGGAAAAGCAGAGCGGGCATGTGCACAACTTCATTCTCCCTGTTTGTGTTGTGACTGATCCAGGGGACAGAAGTGATCAGAGGGGTGGCATCCACAGCACACACTCAAAAATTCAAATGTGCCCATGGGCTTTAAAAAAAAGTTGGCAACTCCTGCCTTAAAATTCAGTAGTAGAAATTCTGTTTTTTAAAAAGCATATTGGGAAATGTGTGTGTTGCAGGTACACACTCATGGTTGTAAGTGGGACGGTAAACCAAACACAAACAGGAAGAACTGCTGATCAGTAAAAATAAAGGAAAACTCAGACCTGGAACCTCACATAAACTAGTGTTTGAATTCTTCTGTGTTTCCTTTCCTTCTGACTTCTCTGTTTATAATCATCCCCGCCACCCCATTGTGTGTGTGTGTGTGTGTGTGTGTGTGTGTGTCTGATGGTGAATTCTTATGCCATAATAAATATGTTGGACCCACAAGACCCATTGCTGTTTTTGCTGTTAACAGGGTAATATGGTGACCCCTCTAGAAATCTTTGTAAGAATCCCTAAGCTGAGAGATCTTGCAAAGTGTGCTTGCCGGGTGAGAGGCCTCAGTTGGACACCACAGGCTGCCTAACCAGTGTTGCTGTCCCAGCCACCCCCCAGCCACCTGTTCAGTCCGACCCCCAGTTCCTCTGCCTTTTTCCAAAGCAGATCCGGGATGGGGGAGGGGAAACCAAAGGGCAGCCCATCTGCAATCTGATCACAGCTCCCCCTCCCCCCTCTCCCCTCTAGGAGTGGGGGCCCTGGCTAGATGGCTCCTCAAAGGACTGAGTCCTTTCCACTTCTTCAGAGGATAAAATTCCCAGTGGGAGGGAGAGGCTGGATGAATGCACTTGGGCAAGGCTGCAAATCTCTCCAGATAAAGGAGTTGCCACAGCCTGCCCTCACAATGGGGCTCTCAAAGGGGGTGGCTAGACTGGGAAGGAGCACAGAAGTTCGTCCCCACACAAAAGAGCTGGACGGCTCAAAATCCTGGCTGATTAGCACTGAGGAAAGAGGTGGAAGAGGAGATTTTTGTTATCGGACTGGACCTCTGCAGATCTGGGATTTAGAAATGCCACATCATCTTGGAAAGGCTGTTTTCACATGTAACACTTACCAATCTTTCTTTTCTTTTTGCATTTTCCATGCATAAAATTTGAATGTAAAAACTGGCTGTCTTCTGTTTTCATTAACATGCAAGGCAACACATTACTATCTCTGAATGTGCCCTCAGTTTAAGTGATATTTGGATACTCTCTCTTACACACACTACCCAAGGAAGCTGTTTTTCTCCACCTCTTAAGGTCTCTGGGGAAGAAAATCTAGTGTTATGTTTACAGTGGTACCTCAGGTTAAGTACTTAATTTGTTCCGTAGGTCCGTACTTAACCTGAAACTGTTCTTAACCTGAAGCACCACTTTAGCTAATGGGGCCTCCTGCTGCCGCCGCACCGCCGGAGCATGATTTCTGTTCTCATCCTGAAGCAAAGTTCTTAACCTGAAGCACTATTTCTGGATTAGCGGAGTCTGTAACCTGAAGCGTATGTAACCTGAGGTACCACTGTAATTAGTTTTATTTAAACATATACCTAGAAAAAGGGCTGACCATGTATTACTCTTCAGTGACACCCAAAGCTAGTTATATCATTTAATATAACATTTGCATTTACTACACATGTTTGTTTTTAAATGCAAGTAGCATCAGTTGGGGAGAACTGATAAATATCAGAATCACAGTGGCAAGGGAGGGGAGGAGCTTAACCCTTTCTTCCCTTATTGTGGTCCTGAAGTGAACCCCTCTGGCTTCTCTGAGGCTGCAAGCCTATCTGCACATGCCAGGGAATAAATCCTATTGAACTTTTTGATGCATAGGATTGCATTGTGAAAATGTTATTTGTATGGAGAGACAGTGTGCTGTCATAGAGTGTTGAACTATTACATGGGCGACCAGAGTTCAAATCCCCACTAAGCCATGAGGCTTACCAAGTGATCTTGGGTCAGTCACTATCTAACCCACCTCACAAGGTTGTTGTGTGGATAAAATGGGGAGTGGAGAACCATGTACACCACCTTAAGGAAAAGGTGGTATATAAATGTAATAAAATAAATAATAAATTTGTATGGAGAGGACCCCCCTCCCCATTAGCATCAGATGGAAAGTTCTTCCCAATGCAAATAGCACTTTCAGAGGAAGGTTTTCCTCCACAACCACATCAGAGAGTGGAAGTATGTAAGTTCTCCCTCTATATCTGCTGCAACCCCAACAATTATCATCTTCCCACAAGCTGATATTTGCATTAAAAACAACAACAACAACCTGCATCTTAAAGGCAAATAAAATTTTAACTTGATATCTAGTTTTTTCCTCCCTTTGTCTCATAGTAGGGCTGGCCATGCCTTTAAGAGAGAGCCTTTCTGTACAAATAAAAGGTCTCATTGAGGGTATGCACCATTCCTGGCTGTAGGCAGAGGCTTACATGGCTGGATTTCTCAACATACACCTTACATGTAGAAGACTGGGCAAGACCACACCAGCCTGATATCTCATTATCTATAGCTAGGTTTGTTGTAGTTTTTAAATTGTTTGGACAGAGCCGTAGCTAGTGGGGGTGTGAAATGTAGCCAGGTTTTTTGCCCCGGGTGAAGCCTCTAGAGGGGTGCTATTGATGCTCCTAGCCTGTGTGAATGTGTATGCAAATGTGCATGTGAGGGGGGCCAAATTGTTTTTTTGACCTGGGTGAAATAAAACCTGGTTTGGAGGAGCAATTAATCATCTGAGCAAGCACATACAGATGGAAGAGTTTCATCCCACATGTTTAATACCTCAGGGAGAACTAAACCCAAGTATGCCCTAGGCCCAGCTTTTGCTTCGGACACCTAAAACTTTTTTTAAAGTCTCTGTTGTGATATCTTCTTGCAATATGTGGAAGGAGGGTACATACTCAGGCTGTAAAATGCTGACAATGCTTCTGTTCATTCTTCCCTTTCTTAACAAATAATGATAATCTGGGCAGAGAAACATTCCTGCTCAGGGAAATTAGGAAGCTTACACAGCCTCCAAAGCATTAAAACAAAATGAAGTCTCAACAAAAGGGTCACAGAATAGCAAGACACTGCTGTGTTTGTGTGTGCGTGGCGTAGAATAGTCTTACTGACCACATGAGCTCTCTGTTCCCACAGAGCAATTGTTGAACAGGGACACCAAAGAATTGAAAATAGAAAATGGGATGCCCCAAATGGTGTGTTCATTGAAGCATGGTGGGGCCTAGAATGTGTCTCTGTCATGAGTGCCATGGGGGTGTCATGGAGGCATCTGCAGAGGAATGGGAGTTGGAGCTGGAGGACCCTGGCGAGGGTCCTAGCAAGATGTGGGTGGTGGAATCAGGACCTACCCAAGCCCAGGGAGGGGTGTAGCTGAAATCTGGATCCAGGGAAGAGGCTGTGAGCTCATCCACACATCTGCTTGGCCTGTATTTTGCCCTGTGAAAATCCTGCTGAGCCTTGTAACCTGTACCAATGTACCAATCTGAGTTGAGCATGATAGTCTTTGGCAGAACTGGGAGTTTGAGTTCTTCATCTGGCAGTGAGGGCCAGGACAGTCTCATATACATCAAACATTTAAAGCACATTTCCCCTCTCAACTGTAGTTTGTTAAAGGTGCTGGGAATTGTAACTCTGTGTGTGTGTGGGGGGGTAAACTACAGTTCCCATGATTCTTTTATTTCGGTGGGGGGGGGAGAGCATTATTTAAATGTGCGGTGTGCATGCAGCCACAGCCCACAGGGAAACCTGAATGGAGATAATAAATACATTATCTGAGGGAAGTACTACATTTCCTCTTGAGAAAACATTGTGGCCTGTATGATAAAGCAGTATCTCTGAAACAGAAAAACAGCCTTCGGAGGGTGTATGAACTATGTGAAACCAAAGAGAAATGTGCAGTGATTGCACAGGGAAGTGGAAGGACCCTTAATCGCATCCTTTTGGCCCAAACTTTTGAGATCACTGATTCCAGGAGGTCGGCCCAAGACATTTTTTGCTGCCTGAGGTGAAGGACAAGTTCTCCATCTCCCCCATTCCAGAAGCTGATCATATGACCAGTTGAATCTTCCTTCAGCACTCGCAACTGGGCAACATTATTCACAGCATCCAATGACAGCAGGATAGCTCTGGGGTATGCGTGTGCAGAGCAGGTTCTGTCCTCCAACACCTCACCACCTTTCCCTGACCACGGACATCTGCTCCCTAAGGTGGCTGTGTCTCCCTCACTTTCCTTTAGTCACTTGAGCCGTTAAAAAACCCCAACAACCTCAGTTTTCCTCCCATCCATACAGCCTGAGTAACTTGCACTAGGTACACCAGGATTAATCACCAGAACTTGTTTTCAATACTACATCTGAATCCTGGAACATGTAAAATAAGAAAGAGCTTTTGGGTTTCTGCAGGGCTCACTCCCCTAATCCTTGAGTGGCTACAGCTGTGTCCCTTCTGGCATTTGGGAGAAGCTGTGTGTGTCTCCTGATCATGGGTCAGGGAGAAGGCTTGGCTTACCTTCTCATTGAAATCTTTTTTTTCTACAACTCCAGGCAGGCCTCAGCCCCAGGATCTCTCATTTCTGAGATCAACTGCTGCAGGCAGCACATATCATGCTGTCAGTTTTCCTCTCATCTCAATGTAAATGGTCAGTTCCCTACTGTGCCCTCACCCGACTGTAGGAAGACAGGAAGCTGCCTTATACTGAATCAGGCTATTGGTCCATCTAGGTCAATATTGTCTACACTGACTGGCAGCAGCTCTCCAGGGTTTCATGTAGGGGGTCTCTCCCTGCCATATATGGAGATGCCGGGAATGGAGTCTGGGATGTTTCATATGCCAAGCAGATGACCTAAGGCTAGTTCCCCAAGGGAAGGAGGCTTGTAGGGACATTGTAACTTCCCCCGACCCCTCAGATGTGTGGTCTTTGCTGCCTGTGACTGGTGGCAGCCCCTGTGGCTGCGCTACACAATAAAACTGCCCTTCGCCTCTCTCTGCTTCGAACAAACAAGCCTCAGCATGTTGAGGAGATAACACACAGTTCCATCTGACTTCTTGACAGCACAGGAAACCCACATGCGCCCGAGCCGAAGGAAAATCCCAAAGAAACGCAGGAAGCCAGGCTCATAACAGGCAGGAAATACGAGAACACTTGCTGACATTCCAGAACAGGGAGTGAAACAGTGCCTGTTAATCCCCGAAGCCAGCACTCTGGGCCCCCTGAGCTGTTCCTTAATGTCCATTCACACAACAACCCCCGCATTGACTCCTGCTGGAAATGTAATTCTGTTTAGCACGTTTTGTACATTCCTCTGATTGCTTTCAGGCATTTCATGGTGGGTGTAAATGAGGCTGATAATAGTCTCTGGGCCAACAGGTATCTCAGATAGGAGAAACCATGTTTTTTAAGCGATAACCATCTCATCACCTGTGTGTCTGTTGTATTCTTTCTATCACCTTCTACTATGGGTTATACTGATGGTCTCTAAACCACTATTCTTCAACCATGGGCCCCCAGATGCAGCTGGACTACAACTTCCATAATCCTTGACTATTGACTAAGATGGCAGGGGATGATGGGGGCTGTAGTCCAACAGCATCTGGGAACCCACGGTTGAAGAACATAGCTCTGCACCTTATGTATGCACCAGACCCTTGGCATGTTGGAGACCCAGTTCTCATTGAGGTGGTAAATCTTTTACTGGACCTTACCACTTCAGACAAGAGGCAATAACTGGCATTATTTAATGCTATCTGAGGCAAGCCCCCCTTTTAAGGCCCACCCCCCACTAGCTGTCAGACATAAGGGTTTAAAACTAGCGTTCTGACAGCCATGGAGAACTATGACTCTTCAGATGTTGTTGGACTCCAACTTCCAACCAACTTAGCCAAAAGTCAGGGATGATGTGTGTTGTTGTCCAACATCTGGAGGGCCATCCCTGGTTTAAATGGTAAGAGAGATTATTTACATTAGAGGCTAGGACAATGGCCCAGATAAGGCACTGAAATGCTTTCACTGGCCATTAGAAATAATCTAGACAAGTATACAGTCATCTGGCAGACATGTTTTAGGTCTGCTTCATATACTAATGTGATGAGTGGGATTCAAGTATTCTTAACAAATAACTAAATTAAAAGTAAATGTAGATTCTAGATGTGTGTCAAACATATATGCAATGTAAGGGAACCAAAATTGGCTGTGGTAGGAATATTTCACAGCAAATTGTTTCTGTAATCATCCATTGTATGTAATATGTGGGGTGTACCTTATCTGTATGGAAGAGCTGGAGAATCCCAGGCCTGGGAAGCTATCTTTTTCATTTTCTTCAGATCAATTTTGTTTATAGGCTGTCACAATGAAGGGGGAGAAAGGCAGGAAAGCTGCTCACTAGTTGGAGTTTATAGGCCACTTGGACTAGAAGCTACCTGGATTAGTAATCTGGCCATTTCAGACCAGCTAAAGTCTCCTAGTTGTCTTTGACAGCTGACGCACATTGAACACTTTGCAATAATCATAGTGCACTAGTTATATTTTCTTCACTACAGTCTTCCCCAATTATTTTCTGAATATTCAAGGTATTCTGTTGTCCTTGACAAAGTCCCAAAGCAATGTTTAAATGTCATTTGTTTTTAATTAGGCACACTGTTTGTTGCTGTCCGCAGATGCTCCCTATTGGTTCTCAAAGGCTACCATGACCAGATCAAGGAACAATTAAAGAAGCTTTCAGAAAGAGTTGGATCTATGTAAGCCCAGGATCCAGACTTTAACAATGGAATGCTGTAAATGCTTGAGACAACATACAGTAGCTATTTGTTTTTGTTTGCTTATTAAAAAAGATATTCCCACCAAATTAAAAATGGGTTGTTTTACAATCATCGAATCAGAGAATCATAGAGTTGGAAGGGACCCTGAGGGTCATCTGGACAAATTAAAACAGTAATCCAGTTACAGTTTTAAAACATACATTTCAATGTACATCTAAATAATAATGTTCTATGGTATTTATGAGGTGAATCTCAAGGGAGAATTGATTCCAGCATTAAGACTTTCTCAAAAAAGACTCTACCTGGAGCCACAAATTATGGACTAAAGAAAACAGAAGCAAGGCTTCTTTGTGTGACCTCAGAAACTGAAAGAACTGAATCTTTCCCTAAATAATGTAATGTTGGGTCATCTTAACTCTCCTTTTAATATCCATTAAATGGAGAGTGACTTTATCAATGCAGAAAGCTCTCTCCTTTTTCCATTGTAATAGTCTATGAGAATCCTTTTCATTCAGACAGATGCTCTTCTGCTCTCTATAATTTCTCACTACTGTACACTGTACTTTTATCTCAAGCGGTAATATTTACCCACTAGCTAAAAGTAGCCCAGTCAAGCACACTTGCTTACTTTTAAAAGAGCTGCAGCAACTGGTTAAACTCTTTGAGCAGAGCACAGACGCCATTGTGGGGCTTTTGTCTGAAAGTATATGCTATTAAGTCTCAGCTGTAAATATTCTGAGGCAGGTACCTTTGATAACTATTTGCTGCCTTTCCACGACACTCAAAGTCAGCTGCCTGGGGCCTAACAAACAGGTGAAGACTTTGTGCAAGAACAGGAAATTCAGAGAAGCAAGAGTGCCAGATAAGACATAGCAGGCATAAAAGACCGTGATGTAAGAACCAAGGCCATGCAGAAGAACACTTTGGAAATAAAAAAATTCCTTCCAGTAGCACCTTAGAGACCAACTAAGTTTGTTATTGGTATGAGCTTTCGTGTGCATGCACACTTTTTCAGATACGAAAGCTCATATCAATAACATACTTAGTTGGTCTCTAAGGTGCTACTGGAAGGATTTTTTTTATTTTGTTTCGACTACAGCAGACCAACACGGCTACCTACCTGCAACTAGAACTTTGGAAATAGGCCTGGAACACTTTTTTTTTTTAGATGGCAGGAAGCTGAGATGGTGGGCCCTGGGTGCCACCCTTTTAGCTCATGTCTTCATCCAGCTTTGAAGCAAGCATTGCTCCTGCTTATACTGAGTAGAAGAAAAAACAACTCAGGACAGAAGTTCCTTAAGCCAACTCAGGACACCACACTGCAGTTTCTCCATATCCTGAATATGCATTTAACGGCCTCTTAATAATAATAAATTGCCTTGTAGACATTTTTTTCTTTGCTTCAGTGTTGCATCATCAAGAACTTGTTTCCATGCAAAGAGCGGAAAAATATATTTATATAATTAGCTTTCTTTATTAGGTTTAGCCACTGGAAAAAGAACCCAAGCCAGAGTAATAGGGACGTTCTTGCCAGGTCTCCACAGAACACCAAAACTGCTCCAAGAACAAGTCTGAGAGCCTCTGTTTGAGCTGCTCAGCCTCAACCTCAAAGGGACAATGGATTTCTCAGCAGATACCCTAGACATTCTCTTGCAAACCTCTAACTTAGCCATTTCTTGCAGCTCATTATTGCAAGCCACTCGTGCATCACTCTACACCAATGATGACAGACCCCTGCTACCGTTTAAATAAGCATTTTTCTGTCATTAAAGAGAGATGAGTCAAAGGCCTGGAATATGCTTTTGCCAGAGGTTAGTGATTCTCCTTCAACTTCCTTCTGCCTCTCATTCACCCATGGGAGTGCAAACAAGTCAGAAGCTGAAGTGAATCAAGGTACTGTTATTTTAAAATAACTCCTGGCATAAAATGGATCCTATTGGCGCATCTATATCCCCACCAACACTGCCAATCTCCCACGTCCTGTTCACCACATCAGCAAGCCAGTGCAGTTCCAATACTTCTGCAGCGCTTGGAAATATCTGGTCAGTACTTACAATTGACCTTGCAATTCCAACGATCTCAGTTTGAAGGTATGGACACATCTCAGTATCCTGAGAGCAGGATTTCCTCTGCTTGTCAAAATGCTGATGGTGATGCCAGAAGAACTGAGTCAGCATTTGAGCCTCGGTTCCTTCCTGCCCCAAAGATGCAACTCTGCAGTGTTTTTCAGGATCACGAGAGGAGATTAAAAGGAAATGAAGTCTTCCAGAGTGTTCCTGACTATAGTTACCTACTTGGCTATAGATTCACACAAGTAATCACAGCAGTACAGGGGCAGTGAATCCTCACTGCAGCTGGAAGGGGGGAATGGGGAATAGTCCAGGAGAAGAAAATCACAGAATCACTCATGCAGAAAAGTTGGAGAGTGGATTTATTTATTTTTTAAAGAGAGTGGGAAGGGCAGGTTCAGTATTCTTCAAGATACGGCACCACCCTCCCTACCCACAACACCACTTGCAGCAGGTTACGCCGCTCTGTTGCAAGGTGACCTGCAATCCTGTAAGCCCCTATTCTTAATCTTGAAGGGAAATATTCCATCTCAAGGCTGAGTGCATGAATTTGCCTATGTGGGCATTCAGGCATCAAGAGCCTATTCTCTTCACTCTTGGAAATCAAAGAGTAATGTGGGAGAGACTGGGTCTTTCATTTTTAATCCAGGAAGGTGGGTTTGGGATTTGGAGCCTAGTCCTAGATATCCAGGGACGCGGGTGGTGCTGTGGGTTAAACCACAGAGCCTAGGACTTGCCGATCAGAAGGTCGGCGGTTCGAATCCCTGCGACGGGGTGAGCTCCCGTTGCTCGGTCCCTGCTCCTGCCAACCTAGCAGTTCGAAAGCACGTCAAAGTGCAAGTAGATAAATAGGTACCGCTCCAGCGGGAAGGTAAACGGCATTTCTGTGCATTGCTCTGGTTTGCCAGAAGTGGCTTAGTCATGCTGGTCACATGACCCGGAAGCTGTACGCCGGCTCCCTCGACCAATAAAGTGAGATGAGCGCTGCAATCCCAGAGTTGGTCACGACTGGACCTAATGGTCGGGGGTCCCTTTACCTTTACCTTACCTAGATATCCAACAAGGAATGAGGCATGGAATATGGCTTACATCTCTCGTTAAATTGGGATCCTACAGAGGATGTCACGCTGGGTTGCACTGAGTACAGGAAACATTGGGTTAAGGCCAACTAAAGTTTTACTACCTGAGGTGGTCCTGTCCATTAATTTTGATGACTCTGCTCTATGACTAACACTGGATACGACTCATGATTTACAGCAGTACATCCCATTCTCTGGAGGGCTCAGAAAAAAACAAACACAGATGAGAACATTCCAGAATTTCTGCTGACATAAAGATCCTTCTGACGCAGAACAGGATGCCCAACTAGTACACTGCTGAGCACCAGCAGGTTGTGCTGCTTTATACTGAGAGGACTAAAGGCTCTAAGGCCGGTGTGGAGAACCTTTGGCCCTCCAGATATTGCTGAACTACAACTCCCTGGCTGAGGCTGATGGAAACTGCAGTTCGGCAACATACAGAGGGCCAGAGATTTCCCATTACACTTAAAAGAAACTTAAAATACAACCCTATGCCTGTTTACTCTGAAGTAAGTCACACTGGGGTCCCCTTGTGAATACAGTGGTACCTTGGGTTACATATGCTTCAGGTTACATACGCTTCAGGTTACAGACTCCGCTAACCCAGAATTTTTTTTTTTTTATAATGATATTTATTAAAGTTTCAAAAAATACGTGAAAATACAGAATAAAGAAAAAAGTATAAGATTTTAAGATATAACAAAAACGTAAAAAATAAGGAAAAACATACAAAATAAAACAGTTAAAAGCACAATAATTTTCCATAACCTATCTTCCTTGCTCTTATTTCCCGGACCTCCTCATACCTCCCTTCTTTTTATTCCATTTCATTTTGTTGGTTCAGCAAATCCTTACCATTAATCTTTTACCCAATTGTTAACCTTTTTTTTTTTTCATGTCTCTTAAAAGCATTACAGCTAAAAACCTCTTAGTTTCTGTCCGACATCCTTCTAAAATTCCTTAATTTTGCAATATTTCTGTAAATAGTCTTTAAATTTCTTCCAGTCTTCCTTCACCGACTCTTCTCCCTGGTCTCGGATTCTGCCAGTCATTTCCGCCAATTCCATGTAGTCAATCACCTTCATCTGCCATTCTTCCAAAGTGGGTAGATCTTGTGTCTTCCAATACTTTGCGATAAGTATTCTTGCTGCTGTTGTAGCATAACCCAGAAATATTACCTCGGATTAAGAACTTTGCTTCAGGATGAGAACAGAAATCGTGCAGCGGTGGCAGCAGGAGGCCCCCATTAGCTAAAGTGGTGCTTCAGGTTAAGAACAGTTTCAGGTTAAGAATGGACCTCCGGAACGAATTAAGTACTTAACCCGAGGTACCACTGTATATTGTTCCATGCCACCCCCAATCTCCAAGAGCAGTGGAAGAGGCTCCAGAGATTCCAGGCACTTAGCCAGGGATCACGTTTCCTTTTGGAAATGAGGCACAGCAGAGACTGTGGTGTCTTTATGGTATATGGTTCATTTACACACATATATAACCTGAGCCTGTGGTGGAAGGGCTCACAGCATTAACACTCCTCTAGGGTTTTGCTTCTCCCATGGCTGTGGCCTTGGATCCAGACAGAAATCTGCCATGGCTCTCTGAGGCTTTGCTCCAGTTTGCTGCGTTTTATAGACTGGCACTATTTTCTGCCACATCCCAGCCAACTACAATCCTAAACTCAACCCTGCTTCGCGTATCTTTCTGTGAAAGGAGGGGCTCACACCCACCTGGCACAGATTGTTTGCTTTGTTAATCGCCTGTTACCTTCCTTTCGTTATCCATAATGGCTCTTCTCCCATGCAATTTCCTGAATGGGAAACTGGTTTGGCCTGCATTTTAACACTTTGCTAAATCCAGCATCTGGACGTTAAGCCTCAATTAAACTCCAGTACCCACTAGAACAAGGAATTTAGGGGGGTCGAGGCACCCGCAAACACATGACAATATTTAGGGATGCAGCATCAACATATCATTTTTGGATCCAAAATATTAGAATTTTGTGTAGACATGGTGACATGGTGTCTCTACAGGGAAAGGAAAGAAAAAGCCTCAGGTATGGTACTGGGCATACCTTACACTGAAGATCTTGACCCCATTGGCTTGTATAGGAAGTGCTGCTGTGAAGAGCAAGACCCGGGCTGGCATCTCAAGAACCTGGATCAGCAGAGGAAGGAACTGGCAACAGAGCACAGCTATCTGGAGCAGTACTGGGGTTTTGCTGCATGGTTCAAAGGCAGGTTTGTCTTCTGGGTTTGGCAGGGCAGGGGAAGGGACTGTTCCAGGAAGGGCTGAGTTAGGGATTTTCCACTAGGAGCTGGAGAAAGATTTCCTTCATATATCTCTTTTGTACATGATTTACCGGGATCCAAAGAACCACACAACTCGTCCTGCACACTTGTGAGAGGCTTTCTCAAACTGCAGTGGCCCCCCTCCCCATGCCCATGTCCCCTGGCAGGCAATGTTCAAGACTGACAAGACTCTAGAAAGCAGCCTGAGATATGGCAGGAGGGTCTGCAGTTCAAAGAAAGACAGGCAAAGGTCAAAAGAATTTGAGAGGAGGCCTGCTGCATCAGCCCAAAGTCTTTTATCTAGACCTTCTTCCTGTTTCTCACAGCAGACAATGGGGAGCCCGCGAGTAGATTGTGAGGGCAAGAAAACTCTTCCACAGCTATTTCCTTGCAATTGGCGTTTAGAGGCATGCTGTCATTGATCCTGGAAGTATCATATAACCATCATGACTATTAGCCATTGATCATCCATGTATTTATCTAATCCTGTGCTTGAATTACAGGGAGGGGGGCGGAATTCCAGCCCCCTTGCCCTTTTTTGACAGCTATTGTTTTTGGAACTTGACCTGTGGGGGAAGGAGCATAATGAGGCTAAAAAAAGAGGTGCATGGCTAGGTAAAAACCTGTGGATTTCATTCAGAGCTCCATACATCCATACCCACTATATATCAACCATATGAGTGCCAATGGGAGCCAGTTATTCCTTTACACCTTTTAAGTTTCAAGGGTTTCCACTGGGTTTGAGACAGGCTCTTTGGCAGGCCAGGCCTTTGGATGGCACAGCAGGCGAAGGAAGAACAGGGAGGCAGGAGGATGCAGTGCTGCAGAAAGAACATCTAAAGTGCAAGGGCAACTGCCCTACATTTGGACCGAGTTCGATGCCAGAGTCCCTGAATGGCAGGACGGTTCTGGGGACGGGAGTTGTATTCAGGAAAGGAAACAGCCAGTGAGTCACCCCTCCAGAAGGTTCAAGGAGGAATAGAAGGAACAGCTGTTCAAACTCCGCTCCATGCCAGCTCTGTGGGTAATGCGGAGAGACAGCACTGGACAACATATACTCAAACAAGGCATGGAGCCAAAGAGTCAAAGATCTGCTGGGACAGTATCGCAACACATTTATTAGGACCCACTAAATTTTAAAATGTGAAATGTAAGCTTTAGAGTTACACAAAACTTTTCCTCAAACTGAATTTTATTTTATTCTTTTTTTTAAAAAAAACACAAAACATTTTTTACAGGAAGACAGAAAGCATGTTGTTAAGTCCTGGCTTTCGATTTGTTTTGGTTTGTCTTGTTTATTTTGGAGTATTTAGACTGTACCAAAAAAAAAAATCAAAAGTTATCGAGGCAGCTTCCAATACAGTAAAATAGACAATTCTATAGACAGCACTAGAGCGAGGCAAAGGTGTATATAAATTTCTCCTCTTAGTTCTCTGATGTTCCAGCAAGTGCCAGTCTGCAGCAGTTGAATACAGAGGCAGAGCAAGCTGCTCTGGCACCCGGAGCGGTGCACATGCTGTGCACCTGGGGGGCAGGGCTAGTTGGGGGCGGTGCAACAATGTCACCCCCCCCCCAGGGATGACACCTGGAGCAGACCGCACCCCCTTCCTCCACCAATGGTTAAATCTCCTGCCCAGAAACTGACTTGAAGCAGCCAGGTGTGTGTTAGTCCCTTGCAGGTCAGGGCTTCCTCACTACTTTCTGTTGTCTCTTATAGACCAGCCCCTGGGCTCTGGAAGCAGGTGTTGGAGGAGCAAAGGTGTTAGATGCCTCCTCTCAGTCCTCAGAGGTTCCAACTGCTGCTGGGACTGTTGAAGGTTATGGAGGAACTTATTGAGCTGTGTTGTTCTCATATGACATTCTTCTTTTATCAGCAGAATCTCACCTGTGTGCATCATCCAAGGCAAGCAATCGTAGACAATGACTGTAATCGTAGACAATGACATTGTAAGGGTTGATAATTCCCTGACGTTGTGGTTGGAGCAGGAAAGGCTCCCAAGAGATAATGCCCCTTTCTTTGGGAACCTATTATGCAGGTCTTCTAAGTTTCCTACTTTCCTCTGCTGCTGAAAGATTGATTCCGGCACGTAGTCAGGAAGTGACATTTTTGCCTTCCCATCCACAAAGGACAGAACAGAACAGAACACAAAGAAGACAAGGAAACACTCCCAACTCACTGCGCCCCCAACATCCCACCCCTCAAAACGGGTCAACAGGAAATTTTCCTGCAACACTGCCTGCAAAATGCTTCTCAGCTCAAAGCAAATCTCTCATCTGCCCCTAAAATGGTTTGATTTGTATTCCTTTCATCATGGTGTCCTCAACTGTGCTGAATGTCCCACTGCCACCCAAGAAACCCTACTTTATTTTCAAATAATTTCTTCATATAAGCAGGGATGTTTAAGTCATATGATGCTGCCTTTTAAGAGGTAAATGTGTCTTTTTATCTACCTCTTTGTAGATACCAGTCTGAATCTGAAATGCAATTGACATCTTCCAGATATTGTTTTCCTTGTTTGTTTAATTTGCAGATCGCTTCCTGCAAATTACACTTTTTTGAAGCTTGGCTCTTACAAGTAGGTTGTTTAGGAAACAGTTATTAAAGAAAGACAAACCACTATATAGTACTTAGAATAGATAGATTGGGATAGAAGAAAACTGAGCGCTCACAGGTAATTTGCAGAAGCTATCAGTATATGCCAGAGCTTACGTGGTGGCAGTGAAGGCATGCTGTGCTGCTTCCATTGCACCCTCACTATGCCATTCAAGAGAGGTTTTCCAGGTAGTACTGAGCCAATTGCATTCTGGCCCAAAGGAGCTGGTAGAACCAACAGTAGCTCATTGTGACCTGTTTGCAAAACATTTTGAGGCTAAAATCACTTGTCTCTGCCGGGACCTTGATTCCACTGTTACAGCAGATGAGTCTCAAGAGGTGTCCAGAACACTGGCTGGTGCTGTTGTGTTGGATGAATTCATGTTAGTAAGGCATGGACAAAGTGCTTGACTTGGTCCGAATACCTGTGCTCTTGCCCCTCATGGCTGATAAAAACTTGCAAGGAAGATACTGCTGTGGCAGGGAGGTGGTTAATCCCTCCTTGTGATCCCTAGGGTGGTCCCTGCCTGCTTAAAGGAGGTAGTAGTTACAACCACTTCTTAAGAAACCCTCCCTGGACTCAGAAAATATAAATAACTACCAGCCAGTCAGTCAGTCAGTCACTAATCTTCCCTTCTTGGGCAAGGTCCTCAGGTGGGTGGTGACAGGCCAGATCCAGACATGCTTGGATGAAACCGATTCTCTAGCTCAATATTAATCTGAGTTAATGCCCTGTTTTGGCACAGAAACTGCCTTGATCACCCTGCATGATTACCTCTTTCAGGAGAGAGACAAGGGAATGTACCTCGATTAATTCTCTGTTGCTTTCGATGCAGGTTTTTCAATCCCTTTACAGTCTGCTTTGCAACTCGTATGGCAACAGCTTTAAGCCTATCCACCTTATTTATGACCTTTGAATCCCCGTCCTTCCCCCCTCATTTTATTCTCTGAACAGCTATATGAGGCAACATAGGTTGAGAGGTAGTGACAGAATTTGAACATAGGCCTCCCTGATCCAACTGAGCATCATTCTAGCCACTAAATACCAGCTGTGCCTTCAACAAGGGGCAGGGGTGGACATAGGTTGAGGCCTTGGATTTGCTAGTAGCTATTGATGTAAGTGTGATGTCATACATATCCAATGAGCAAGTGCAACTTTTAGAAGTTTAAAAAACTTAGATGGTGAAGTAAAGATAGCCTGAAGAGAAGCATCAGGGAGAGTCGGGGAAGGAAGGAAATGAGCAGATGGGGAGCAGGACTGCTGCCAGGGGAACCCTGGCTTGACTTTTATTGTTCAGGGGTCATCACAGATGGAATAACCAGAAAGAGGAAAATAATGTAAGTTGAACAAATTGGAGATTGGTTGGGAAAACAGATCTTTGCCTGGCAAGTTCCAGCACTGCCCCTGCCCACCCTTCCCCTCCTGATCATGGATATTCCACTTCTCATTTCTTCCACTACTCTTCCTTTACAGGGTCCTGGGTTAGCTTCCCAATGCTCAATCCACATTGAGAAGTGTAGGGGGGGGGTTGAGCAAGAATTAATAACCTGAGCAAGGAACTCTAGCAAGTGTGCAAACTAGGAATAGGGGCAAACTAAGCTTTTATAGTCACATGTGTGACTATACTTGGCAAGGTATAGTCACTTCAAAACAAGATATCTGCATTAGGCAGCATAAATTACAGTTGTACCTTGGATTTCGAACAGCTTAGTTCTCAAATGTTTTGTCTCCCAAGCGTCACAAACCTGGAAGTGACTGTTCCGGTTTGCGAACTATTTTTGGAAGCCAAACGTCCGACGGGGCTTCTGTGGCTTCTGATTGGCTGCAGGAGCTTCCTGCAACCAATCAGAAACCGTGCTTTGGTTTCCAAACATTTTGGAAGTTGAGCAGACTTCTGGAACAGATTCCATTCAGCTTCCAAGGCGCGACTGTACTGACTCAGGCTGCCAGGCTCCTCTTGGTATTCCTACAGCTTCAAACCCTCCTGCAGGAACAGGCTCCATGGTTTTTAAATAAACAGTGGGATCCTCAGAGTAAAAGCAAATCCCACTTTTGCAAACTGATCTTCCTATCAGTGTTTTCAGGGTGGACTTTGGTCTTTCAAATTTCAGTGGTGCCCCATGCGAGGCCAAAACTCAGCGCCCCCTGCCCTTTACCTTCCGTTCTGCTCCATTCACTACATCATAGTTGTGACACCCTGCTGCTCTCCTTAGGCTCGGCATCCAGAGTGGCGGAACCAGTCGCGCTGTCCTAAATCCACTCCTGGTGTCTTGTCAGTATGCATTAAAACATATTCCTGGATTCTTAGAATCATTGACTCAAAGAATTTTAGAGTTGGACGGGATCACGAGGGTAATCTAGTCCAACCCCCTGTGAAGCAGGAATATTTTTGCCCAACATGGGTCTTGAACGCGCAATCCTCATGCTCTACCAACTGAGCTATCTGCGTGATGAAGAAACAGAACCTACGCAGTTCGGCTTTCAATCACTCCCACTGATTTTTATGGACAAAATTGGCTTGCCATTTCAGACAGTTAGAAGTGCAAAAGCTGCACTGGAGTGTTGAGGGACACCCAACCAGTACAGCTCACACTTCATTTGTGTCCTAAAGCGCACTCTTCCTGCATGGGGTGTGTGTGTTTCAGTTAGGGGCTATCCAGTGATAGTTAACCTGCTTACCAACCATCCTTGACACAGGGACGCCACACTCGTGTGTGTGTGTGTGTGTGTGTGTGTGTGTGTATGCACACACTGTGACTTTGTGAGCAAGAGCATATGCTGCACTTCCCTATGGATCTTTCCCATACACAGGCTCTCCCTCTAAATACATGCCCAACACATTCATTGCTCCACTAATACCACTCAAACAGGCTAGTTCCTGTGTGAGAGAATGGTCCAAAATATTGGCTTAATATATGCTCAGAAAAGTCATGGCCAACAGTCTCTCTGCAAAGATAATATCTATATAACTAGCGATGAGACCATTTCCCTGAGCCATCCCTTTGAAAACCAGAATAGTATACACAAAGGGGGAGCAAAATCTCAGGAGAGCTTGTAAAGGAAACAGGTGTGTGGCCCTCAAAAGGAGTCTGGAAATGTATTTGAGAAAAGACAGGAGGAGGGGAGACTTCCTGGGTTATGAGAGGTTTTTACAGTTGCTACTGAGACAGAGCAGTGGCGAGAATAAGGGATTCAGCACTGGCCGCTGCAGTAGCCAGACATTTTGGATGGGTTCCAAGAAAAAAGGATCAGAAGCACGCAGGGCCTTGGCGGGACTGACTTAAAAGGCAAGAATGGGAATGTGCACAATGCATCTGGAACAATGGCTGAAGGGCCGAAAGGTTGCGTGGGTTGGGGGAGGGTGGCTGGATGCAAGAGCCTTCTGGGTGTAAATGCCACAGAAGCAGGGGAAGTGCAGAAGGGAGAGGCTTGAGCTGGATGTGACATGGAGAGGAAAAATAGAAGCTCAGTCACAGGAAGACCTAGCTGAACAATGAAACCCAGGAGGCAGCGGAGGCAACGCCACCCCACAGGAAAGGCAGGGTGGGGTGGGGAGTGACAGCACCCCTCCAGCGCAAGGAATGTTAAACATGATTGTTGCAGAACACTGGCCCAAGACTGAAGCCTCATTATACCAAATTCATAATAAATAGAGCCTCTCTGTCCAAAGAACCAAGACAAGGGGTAACAAAGTACACTCTCCAATCAGCCCAAGGGACCAAGGGCTACTGGGAGTCTGCACCCCTTGCCTCCCACAAAGAAGAGAACAGCAATGGGGTGTGTTAAAGAGCAATAAAGCTTGGGGTACCCCTGCAAAAGGCGCTTACATAAACCCCAAGTTTCCCAGAATACATTCCCAAAGGCATCATAAAAACATAATAATTATGTCAGAGAAAGAAGTGTTGGTGGCAGGTAGAAATCTGAGCCTCAGACATACCGCTGTCACTCAAGGCAGTGATTAAGCATCTGTCTTTAATCCCGCAAAGAAAGCATTTACATTTCCCTTTGTTATTTTTAATCAGCACCCTATATTCAATATCTATGATTCTAGGTAGCAGGGCAGGAAAAGAGCATTCTCTGCCGAAAATAATGAAGAGTCACGGCCAACCAAAGTAGACAAAATTGGCCAAGATGGACCATCCAACAACATAAGGCAGCTTCACTCACTCAGCACTGGGGACATCAGAAAATTGCAGCTCTCTGTGACTTCTCTAACCACATTTTATTCCTCTCCAGCTCTGCCATTATTCTATAAAACAGTTTAACTGTCCATAAGGACATGCTTTTTTGTGCTCGTTTCCTAATAAGCTTTGCATCAATAATATTATAACACTATAACAACCACCACCAAACCTAAAACAATATAACAGCCACCATCATAGTATTATTGTCCTTTCAATATAAACTCCTTTCTGGTAGCCACGCAAGATCTTGTGCTAGAATCTCTGGAGCAACTTGGCCTTGATTTACCATTATCCTGAGCTATTCTATTCTCTCTTGGGAGTAGACATCCTCTCTTTTGTGATTCCACATACATGCCACCCACTCTGAAGCCTGATAGAAATGATAAGGCTCTGAAGTTGACAAGTCTTTCTTTTATACCAAGCAGGGTCTACGCTAAGGGATGGCACACAGCCAGGTGAAATCCATCATGCTACTTTCAGAGTTTATCTCTGAATAGCATATGCATACTTGATTGGAGCCAACTTGGTAGGAACAGTAATTAAGTAGCTTTTCACATTACCAGGGCAGTGGTGTGTTTTTTGGGTACAATCCATAGTTATTTGTTTTTTCATTTGCTGCACAGACTGTCTTCTCAAGGCTGTAAACTAGTTGTACAGTTACTGGCAACTCCCCATTTATGTGGGTGGTGATATTCCAAGGCACCGCAAGTTTAAGTGAAATTGTGTATATTAGGGTTGCCATATTTTAAACAGCTGTCATGGGCTGCCATATGTCCGGATTTTCCTGGACATTTGGCTGATTTCTGCCTGGACACTGCTAGAGACAGCTGTATTCCAGATATGTCTGGGAAATCCTGTACGCATGGCAACCGTAAGGCCTGCAAACACCACAATCACTCTCCCAAACCTCCTTGCTCAAACCTCAACTCTCCACAGGCCTCAAAGGTCAGTGCAAGGGCTCCTGGGATTGTTAGGAGCAGTTTCTGCACCATTATTTCCCGTGTTCATGCTCTTTTAGGACCATTTTTGTCCCTTTTCATGTCAGTTCCAGGTTTGCGGTGATGCGTGTGTGCGCAGTCGCACGTGCCTCAAACGCGTGTGAATGTGGAGTTGTTTGCACTGCATTTTCACTCAAACCGATACTTAGGAAAGCATCATACTTCTTCCAAAAGAAAATCTGGTCCTCTGGTTATGTAGCACGTGATTGCTTGACCCATCACAATTATGTAACATTTGCTGCTGAAAATTTTATAAAATTATGCTCACAGAGATAGGCAAAGAATAGTTTAACAATAACAAGTCTATTTGTCTAGAGTGTTCCCCTGAACCACTCCCTCTGTACAACAACTCCGTTTACACTTAGGTTCCTGTCATATATCATAATTACAAAACCATGCTATCTATTGTTTGGTTTTTGGAAGGAACAACACTGCTCAAGCACATTATTGTACGATTTTGAGAGTGTGTTTTGGTGTCTTTTTATTTTAAGTGTTGCGACTCATTGAAGTCAGAAGTCTCATTCTCCCTCCTCTCTTTCTGTGCCATCAGAGCCTGTTACAACCAGAAGCAGGATTAGAACTAGAAAGCTTTCTCTACTGGGGGTGGGGGTGGCTAGACGCCAAATGAAGACTGACACAATCCAGGTTCCAATTCCCACCCATTCCTCAAACTTAGTAGATGACATAGTGCCAGCTGCTTTTTCCCAGCCTAACCAACGACACACTGTTGTTGCCATGCCCTCAAACACATTGGGGCAAAAAACCGAGATACTGTCCTCCAAGACCATGCTCCCGTGTGAGATCCTTCCCCCCTAATAATAATAATAATAATAATAATAATAATAATAATTTAATTATACCCGCCCATCTGGCTGGGTTTCCCCAGTGGCAAGATTGCAGTACCCCAAATGGCTGCTGTGCTCTTGCACGAAAAGAAAACAGGATGTCCTGGTTTTCCCGGGACAGTAGTGTTGTATGTTGTTGGAAGGATAAAATAGGTAGAGGGTGAAACCAGACACGGAGGGGGAAATTTGCAAGCCACCTTCAGCCCCTAATGGAAGAGTGGGATTAAAAATGTAATAAAATAAATACATGGATGGCATGGAGCTCTCCCCCGATATGTTTCTGTTGATGGGATTTACTTATATTCAGGATTACTGCGTATTTTGTGTCAAAAAAGATTTTTCCTTTAATTCAAATTGGATAGCAGAGTATGTGTACATGCAAACACTGTGCTCAGTTGCTGGAGTAATCTGGAGTTACTGCTTTGCAAGTTTATTAATGCAGTGCAGTCCTAATCCTGTGGCCTACGGAGGCCAGAAGATGGGGCTATGAAGCATGTGGGTGGATAGGTCAGCTTAACTTCAAGGAAGCAGAGTAAATGGACTTCTGCTCCCTTTTAACCCTGTCCTAACTACTATCCCTTTAGCTATGATTCCCAAATTATATCTAATGCTGCTACATAATATCTCAGCAGTAAGCGCCCCATACATTATGACAAAACACAGGGCAATCAAATTCTAGGGAACATTGAGAGTGGCAAGGGCTGAGAGATGTCATTGGGGCAATAGGTTTCACAGCAATGAATTATTTTTCTGACACCCCCCCCCAGCAGCTTCAGATTTGTCTCCAAGTGACCCTTTCATCAGTGCCATTTATCTGATCCAGTGATGACTCTACACCAGCTGGTCTTAGTTCAGGGCAAACCATCTGCCCTTCTTTGTTACTCTCCAGGCTCAAAATATGACCTTGCACTGCAGAGGCAACATATTTCAGAGCCCAATTAGCCACTTCCTCTGATCTCACAGCATAGCATGTGCCCTTTGGGACTGAATAACCTTTTGTCACCGGGGAAGACCAAAAGTGCATCATCGCTGAAGTGAGGGTTGGGGGATAGGCAGGAAGGGAGAGAAGGGAGGTTTTCACTCTTCAAAGCAGGAGACCTGCCAAATCTTTCCCATCTCTCTAGACCCCAGCTAAGGGGGAGAGATTTTGAAATTTATTTAATGGTTCCTGGAATGCCTTGCCCTTTCACCTTGGCAAGCCCTGCAGTGGCCTTTTAAGTGTTTAAAAGGCCTTGGGGGTAAAGACAGCTACAAACTTCAGGAGTCTAATGCCAATAAGCCTTTGTTTAATTACTGAAGCAAAGAAAGCATTTTGGAATGAGTGTGAAGAATTCCTTCCATATCCAAACTGATATATGTTTATCAGTTATTTATTTATTATTTATGCTGGGCTAATGCTATAACTGTCACAACTAAAAATAAAATCTATTTGACTTTGCATTGTGTCATTATGTCTTAAGGCAACGGTTCCCAATTAGGGGAACCACTAATAGGCGGGTCCTCAGCCCCATTCCGTGCCTCCCTCCCAACTAAATTTTTGCCGTTTTTGCATATTAGGGGCTACCCCACATTTTGTTCTAAAAACTGCTTTGCAGAGGTTTAACCAGAGAGTTATCAACATTTTCAAAAGTAGGGGGCCGGGGCTTAGGCTTTGAAAACAGGGGGTCCTCAGTAATTAGCTAACTGGGAACCACTGTCTTAAGGGAAATGAGCCAAGCAAGCTGCAAGTCAGTGTTTTACCTGAGCTTCTGCCTCTGAAAACCTAGGATGGATAGGACCTATCTAGCCAACCTGTATACAGTATAGGAAAATAATCATATCCCTAGGGCACATAAGAGTGAAAGCACCTTCACTGCCAGGCAGTGCATTGTGGAGAGCTACTTACTGAGGAGATGAACACAATGAATCTGAAATTTTACACACTAAAGGTATCTGTTTGATTCTATAGTTGTAACTGAAATGTACTGGTGCTGACCTGGCTTGGGAAATAGGTTGGTTCGGGCTAAATAGCAACAGGCTTCTACTTACACAGCTACGTGAACATCAAGTATACATAATCTGAAGGAGAGATGAGCATCTTCAAACACTCTGGGGCACATTGGTAGGCACAGATTGAGGAGCACTGGTAGGTGAGGCTCCTTGGTGTGTTTCCTCTGTGTCTGATGGATGCACATCTCCTATTTCTACACCCAAGAGTCCAATCCCCCCACTGTACGTATGAGCTCACACAGCCATGGGCTGAGTTCATTGGAGTCTTCTCTTTCTTTCTCCAAAGACAGAACTTGCTGTGGGTCTAGATCATGATTCCTGGATGCTCAAGAAAAGCACCCAGGCCTCAGAATCTATCTCAGATCTTGCTGTCATGAAGTCCATTTTCTAAAAGCTTCAGACAGAAAAGGTTTGGCAAAGTGGTATGTTTGGGGCCAATATATGTAAGAAAATGCATATAATTCAAACATTATCAGCTACAAGAACACAAAAGGAAGTGTGAATAGAGCTGTCACTTGATTAAAGAAATCTTATTCAAGCAGGAGTTTTAACCCCTCAATTAAATCTGCATATATTTACATGTAAATAGTTCTGAAGAAAGAAGACCCTTTGTTTTTAGATAATGCATTTATATGTCCCAGCAGGCATGTGAAAGGAATTCCTCTTAAAAGTGTTTTGTCACCCATTGACTTGTAAATGGTGCATTAAGTTATATACTTTTAAATAACAACCAGGGTCACCTTTTCAACTGATCAAAATAAATTAAAATAAGAAATTAAGATAAACATTGCATCTCTATAGAGCAGGGATGTCCAATCAGCGATCTACAGGTTGATCGAGGGATGTCCCGGGTTGATCCTGGAACCCTGATCGCCCCCTCCCCCCAAAAGCTCAACAACTCTGGTCAAGCCAATGGGTAGATCACTGCCAGTTTTTTTTATATAATCAGGTAGGTAGCTGTGTTGGTCTGACGCAGTCAAAATATATACAAAAATTGTCCAGTAGCACCTTAGAGATCAACTAAGTTTATTCTTGGTACAGTGGTACCTCAGGTTAAGTACTTAATTCGTTCTGGAGGTCTGTTCTTAACCTGAAACTGTTCTTAACCTGAAGCACCACTTTAGCCAATGGGGCCTCCAGCTGCCACTGCGCCGCCGGAGCACGATTTCTGTTCTCATCCTGAAGAAAAGTTCTTAACCCGAGGTAATATTTCTGGGTTAGCGGAGTCTGTAACCTGAAGTGTATGTAACCCAAGGTACCACTGTATAAGCTTTTGTGTGCATGCACACTTCTTCAGATAGTTTTTTTTATAGTGGGAGTAGATTGCAGTCTCTTGGAAATTGGATGTGCCTGCGTGGTGCAGTGGCTATTGTGGTGGACTGGGACAGGAGAGACCAGGGTTCAAATCCCCTCTCAGCCATGAAGCTCCCTGGTTTACTTTGGACCAGTCACTGTCTTTCAGCCTAACCTACCTTACAGGGTCGTTGTGAGGATATAATAGGAAGGGGACGGACGGATAATAAATGCCACTTTGAACAGCTTGGAGGAAAGATGAGTCACTAATGTATTAGTAATGGTGCTGATAGAGGAGTGCTGTTAAGCTTACTCATAGTAAATCATAGCAAATGTTTTGAAGTTAGACTGTCCTCTTAAACTGACTTTGCACAAACATTGCTTTCTATATTGTCAAGAAACAAGTGCTGTCTGCTTGAAGAAGAATCCTCTTTAAATGTAAACGCTTGCACAAAAATATTCAAGTAATGATAATAAAAAGGAGTTCTGACTTTTGTCTTTTTGGCTCACACCAAAATAAGGAACATTTTGCTGGGCTACTGAAACCTAAATAGGCCTCTGGCTAATGATTAATGACCCAGCAGAATGGAAGCAACCTCAACAAACCAAGTCGAGGTGCCGGGCAAAAAGCTTTCCATCACCACTGCAGTAACTTAGAAGGCACTTCAGTTTTTTTACAAGAGCTCTCTCCTGATCATCACCGCGTTTTGCTCTTGAGAGCCCACAACTTGATTATAGAGCTGCCATGGCCACAGCAGCCAGAAACTGATGGGTTTGGTTAGCAGAAGCTGGTCATATTACACAATTCCAAGGAAACCTCTCAGCAGAGGGTGAAATACCACAGGACACAGCAAAGTTGGAACAAATCGCTCATTGTCTAGGCTAAATGGGGGCCAAGCCACAATCCTCACTCCTTCCCATAACCCAGAAATTAAACTAAAAATCCTAACAGCGGCCAGGGCTGTTTGAAGTGGGAAGGGGACACTCAAAGCAGCTGAAGACTGCCCCCTTATGGGCAGCAGCAGCATTTGAGCATAACACGCTGCCATTTCAAATGTTTAATTTTTCATGCTTGCAGACGCTTTCACAAATCATCTCCCCGAAGGGATTTATTAAAAGCACAGACATCCCATAAGCATGGAAACTGCATACATCCTTGTGCAGTTGATGGGTGACAAATGAATACGCAGCTGCTTTTCTGTATGTACTTGGAATAGGCAAGTGCATTTGCCACACATGATGAACTATATGGAAGATTCGGTTTCCTATACCGAGTTCACATTCCCAGAGGAAGTGTCTCATAAAACAGATTGGCATACTAGCTTGTAAGTGTATCCATCTGTCAGACTGACATGACGAAGATGAACCATAGGAAACAACACATAATACAGTACTGGAAGCAGTTCTAAGTTAGCATGCTGCTTACTGTCATAATGTGATACCAAGTCTAAGGAACCCTTACTGGAATAGGTCAGATGGTGCTCTAGGAACCCTAATGATTAAGGTGTGAGATACAATAGAAAGAGAGTTTGGAATTACATTCCTATTTGTCAAGATCCAGGAATATGTGTGGTTTCATTGTGTGAAAGCAACTAGTGGCGGGAATTTACCAAATGAATGGCCAAAGGGCACTCTGGTCCACAGGCTTGCATTTAATGTAGCTTTCAAGTCACAATTTATTACTTCCGGCCTTTCAGAATTTTAGTTAATCATTAGCACTGGCTTGGTTAGTTTCAAGATATCGAACTGCTACCCTCTGGTTCATTTATAGGAGCAGCTTTGACAGACAGATGCTCTATAGGTGTCTCCAGATTTAGCATCTTCTGTGATGTAATCAGTCATAGGAATTAAATAATCCAGCATAAATACTTATCAGTGCAAAAACAAAAGAAGTGGCAGAGTCTACACTGCTGCAGCTTATCTGATACATTACACTTCCTGGCCTGAGAACACAGCAGTTCCAATTACCCACTACCCTCACAGCTAAAAACATGAACATCTGATGAATTGCAGGTCTTAATAAAAACAGTTAAAAACAATTCCTTCCTTCCGTTACTTAGCCTTCATTTGCTTATTTCCAGGACCTCCTCACACCTCCCTTTTTTGTATTCCAATTCAGTTATTAGTTCAACAAATCCCTCCCCTCTTTATGTATCCTAATCGTTAATCATAAAGTATTTGTAATTTTAAATTTTTACCTATTAATAAACCATTTTTTTCATATTCCCTTATAACATTTCGGCTAAAGACCACTTAGTTTCTATCCGACATCATTCTGACATTCATTAATTTTGCAATATTTCTGTAAATAGTCTTTAAACTTTTTCCAATCTTCTTCCATCGACTCTTCTCCCTGGTCTTGGATTCTGCCAGTCATTTCCGCCAATTCTGTTATGGGCCCATCACTGATATAATAGTATTTATTGATTTTCACCATACCTACTCTTATTCGGATTCTAATGGTACAAACTATTGTACACTACCATGAATAAAGTGTTGAATTTGTCCACATATTACAATTCCAAGCAATTACCTTCTACAGCAGTAGACTAAAAGACCTTGAAACCAGATAATCTCTTTGAATTCCATCAATAAGATTGCCTCCATATTTCAACAGATCATATTGATTATATTGCATATAATATGTGCCTAAGAACTTCCAGAAGGGTATTTGCCTGTTGCAACAGACACAAAGAATCCTGTGGCATCTTAAAGACTAACAAATTTATTGTGACATAAGCTTTTGTAGACTACTAGACTCTAATCTACATACTTGTCACATAACTCTTTTTACTGTATGCCTACCATTACATCCTACAGACAAGTTTGGATCAAACAGACAGATATATCTATGAACTGTTTAGGTTGACAAGTTACTTTATTTTGGGTGGTGGGACTCAATTTTCTGCAAACCACTGAGAGCAACTGCAGACTGCAGCAATCAACAAGTAATAGCCAAGGTTTGTAAATGGACTTCAATTAATCAATGTTTTGGTATAATCAATTGATAATAATTACTTTCTATAGAAAATCATTCCAACTGAGATCAGTAATTAGTTACTCCAAGTCAGGGAAGGAAAATTGTTTGGCCCTCATTTTTAAGCAAACTGACCTAATTTGCACCTCACAAACAAATACACTTATTGGAACATAATAATCCCTTCAGATTTCCCATTTCTCTGGGATACAGTTCTCAACTCAAGAAATGTACTAAAATGTGTAAAAAAAAATATTTAAGAGTAAATACATTCAGAAATGTGTACATTGAGATAAAAACATTTTAAAATGAATTTTTGGAGTTAAAGTCACAGATGTGCAGATTTAGAATGGGTTTATGGGTGAAAAATTGAGACACCAGACATAAGATCGATTTGTCTATCAGTACTCCAAATGGAATGACTGTAGGTGGACATTTGTATTTGGAATGAGAGTAGCAGCAGCTGCACTTGGCTTTGCAGCCTTATGCAAGGGCAGCACAGTTGTGTAAAGCTTGATAAGGAGATAAGCTTAAATTTGCAGAGATGCTGTAGGAGGACTAAGCTACCGCTGGCTGCTCTATTTACAAACTGAGTTCTAAGCATAACTCAATGGCTTGAACTTAAGCTCCAAAACAGTCAAGAGACAATGTTAGAAAAATCAGTTCATAGTTTGAAATGCATTTAGGCCACAAGCCACAAAACTAACCATTTAAGAATGCTGGTTTCAGAAAAATAAGGTCAAGCATTAGGCAAGATTAGCAGGGTGCCTTAAGGTAGCTTGCTTAGCAGAGCAGCACAAAGAGAGAAGAGATGTACTTTCATTTAGAATCAAAAGGGCCTACCAGTTCCTTCATTTTAACGGGTGATGATCCACTACCAATTGACAATCAGAAACAGAAAGTAAAGTTCTGGGACTTACAAATAATTTTATTGAAATTTAACAAAATTCAACAAATGCACTTCAAGGCAGAGAAACAAACCATAAATATTTTACACATTTGCCTTCAGGGTTCCTATCCGTATGCTATAGGAGCAGGAAGTGTAGTGCTAGTGGGTTCGGGTCTTCTACACAACCACATATGCACAGAAGAGTAATAAAAAAGGAAATAGAACTTTTTGCTTGTTCCAACAATAGTGATAATATATATATATTTTATTTACACCAACTTTCACATTATCAGCATCCTGTATAAAGCCGTCTTCCCCGAGCCTGACAACAGCTGCCACTCTCAAGAGAAATGGGGCTGCCAGAAAGCACAATGAGAGGGACAGGATCGGTAGGATTATAAAATCCAGGAAGTCTTAACAGCACAGCTACAGTCTCAGTGGGCAAGCCAGCCTTTTAGAGAAATGGATTGAAAGCAGCTGCCGGTAGCTCCAGGGAGTCTGCTACATCTTAGGAGAAATTTCAAGCTAGGCAGAAATGAAGCTTTCTCTGGGTACAGGCTCCATTTAGGTTCCAGTAGGAGGGAGGTCCCCAGCAGGATGGATATAAGCACTAGAAGTGGCGGGGAAAATGAAAGCCAACATTGCACAGTTCTTTTCTGACCACAGGGTATTTGCTTGCTCAAAACCAAGACAGCTAATGAAATAACATAAATTGGGTATTTTAGGAAATTGCAAAGGGTGTCACCACCGAGCCTTTCACTCCCAGTATCTCATGACTATCAAGTCCCATGTAATAGAGAAAAATCTCTGTGTAACAGAGAAAACTCTCTAGTGTGAAGATGCAACAAACAACCCTCACATACAGCAAAGTGCTTCTTCTGAACTAGCTGTGGGGCAAAACTTCTAAACGGCAGGCTTGATGCCTGTTGTCAACTATACTGTTCAAGAATAAGGAAGTCTCCTCCCACTGATTTCAGCCTGCAACTCGTAAAGCACAATAATGCAAAGACAGAGCCTTGCTTTCCAATGAGTGTTGCAAACACACCTCCACCCCTGGGATGCTCTTGTTTTGGTAGTGGACACTCCCTTCCCCAATGAAGGATAAAGATGCCAGCTTCCCATCATTACCCAAATGAGATTCAACCGAAAGATAAGCGACACATGAAGATGGGAGGATGGAAATATGACACGGGGCCGATGCCAACAGTTTATGCTCTTACCCTTTTATGGTTAACTGTATAGTTCTACACCTGTATAGTAATACACAAGTTCTGCATGGAAGAGCAGCTGCAACTCACGAAGCCACCGTGCACTAAGGAACAATCCTAACATACAACCCTCGACATACAGTTGAAAGGGTGACAGCGAGGCAAATGTGACAGTCACTGAATAGAGAGCTCAGTCAACATGGCCACTTAAACTCCACCCTGTTTCTAACTTGGTTCGTAGTGCTTAAAAAGGATTCCCATGTAGGTGCAGAGATGACACAAACTTATTGATGCTGCTGGCAGGCACAGCTTTGCACCAGCAAATTTAAACTAAACATTGAGGTAGCAAATGCCTGAAGTGCTCAGAAAGGCAATGACATGCTCCGGGAAGGAAAATATGCTGTGCAATGAACCAACTCTTACAGCTAACTCGCCCACAATTCGGTTTTAAAGCTTTATATAAATTCTGAGAGTTGGCAGAAAAGGCAGGCAGGCAGGCATTGCATATGAAACCGTCTTCAAAAGATAAAGAGTGCCTCTGACAGGGTTTTGCCTGTTCAGTTTTCAGCAGCAGGTAGCTCTAAATCTTAGAAGCAAAAACTTGGGAAGGAGAGGCAGGTGTACCACTTCAGCACATATAGCTCCAGTGGTAGTCAAGTCAAGTTTGGGAAGTGGCCCTACAAACCAAACATTTCACATTCATACATTGGGGGAAAGGGTAGAGCCCTCCCAAAACACATAGCCTTCCTTTAAAGTGTGCTGAATTCTCCCATATCAGGCAATACCTGGCCCAATCCAAAGAGTCAAGGAGACTGTCAAAGGAAGATCACAGTACATTATTGTTTTGTTTTGTTTTCCTTTGGAGGAAAGGGGCAGGGGAAGCATACAATCAGGTTGGTAAACATTTTGATCAAAGCAACGTAAGTTGCCTTAGTGCCAACAGCAAAACCTAAGGATTAAAAGGACAGTGTTACCTATTTCTGTTTTAATTGAGAGAGAGAGAGAGAGAGAGAGAGAGAGAAATGTCAGCAGTAAGAATGGAGTGGGGAGGGAAATGGCAATCTGCCTTGCACTCTCCACTTTTTACTCAGAGTAGACCCACTGAAATTAATTACCATGACCAATTCACCATGGTCTATTAATTTTAATGGGAATACTCCCATGTAAAAGCCAGTTGAATACAACCCAGTCACAAGATGCAGATTCACAAGAAGGAAGTCTACTTTGGAATGAAACCAAAACCTGTCGACAAACGCCTTCTAAGAGGTGGCCTGTTTGGTCAGGCTCCACAGGAAAACTGCAAGCTCAGATGCTGCTGCTGCTGCTGCCGCCAACAGCCTCTACTGATGTGCCACAGCATAGGAAGAAGTCAGTGGAATTTTCCAAGCAGTGAAGTTGAAAAAGACACTGCCTGCAAAGGAAATAGTGCAACTCACTAGGAAGATATTAGAGAGGGGGGAGCAAGGCTTGCACATCAGTCTGTTTCAATAGGGAACCCTGCCTTGGACAACTCTGTTAGGTACAGCTATGTTATCATCCTCCACCCCTCCAAGTACAGTACAGCATTAGGTTATTCAGTTATGTTACGTTGAGGAAAGGGGTGGAGAAGCACAAGACGCTTACTGCTCACCTTTACTCTCATATACAGCATATAAACAGAAACTTCGTTGTCAGCATTTAAAGAATACTGATGGGGAACTCAGAAAGCAGGCCACCTGGTCAGAAAAAGGTGCAGGTCGGTTCTCCGTGGTCTCAAGACACTTGAAATCTGTTGCCACCTAAGGCTGTTAAAGGGATTTTACTCAATTCAGCAAGGGGGATTTTTTTTTTGAGCAGGTCACTAAACAAGGCCAAACATCTCACGTGACACAGGTCCTACCAACACACATTCCTAGCCAATGCTATTCCTGATTATACGATCCCATGATGCCGTCAGTGCCGTAGCCGTTGCCGCCTCATCCTAGCAGACAAGCTTCAAAGCTAACCATGCGTCTGTGCTCTTGATCCATCACTCTGAAGGGAGACGTGGCTGCCTAGCTTGGTTTACGTGAGGTACAGTAAAACTGGGCAAGTAAGGTGCCTTGATAGCACACACTGACAGTTCACACTGCCCTCCATGGCTCAGACCTCACAGATGATAACAGGGAAGTCCACATGTATCCGAGGGTGCTCCAGTTTCACTATGCCCTGTAAAGAGAAAGATGCAACAAGGATGAGATAATGCCACTTGGAAATCAGGCTAAAAATGATGTGGAATAAAGGGACATGGTGCCAGTCGAGTTAATACAGTTCCTTGCTTAATGACTTCTGGCCCAAAAGCCATACCAAAGCAACTGGGCTATTTGTGTTAGGTCATGGGTATGAACTCTACCTAGAAACTAGACAGGAACAAATTGAGATAAAGGATCAGAAAACTGCATGAGCTGGAAATGTATGGCCAGTTACTTCAATACCTCAAGGACTGTCTCCCTCCATATGAACTGACCTGGACCCTGCAATCATCACCTGAGGTTTTCTTTGTGTGCTGCCTCCACAAGGGGCTCAGAGAGCAGCAACATGAGAATGCAGCCTTTTCTGCAGTGGCTCCCATTTTTGGAATGCTCTCCCTGGGAAGGTTCGCCTGGCACCTTCAATACATATCTTCAGTCGCCAGGCAAAAACATTTCTCTTTAAGCAGGCCTTTGGCCAATTAAACATTCTAAGGCCTTTTAAATGTGTTTGTGAGAAGGAAGTTAATGTTTTTTGCTTTATTAGGTATTTATGTTCAACTCTTGCCCACCATGCCATTTTCCAACGGAACCTCCTTTCCACTGCAAAGTTATTAGGTCCCTATATAGGTTTTGTCCTGTAGGTTAAACAGCAGCTGGGGAGGGGGGAAGAGGAGAGATTTGAACAGAAAAGCATTCAGGGGAGATTTTTTTAATAATCCCCCCTTCTCAGAATCATGGCATTTACTCAATTTAACCTGCCACCAATCATCTTTCATGCTGCCTTCTACTTTGGCCTTAAGTAATTCAGATGTTTTCCATTCTTGCTGAATGCTAATGGAATGGAGAAAGTCGCCAAGCTTCCAATGGACTAGAAAGTAAACCCATCTGATTAAAGCAAGGCTAATAAGTGAGTTTATATGAATTTGGCCAAGTGAAAAACCTTGGGTAATCACATCTTGGATCAACAAATGGAGATACTAACAAGCTTCATATATCTGCCTTGTCCCTCCATATGCACAAGCAGACAAACAAGCCAAGAAGCTGCAGTAAACCATAGCTTACAGATAGGTCAGGAGATGAAGGTTTAAAGTTGGCTTCATTGGAAACCATTAATCAACATTTCCCAGTTTGGACATTTAACAGGAAGCTATGTTTGCCTCCTTGCGTGAAGAAGGAACAAAGCAGATATGTGCAATGCTCATTCATACTTAATTTATTAAGTCAAGATGTGGTAATCTAGGACACGTTGGCTGCATTCAGATTCTTCCAACAATAAATTGATTGGAAGGTATGCTACCTCCAAGTACTGCCTCATAAAACTAACTGGTCATGCATTAGTGGTATTTGACAAACTTGGTCCAGCACTTCTCAAGAGAATTATACGCCACAAGCAATATTGAGAGCCACAGCGCAGAAGTGAAAATATTTCATCACTACTTTTACTTGAAAAATGGCAAATGCAAGATGTTATGGAAGCCTCTAGAAGTCCATAATATAAAAGCATTAGCAAAGAAACACCCCCCCTCCATGATGCTTATAGAAACAGTAGCCACAGGAAGGTTTTTATAGTTAATGGCTATAAATAGCACCAGATAACCAGACTTGTATTTTCAATTGAACTATATGCATACCCAACAACTTTCCCTGGTGTGCTAGCTACAAGACAGAATCAAGCTGGTCAATGGGTCCACAATCAGGACGGACAGAAGAGTAACCTTTTGTCAAGGCAAAATCAAACCCAGGTTATGACAGCCATAACTGACCCTCCACACTTTCCATGCTTAGGTACATCTACAGTGAAGATTTTACACTTACTTCTATACAAACAGTTACCTTTTCCCTTATCTTCAGGATTATAGTGCTCAACAAAAGGTGTCAGAAGCTCTTGAGATAGGCACAGAATCATAGAACTGAAGAGTTGGAAGGGACCCCGAGGGTCATCTAGTCCAACCCCCTGCAATGCAGGAATCTCAACTAAAGCATCCAAGACAGATGACCATCCAATTTCTGCTTAAAAACCTCCAAGGAAGCAGTGTCCACATACAGGACAGACAACAGAAGAACAAGCCTTCTTTATCCTTCTCTTCTCAAGTGCTGGATCATCATTAAGAGTTTCATTCAAGTGAGCCCAGAACCAACAGAACTTTACACATCATGTTTCCAGCATGATATTCTACCATACACCAACCAGTGGCATCTACAATTTTAACAAGTCATCACAAGCCATATTACTTTCTGACTAAAATTTGAGGCAGCACTGCCTTGCCTTCTCTGTAATGATAGGGAACCTTGTGACTCCCAAGGATCTGAATTTTTGTTGTTGATGCAAAACACTGTCCATTACAACTGCAGCTTTCTTATCCACTAGTAGCTGTTATTTTCTCCTCTGCTCATTTACACAGTTATAGTCACCAGTATTTTGCACTGATTTTAACCAGAAGCAGTTCCACAAGCCTCCCAACACATCAGTTCACGTTCAGTAAGGCTTGCTTTTTTAGCCTCCTCTCATTCTCACGGTAAACTGATCAGGCAAACTCTACCCATGATTTCAGCAGGGGCTGAGACTCAATGAGCTACTTTAGCCATACCCAATGAAATGTTTGATTTTTCCTCTTCCAACAGCAGATACTCCCTCAAGCCATTTGAAACACATATTCAAACTTTTGGGACTAATGATATAGTCCCATACAGTTCCATGGATCTAGGCCATGTGTATTTACTACTATGAAGGGATCTTACAAGAACAACATTCGTGCCTAACAGCAATATTAATATCTATTGGGCCACCTACACAGGTGTGGATGTACAGTAATTCCTCCTAAGAATTAGTGCCCCAAGGTTGTGGAACCGCTTCCCTAAGGAAGCATGGAGCTGCTCTCTCTTCTCCTAAATCCAGACAGGGTACAAATTTCACCTACGTTGCAAATCATATGCCTGCTAATTTATGCCATGATATGTAATCTTATTATTAAAAACCTGGATTGCTTTGTCTTAAATTACTTTGGTTCAATGTGACTAATGTATTTGATCTAAGCTGACATGAGGTTGCAAAACAGCAGGATAAAATTATTTCAAACAATAATGAAATATTTATTATGCTCCCATCATTCATTACGAAATCCTCAATAACCCAATATAGAATGTTATGAAAGTGCTCATATTTACTACAATCCAGTTCCAGAAATGAGGCATCTGGGTCTTTTATCACTAGCTCAAAAGACAGAAATTCAAAGTGGCTGATGTTCTTTCAAGAATGTGACAGTTGCTGCATACAGGAACTTGAACAAGCATTTTAAAATTAGGTTGTTTTGTCACCATTAAAAAAAAATCCCAGGGAAGGTTGACAAAGACTCCTAGAACTGCATCTGTAGTGATTTCAAGATGGCCAATACAGACACAACCATTGTTGCTGGACACGATGAAGCTGGTACTGGTGTCCCCACAAACAATCAAATCCAGTATTTCAGAAGACAATATAGCGGTACCTTGGGTTAAGAACTTAATTCATTCTGGAGGTCCGTTCTCAACCTAAAACTATTCTTTAACCTGAGGTACCACTTTAGCTAATGGGGCCTCCCGCTGCCACTGTGCAATTTCTGTTCTCATCCTGAAGCAAAGTTCTTAACCCGAGGTACTATTTCTGCGTTAGCGGAGTCTGTAACCTGAATCATCTGTAACCCGAGGTACTACTGTACTATAAAGCTGGCATTGGCCACACTGGCAGGGGCTGATGGGAGTTGGAGTCCAACATCTGGAGGGCCTAAAGCCCCCCCCCCACTCCACCCCTGCTGTAGACTAATGCAGTGGTACCTCGGGCTAAGACCTTAATTCGTTCTGGAGGTCCGTTCTTAACCTGAAACTGTTCTTAACCTGAAGCACCACTTTAGCTAATGGGGCCTCCTGCTGCCGCCGCGCTGCCAGAGCACGATTTCTGTTCTCATCCTGAAGCAAAGTTCTTAACCCAAGGTACTATTTCTGGGTTAGCGGAGTCTGTAACCTGAAGCGTCTGTAACCTGAGGTACTACTGTACAGTGGTGCCCCGCAAGACGAATGCCTCGCAAGACGGAAAACCCGCTAGACGAAAGGGTTTTCGTTTTTGAGTTGCTTTGCAGGACGAATTTCCCTATGGGCTTGCTTCGCAAGACGAAAATGTCTTGCAAGTCCTGAGATTTTTTTTTCGCTCCCCCCCCTTTTTCTAAGCCGCTAAGCCGCTAATAGCCTTTTAGCAGCTAAGCCGCTAAGCCTTTAATAGCCGCTAAACCGCTAATCCGCTAATAGGGTTGCTTCGCAAGACGAAAAAACCGCTAGACGAAGACACTCGCGGAACGGATTAATTTCGTCTTGCGAGGCACCACTGTACTATAAAGCTGGCAATGTAGAAAACCACTTCTATGAAAATTCAAAGGAATCACATGGGAATGACCAACGTGTGGGCCTCCAGTTTTCTACGGCTCCCATCATGCCTGACCAGTGGTTACACTGGCTGGGGTTGATGGGAATCCAGAAATAGGTGGAAGACAGCAGGTTAGCTACCCTTGGTATAAACTCAGAGACTCTCTTGTTGCTCAGTATCCTCAAGTGTTAGCTTGAAACCACTTTGCAACAGCTCCCTTTTACTTCTGATTGTGTTACCTGAGGTATCAGGTTCTTGTGGATTCTTTTCAGCTTGGCACGCTTTCTCCCATTTTTGGTGACTATTGTCTCCTCATAAAACTCATGGGCAAGGTCACCATCCTCATCGTAATACATAGAGCTGCGAAAAAATGAAAAACATTTAGAAAAAGCTTCAGACAGAAGAAGCAAAAGCAGCTGCTTTTCAAATCTGCGACTAAGAGCTAGTAGCAAGCCAGCTAGCTGGCAGCTGTTGCTGCCACCCATTTGCTAGCTCCTCATTCCTTGCACTACAGTAAGGAGAAGGTTAATTGTCAGGGGAAATTCTGCACGGCGGTTGCCTAAAATGAGCAGAAACCATACTACTACTAATCAACCTACTCTCCCAACCAGTATTACCACAGGTCGCCCACCCTTGCACTAATAGTTTACACAGAACAAATTAACTTTTCCACAAAACTCATAGTAAATGTTGTCCCATCAAACAGATGGCGATTCTTGAGATCATATTCCATCCCAGTAATAACATAAAAAGCTGTGTTCTATCAAGTCGGACCATCTAGCTCAATATTATCTACAATGACGGGCATCAACTTTCCAAGGCTTCTGGTAGAGATCTTTCCCAGCCCTACTTGGAGATCTTAGGAATTGACTCTGGGTCCTTCTGTATGCAAAACAGATGCTCTAACACAGTAACATTTCAAAGTATGTGCAGACACATATTGAAGACTACCTTACAAACCTGACTAATTTTTGCCAAGAGTAAAAAGAAAAACACTTGGTGGAACTATTGAAGTGACAAGATGTCAGATTCTCCTCAGGGAGAGAGCATTTGATTTAAAACAAGTTTATAGCATGGCAAAACCAAAGCGTAGAAAAGTGTCATGGTTGCACTTAAGCCGAATGGGCATGTAACTAGAATTAATCATAATTAATCATAATGATTGATTTCTTAACATATTTATTGGAGGTAAGATGCTGACAGGATTGGATAATCACTCCTGCTACATAAATGCCAACAGCTCCTGACCAACAACAGAATGTTTAAAACGGTATTTCTGCCACTTTTAAACAACTGCCCAAAGCTTATGAAACTGGAATTCTGTCAAGTCTAAATTTAAACATTCCTCACTAACATACTCAACTGCTTCAGCAAAGCAGTGTTCAGAATTCAGTAACTTCTTTTCTTTGCTGTGTTGCCACATTCATAGCAGACTATATGAAAATCCACAGGAATTCTCAGGATACATTGTGGGGGGGATGAGAAAAGAGAAAATAGCAAGAATGTGCAACTCAAAATGAAAATGACACCTTTGCTTCCATGACATAGAAATTTTGCAGCCAGTCTGCCAACAAAGGCATTTGATTCAACATCTGGCCAGTTGCCTAGCTAGAATGGAAATACTAGCCAGTCATTACTTTGGAAGAAGGCAGGCATTCTGGCACAGCTGAAAATTTACTAATTTAAGAGCTGGCAAGGGAACAATAGTGCAAAAGGACCTAATGGAGGCACTATTTCCCAGCCACTAGAATGCGCTTGTCACATTTCTTGCTATGCTAGTGACTTTACAAGCTCGGAATAAATCTAGGCTTATCCCCACAAACTGGTCCAAAAAACTTTCTAAATTTCTCAAAAAACACCTAGGTGGTTTTACAGAATGGTCTGTTGTTGCCAAATATGTCAGGCTGCCATTCAACATCTACATAAAAACAGTATCAGCTGAGCTTTGGAGAAAAGAGGTGCTATAAACCAAATGTCAGGCAACAAGGAAAACAGAGCGTTAGACAGACTTATCTAAATCCAGGAGGCATGCACAAGGAGATACTATTACCTGGAAGCCAATATTCAGTAGCTGAACATTGCCCCTACCTCTATGAAACCTCTTTGCACCATGATGGCGCGCAGAAAACAAAATCTCGCCCTTTGCCCGGCAAACTCTTCGGGCACCACAACCTTAGAGAGACCAGCAGAAGGCCGGCAGAGCCCTTTAACTACCGAACTTGCAACATGCGCCCACGAGGCTTTCTGCAGGGGGGAGGGAGAGAGCGAGGAGGAAGACTCCGGCACCGCTGCGGGTGGGGGGAGCTGCAAGCGGCACATGAACTTGTGTTGGGGACCCATGGGCGCAAGGGAGGCTTCAGAAAGCGGCCCCAGAAGCGCCAGGCGGAGCCTCTCCCGCGGGAAAGGAAAGCCCGCTTCCCCTGGCATAAGGTCAGCGCCGCATCTCCGTCCACTGGATGAGGCGGACGCAAGGGGAAGGAAGCAGCCTGGCCAGTCCCTGCGTCGCACCGGGGTCAGGGGTTAGGAAAGCGGACGAGCACCGGGGGGGGGGGGGGGGCTTGAGATGTAGCCCTGCCGCCGCCTCTGCAAGGTCTACGGGCCGGTCAGGGCGACCTCGCTTTCCCGCGGCTCCCTCGGCGGCGGCAGCAGCAGTCGGCTTTGCTCTTACCCGCGGCGGGTGAAGACGAAGGGGGTGGCCGAGCAGAGTCCCCGCGCCCGGGCCAGAGCCTGGTCTCCGCCCGGCCCCTCGGAGCCGCCCGGCCCACCCGAGCCGAAGGGCCAGAGGCCCCGGGACTTGGAGCCGCTGGCGCCCATGGCTCAGAGCGGCCGCATGGCCGGGAAAGGGGAGCGGAGGGAGGGAGAGGAGCCTGCCGGTGCCTCCGGGGAGGCTGCTGGCAACGGCACCTTCCCCGCACCGGAAAGCTCCGCCCCTCTCCCGGCTACGCAACTTCCAGGTCCGCCGCCTCCGGAAGTCCGCTTCCAAAAGAAGGTCGAAAGTGCCGCTCTGTAGCGGGGCTGCGGCGTGACGCAACTTCCGCTCCCCTGTGGAGGTGAGAGCGGGCTGCCTCTATAGGCGAGAGTGGGTGGGGGAAGCAGGATCCATGTTCTCAATAGAGGACGATTGAGACCGACAGCTATTATACTTCCATCAGAATCCAGCGCTCAAAACTACACTTCCGACACACCTCTAAGCAAGTGGCAATAGGATGACTGGCCTCCATTAATGCAAATGCTGCTACAAGCAGACTGATGCAAGTAGCGAGGTCAGTATGTGAACTGGTTTCCAAACAAATTACCTTTCTGGTAAAAATAAACTGTCATTCAAGAAATTCAGATTACCTATATTAAATTATTTTAACAAAGAAATACCCAAATTTGCAGTCCTACTTATTTGTAGCTTTAATGGCCTCATTGGTACACTTCCAGTTTCTGTTACATTTTTATATATGTTTTTATGCTGCAATGCTGAAAAACCTACCTCAAGTCAACGGGACGTATTCCCAACAAACATGTTAATGAACAGGTGCAGTGTGATGCAGCGTTTGGGGAAAGGTGAACCAAAAAATGACTTAAAAGTTCATAGCAATTGCATATCCAAGCCAATTTCTATTTCCAGAACAATATAAACTGCATCCATGAAAATATATTTAAGGCTGAGACGTAAACAAAATTATCAGCGGTCTTCCTCTCTCTCTCTCTCCTCAGTTATTAGGGCTGCACTGAAAATCCACCTCTTTTGATCTTCAGGCCAAAAGTATACAGTGATACCTTGGGTTAAGAACTTAATTTGTTCTGGAGGTCTGTTCTTAACCTGAAACTGTTCTTAACCTTAAGCACCACTTTAGCTAATGGGGCCTCCTGCTGCTGCACGATTTGTTCTCATCCTGAAGCAAAGTTCTTAACCTGAGGTAATATTTCTGGGTTAGCGGAGTCTGTAACCTGAATCGTATGTAACCCGAGGTACCACTATTTCAGAGGCAGAATGTATCCCTCGTACCCTAAGTTATGCAAACATTCCTATTCACCGGCATTTTTTCCTTGATCTTTTACATCTCCCCCTCTTACACTGGGTTGTCAGCTTGATAATATGAACCATCAACCTGAAATGGGAACCACATAATGAACTGGATGTCATTTTGGAAGCAGTAATGCTTTTGAATACCAACCAGCAGCTGGAAACCACAGGAGTCGGGGAAGTACTCTTGAGCACAAATCCTGCTTGTGGGTTTCTCACAGCAATCTGGTTGGCCACTGTCAGAAGATGCTGGACTAGATGGGCCATTGGCCTCATCCAGCAGGCTCCTATGACGTTCATAAGACACTATGTAGCCTGATTTGGCTATGACATCACTAGTAAGGACAAACAAATCCAGTTCAGAATTGTTCTTGAACTGGGTAACTCTTTTAAGTCCTTTTACAGCATACATTTTCCTGTTGTTGAAAATGGAGATGTATTGAAGTGTTTTGTGAGAATCACATGCAAAAGGGCAAAAGGACCCATGCTTTGGCTATAAAAATCTAGTTCACAAGTTATTGGACTGAAAAATAATTTTGCCAGCAGGATGGTGCCCAACCCGCAAGCTTGACAAAGAGCAATCCATTAAGTACAGAGGAACTGTATGGCCACAATTTGACAAGGACTGAGGACTTTGCAGCACTGAGGTATGGATGACACTGTCTCTGGTCCTTAGGGAGTCTCTATGATATTCTGGGGTTTATGTGCAGTCTGCTGTGCCTTCAGTGGCCACACCGGATTTTTGTTTTGCAGATGATATTTGTTAAGTACAGTACACTATCCTGCCTAGGCCTGAACTGCAAGGTATGAAAAAGAAAGTTTTGTTGTTTTTTTGAATGTGCCTTTTTATATTTTATCTTATTGTACCTTTGGCTATGAAGTGTTTATAAATCTGCAAAATGAAATAAATAACATGAAATGGCTTGTGGATCCCAATGTACCTGACAACATTATTGGAAGCAGGCACCAAGGCAGTTGTGGGAGATATAAAAGGCTTATTAACCAATAAATACATGGATTTACAGAACTGCATCAACATCTTCTGCATGTCATGTCCTGTGGGGTCTTGAGGGCTCAACAACTCTCTGTTCTAAGGAAGGCATTCTGTTTAGGGGTCACCTATTCTGCTTCAATTCCAGAGCCAATAGTCACCTTAATACAAACTAGAGATGCGGGTGGTGCTGTGGTCTAAACCACTGAGCCTAGGGCTTGCCGATCAGGTGGTCAGCGGTTCGAATCCCCGCGACGGGGTGAGCTCCTGTTGCTCGGTCCCAGCTCCTGTCAACCTAGCAGTTTGAAAGCACGTCAAAATGCAAGTAGATAAATAGGTATCCCTCCGGCAGGAAGGTAAAGGGCATTTCTGTGCGTTGCTCTGGTTTCACCAGAAGCGGCTTACTCATGCTGGCCACATGACCTGGAAAAACTGTCTGTGGACAAACATTGGCTCCCTTGGCCAGTAAAGCAAGATGAGCGCCGCAACCCCAAGAGTCGATCGTGACTGAACTTAACTGTCAGGGGTCCTTTACCTTTTAATACAAACTGCTTCTTGCTTTGAAATATAGTTTGGGTATCAGAAGGGGCAATCAGCAACAGAAAATGTTTTGAAAAATAAGGGTTGCATTTTAGAATTCTCCCATTGGCATCTACACCAAACTGAAACCATCCTAGGATGTTGTAATTCAAAGCTGTGGTGGACCCTGATTTGACCCTAATCTATCATATATCTACATTTTGATTTCATACCAACTGTTGGATGTCCTTGTTGAAATCTGAGAGGTGGGTGGCAAAGGGCCAGAGTTAGGAGCACAGAACAGGAGTACAGTCTTAATGGGAGAACTGCATTTTTCACTTATACTTCTCTAGTTTATCGACTGTGGAATGACCTTATTGTCCCAACATAGTAGTAGTTCTCAAACACATATTACACCACGCACTTCTCACCCCTGAATCTTTTATTGAATTGTATACAAGCAGCGTCATTCATAACTTGAGCCCCCAAGGTTTTTAATCCATTGGATTCTCAAGACAGATAACAAGACAGTCCTGATTTGAAAAACTACTCTCCAGAAGGGTCAGCCAAGACTAGGAGGTCCATTTTCCTTTGGATACCTGGTCTGGAGAGTGTTTCAGAGTGTTTCGGACTTTAAAAAGAACAAAACACTTATTGCAGTACAAATACCCCCTCCACCAATGAAATTCTACTACTACACAGAGAAGGTTTTATTTCCTGCCAGGTCGTGCCCAAGTCAAGGTTGCCTTTCAAGACATACACCTATGCCTCTCATGCATGTCTATGAGAGATTGCAACATATAAAGGAGGGTGGGCCAAAGCTATGGTTGCCTTCAGCAGAAGAGAAACCTGAATCCTGATGATGTTACATCCCTGGTTTTCAGATTTTTAATAACTAGAGACTAATAAATTCTGTCTGGGCAATAAAAAGTGTCTCTCTGTTCCTTCTTCCATGGGTTATTTGGGGGTCCTTGATCACTGCTCTTACCATACTATTCTATATTATATTGTTTTTATAGTCCTTTTTTCTGCGGAATCAACCATAGTCCAAATATCATTTCTAGATACTATTTGTATTGCAATTATGGTGCATTTTGGTCTGCATGTCCTTTCCTATGTATCAGAAAAATAATCAGGAACTCTACCTTTTCTTTGGGTTCTGCTAATCAGAGTTTCCTTTGGCATTTTTTTATTCTGGTTCAATTACTCTTGAATCCCATTCAGATCCATCTGAGATGGGAGTCAACAGACATTTTCGTCATTGTTTTGTATGACCATAGTCTGAGCAAAGTCTATATAGGCAGGTAGTTCCATTCTGCTAGCAGTCTTACTGTTATATGAATCAGTATCAATCTCGACAAATAAAGACATGATTGAACATATCAGATCAACCCATGGGCCTTCAAAGTTTGATTCTGATAGAAATAAAAAAATGGTATTGTGAAGGAAGGTGCTTGCTAAGGCCACCCTCCCTTCTTGGGAATACATCAGAATTTGAGGCCACTTTGATTTATTTTGCTTATGTTAAATCTCAAGTGATCTTTACACCAAGCCCACATAAACCTCATTTGGACACACTGTAGGTATAAAAGTGGCATTAGCATCCTGGCACTTTGAAAGTAGCTGCTGTAGCAAGGCTACTCAAATTCTCATCTTCAAACACATCCCACAGGCACTTCCTTACTTCCCCAACTGATCCCATTGCATCATGCATGCAACATCTCTATTAACCACTCACTCCATGGAGAGCACACACACATGCACCAGTCACGGGCTCACAAACCCCTGTTGTCCCTTTCCCACCCTACGCCCCTCCAGAGATACATTCAACCCACACAATCGCAGGATCGCTTCACTCGTAGTCTTCTTGGCTTCACCACTTCTCTGCATCTGGCATCTTATATTTACTGGAGTGCTGGGTCTGGGATGGAGCACCTCGTCAACCTGGTGTGCGGGTGGCCAGAGCCTCTTGCATCTTTTGGCGGCAATGGGAATATTTCTGCAGGATCTGTCGAATATGCTCTTCCTCTTCACGCTGCAAGATACGCAGGAAGTTCTGTAGCTCAGGCATACTAAAGGCATCCCACTGCAGAAAAATGTGAAAAAGCAAGTTGTATTAGTATTACAGTCATGAGCTCAGTGGTACTCCAGGTAGAAGCACAGCTTTACTGGCAAGGAGGGAACCTGGACTTGTGGCAAGAGGTGCAAGGGGTCAATGATGTATGCATGTAGAACAAGGCAGAAAAATAGCCAGAGTGTGTATAAGGGTGGTATATCTGGATTTCACAATGCTTCAAGATTCAAGAACAATACTGAAACAGGACTGCACAGATAACTAGCATTTTCAAAATTTCAGGAAAGATTTTAACCTAAGGTGAGCATTTGTTATTGCAAATGCTAAGACATCCCTATGAACAGTGTAGAACAGATCCTTTTGTAATTCATTCTCCCATGTTATACACTCTTGACCCAGGGAATTAATTAATCAACAGCGTCTATGAGTAGACCAAGAACTATGTTCTACCACATTAATTCCATTATGTGAGATTTTTTCTACCATGAACATCACCTTTAAGAGCTCTGCTCTATAGTCAGTCTTGTTCTACAATTAAGTCCTTGGGTCATTTTCAATGGGGCAATAAAGTGTCATCAAGCCACAATGTTTGAATTTTTAAATCATGCTCTAGAGAATATTCTTTTTTTGCTGAAGGTTCAGCCCTTAACTTAAAAACCCCTCAAGCTCCCATCTATTAGAATGTATCATGTGTCAACATGAAACAAGAACAGATGGCCTGTATGCTGCTGCTTTTGTTCATAGTTATAAATTAGCAGTAGTTTTTTTCTGAAATACATTAAATCAAAAGATGTTATGATCCCCAGCATTAATTGGCATCCAGTTCAGCATGTTTGACTTCAAGTTTTTCCAACCATAAAACTCAACTATTTGATTGGGGAAAAGGCTAGAATAATTTAATTCAGTTTAAATGCTATGTTTGAACCAAAGCTTTACTCAAAAGGGCTTTTTTTTACTGGAACGCATGTAAATATTTTAAGAGATGACAAATAGCACATAGTGCATCCTCACACACCCCAATTTTTTAAAAAAGAAAAATAACGTAGCACTGGCAGCTGTTACTAATTTTTGCAAACCCACAGAGCTGTGCACCATGTATGTTCAAGGTACAACTTCCTGACAGAGTACAAATTTGTATTCACTGATTATGTTAAATAATATATTTTTAGAAATGTAATGTTTTCTGCAAGAAAAATAATTGTGGGGAAGAAGTTTCTACCCTGCATCACTAGTTAAAGCCAACCACGCAACTGGAACTAGAGCATGAGTGCCCTTCTTTTATCTACTGAGATAAAGATAAAAGTAAACTTGATAAGCAAATATTATAGGCTTTGTCAGTTCCACATAACTTGACATGGAACCTCAGACAAACCATAAACACAAATACTCACATTGACTTCTCCAGTTTCATTTTCCTTCAGGACAAAGCTCAGTGCTTTTTCACTAGGGCCAGCTAGTAGCCGGAGACGCAGGGGCTGCTCCTCATCAGAAAGCTTGCGGAGATATACTGACAAGAACATTAGAAGTGGAATTAAATGAAGAACTCAATCACCCTGACTCTGTATAACAGTCACCTGGACAAATCAGACTGACCCTTGTTTACTTTAAGCAGTCTATTTTTTGCCAGCAGAGGGTGCTGTTAATCCACTAGTTTTCCATTTCCAGTTCTTTTAAGTAAGCAGTGCTGCAGGGAACAGGTCAGGAAAAGAGGATGTAAGGAAGATTCAGCTTTTCTTCCTTCCAGCCTGCCTCAGTCAGCAGCAACATAAAATGATGAGACACACTTTAATACAGACCTATAATTAACAATAATGAGAATACAGTCTTATATAAAGCTTCTCTGCTACATCAGCAGAAACTTCAAAAATGAAGTCAGAACTATATTTAGAATCTTCAGTAGAAAGTGAACAAACTTGCTCTGTATGATTTACGGACTACTTTCTCTCAACCTCTTTTTATTCTAGGACTAATTGCTAAGATTACATCACTTGGCTTCAGACAATGTACTAATAAATCAGCTTCACAACTAAGTGCAAAAATTAAGGGCCCACACAATTTTACTAGCCTCTTTGCTCATTAACACTTATGTTAGTTGTTCACTGCACTCTAACAACCTAAGCAAAGAAATGAACTTCTTCCCATCTGATAAAACCTTCCTTTCCTGGCCAACTGGAACCAATTTTTATTTGCTGAAGGTTACTAGGCAAGCTGCTGTTTAGAAGTCTGCAATATGTTACATGTTGGCTTCTCAAAAAACTGGGAAGGGGGAGATCAGGTACCTTGGTCATCCTTTTCTGTTCTTTCAAAGAGGGCAAACTTGCGGGGATTGTCAACTACCATGAATTTCTTCAGCAGAGCTTCAATGACCTCACTGGCACGTGTACAAGAAATTAAATGCAGGTGCTTGATTGTGTCCTTGGGTAGGTAGAATGAGGTGCGCCGCTTTACTGCCTGGCTGCGTGAGGAGCACTTCCTGGTGTCCTGGATAGAGGGTGCCTTCTTATTGGCAGGTACTGAGACAGGCCGTATCAGCTTTAATTGCACCTTTATGAAACCAGTGTAGGAACCATCTTTGTTCTGTAGGAGCAGAAGTACAGTAAGCATTGCATGAGGGTCACATGGTTATAAAAGTTAGTAAGAATAAAAACAGGCTACAAGTCAGTGTCTCTGAGGGGCAAAGAAGCTAAAGTTAATTCTCACAAATCTTGGAATGAACAGGGGTTTTCTACAAATACAGGATGCCATCAAAACAGGGATGGAATATGCTTGCAATGATTGCTATACAGTAGTTTTCATTTTAAGGATTACAATGATGAGACAGCAAATGCAGACATAGGCCTCTGAAGCTCAGCTACCAAGTTATACAGGTAAAACTGCCAACCTAGCAGTTCAAACGTATACCAGCACAAGTAAAAAATTGGTACCGCTGCGGCTGGAAGGTAAATGATGTTTCCATGCACTCTGGCTTCCGTCACTGTGTCCCGTTGTGGCAGAAGTGGTTTAGTCATGCTGGCCACATGACTTGAAAAAACTGTCTGCAGACAAATGCCAGCTCCCTCGGCCTGAAAGTGGAGATGAGCACTGCACCCCATAGTCAAATTTGACTGGACATAACCATCCAACGGTCCTTTAGGAGAGCCAGTGTGGTGTAGTGGTTAAGAGCAGTGGACTCGTAATCTGGTGAACCAGGTTCGATTCCCCGCTCCTCCACATGCAGCTGCTGGGTGACCTTGGGCTCGTCACACTTCTCTGAAGTCTCTCAGCCCCACTCACCTCACAGAGTGTTTGTTGTGGGGGAGGAAGGGAAAGGAGAATGTTAGCCGCTTTGACTTCTTAGGGTAGTGATAAAGCGGGATATCAAATCAAAACTCTTCTTCTCTTCTTCTTCCTTTACCTTTTAACCTTACTAAGTTATACAAGGGCGAAGAATTATATCTCTCCTGAAACTTACCAAGCTCATGAAGAGGTTGCTGTTGATCTGACTGTTGTATTCTTTTATCCTTTGCTCAATCTCAGTTTGGGACAGAACTGGCTTGTCCCATTCGATCTGTTCATCCTGCAGAAGAGCAGGTAATCTGGAATTAGTTTTCAATGCAATCCCACAAATATAGTTCATTTCCCTTCATGGGATGTTAAACCAACATTTGTTTAGATACAAGTAGTGCAGTGGATCAGACCTTGTATAAATTATGGAGGTGGTGTCAAGAGAAACTACAGGTTTCAGGTGAAGCTTTCTACATGCCAGTCCTCACCACTCCTTGCTTTGGGGTTGAATGAACTCATTATACCAAGAAACAAAAACTTCCTGATTTCCATTCTCAGCTTTGAATGGTAGATTACAAAATCCTTGCAAACAAATCATATGTGGGTGTGAGAAGAGGCTGATAATCACATCATGCCTGCTTGGTGTTACACCACCCCAGAAACATGACTGTACATTGGCCCCATGATTAATATGCAACACCCAAGGATCAGAATTCTCTTACCATTAAAAAGGCTACAAAGTAGACTTATGCTGTACCTGCAAACTGCAGCATCTAACCACACTCTGAATTCCCAGAAGCTGCAAGAATAGGTATTCAGAACAATAAGGGTTACTAGTGTGGCACACGTGCCTGCAAGGGCCTTTCTTTGTACCCACTGGGTCCCCACCTGCACTGAAATGAAGGCATGAAAGAAGTATTCTTACAGACAATGAACCCCCCCTCCTTCGAATAACAGAATGCCGTATCTGCTGGCTTTCATAGTGTTGCAAAAATAATTTTTGATTTTTGGTAGGACACACAGAGGGTGCTCTGTCATGAAGAGAAGCCACCATACAAAAAATCTGCTTCAGTACACCAAAAAGGCAACCACCCTTCTTGTGAAGTACTTGCTTTACTAATGCAGAGACCAGGGTTCTCTATTTAGAGCCAAACATCTACTCTCAAACATGCAGAAACGGAAGCAACACTTTTCCAAACATTTACTTCAAATTGAATTATGGAGAATTACATTGAGATACAGTTTCACCTCAAGGATCTAGCTCTACCTCAAATAGGTACTTTGGCATTATGCACCATGGTGGTAATTCCAAATGGTTTCCACGTAAAGTAAACTCACTATGGTTTACGTTGCTAATACATGAAACAGGAATCCGACTGAGATTAAAAGGTAATGGGGCGCTCAGAACAAAAAGGATCAACAGAGCCAGCTTCTTAAAAGACATTAACTCCCGACATTAGTAACTTAATGCAGTATAGCCCTCAACCCGCTGAAAGCCAGGAATCTGTGCAATAAAAAGTTTGCTTTAATATGTACATTGTAGCTCCTCTACAGAAGAGAAACTTCCTTCTACAGTACCTCTAGAATTACATGCACAAAATGAGCACCCTTCTACATACACACCCACAACCAGTTTCTCTTTCAGATTTTCAGAAGAAGTGAATTGCTCATGGTTGCATCAGCCTCTTTTCCTGTTGACATCACTCTTTTTGGTGGGGGGAGGGAGACTGTAGGGAATTCCAAATGAGCTCACCAAAAACCAATCAGAAATCTCCAGGGATTACTGGGAACCACTTCCTTTCCCACTGCATGAGTAACCACATGAGCAAAAGGAAATGGGAGAGATCAGCTCCTATTCTCCCAGGGTCTCCTTCACAGAGGAGACCTATGAATAAAGCAATATGCAATCCTCTACACAGTATAAATATAATACAAATCATTTTAGCTGGAGACATGGGAGCCAAGCAATAATAATGCATTTGTGAGTCACTGACAATGTTTGTTATATGACCTTATATACTACTTCTAAAAAAATAAACCAGGACATCTTTTATTGATAAAGATGTATATTCATAAAAATACTGTGAATTAGAAAATGAACACAAACATCAATCACAATAACAAGAAAAGGAAGCATGAAGATAAAATTATCAAAAGCAGTTCTAAGATTTCATCATATCTTAACAGCCTGAGAAAAGCCTGGTGCTTCAAAAATAATTAAGTTAAGGCACCAGGTAAGAGGCTCTCATTACTACTAGTCTTACCTCATTTGGTGGTGTGACCCTAAGGAAGGTGTCCAAGATAGATCACAGCACACAGACAGGTTGGTGGGGTCATATAGTGTTGGCAACCTGTGCCCAAGTTGTGTGGAGTTTTGGAAGAAAAGCACCATCTCTTTGAATCATGTACAGAAATTAACCATGAGCCAGTGCTGGTCTTTAAGCAACAGCATGCCCTTCACATGGCCCGTTAGCAACCTTGTGGCTCTATTTTGCAATAGCTTGATAATACTTAAGCCACAGGAGTAACTCCCAGGAATTAGTTCTCCCTTTGAAATTTAAGCGGCTTGAGGGACGCGGGTGGCGCTGTGGGTTAAACCACAGAGCCTAGGACTTGCCGATCAGAAGGTCAGTGGTTCAAATCCCCGCAACGTTGCTCGGTCCCTGCTCCTGCCAACCTAGCAGTTCGAAAGCACATCAAAGTGCAAGTAGATAAATAGGTACCGCTCTGGTGGGAAGGTAAACAGTGTTTCCATGCGCTGCTCTGGTTCACCAGAAGCGGCTTAGTCATGCTAGCCACATGACCCGGAAGCTGTATGCCGGCTCCCTCAGCCAATAAAGCGAGATGAGCGCCGCAACCCCAGAGTCGGTCACGACTGGACCTAATGGTCAGGGGTCCCTTTACCTTTACTTGAAATTTAAGTGGCTTGAGAGATTGTTTGCAAAGGAAAATAGACTGGCATTTTTTGGGCACACCTTATGTGAATATGTGCCAAATTCAGCATTACAATTTAGAGTTGTACAGTTAATACTTGCAGAAGAATGGTACTTGGCCTAGAAAACCTGGCTGTGCGATAGCTCAAGACATTACAACTTGCCTGCCTACTGGCAGGTCAATCTAGAGACAACTTATTTTACCGTTTAGCTGAAATGGAAAAATCCTTCTGATTTCCAATGTTTAAAACAGAGGTGGGGAACCTCTAGCCCATGAGCCAAATTTGGCCTGGCAGAGGTCCCAATTTCATTTTCCCAAACCATGGCCACTTGCCCCACATCTGACATCCTATGTGATGTCAAGTGTGGGGCAGGTAGAGATGCAGCTGATCCCTGCAGAACAGCTGCATTGATTGAGTGACTAAGTTCCCATGGGAAACTTGACTGCACAGCAAATTCCTGCAGAAAGCAGCTTTGCCAGGTGTATGTTGGCACTGGCAAGCGCAGGGCTGGCAAAACCCTTGCACTGCAGTTCCCAATGCCTGACATCCTAACATTTTAAAAACAATGTGTGATGGACTTTGACAGGTGGGTGGGACCTCCTGCATACCAATCATTTGGTGCTATAATGACTTCAAGTGATTTACAGATGGGTTGTTCTGCCCAGGGGAGTAGGGAGTGATAGGAATCTGGGCCAAAAAGGTTTCCCACCCCTGGATTTAAACCATGAACTTTCAGCTCCAAGCATCTCATTCTCTGTAGGCAGGTAGTTGTAGCCCAGGCACTTTTAGCTGGCTCTTTCCATTAATTTTCTTACTCCAAAAGCAATGTCACATACCACTAAGCCATATTCACAGGTGTGGTGAAACAAAGTCCATTTCTGTGCCATATAAAACTAGTGAGCACTGTGAATTACAGAATAATGTATTGCCACTTGGTTCACGCAATGCATGGCTTGCAAAACAACAATGTACCCTTTAAATCTAGATGTGTTCAAAGTACAGGGCAGATATTCCACGTGCTAGAATCATCGGCACTATAAATTTTTTCTGTCAATTTAATTTTGCTTTGTTTTGTTTTTATCCATGCCTTTTATATGGCTTCCACAGCTATTATAGGTAGTATATTACAGAGTAGTAGAGGAGAAGTGCTTGTAGTCTTCTCTGTTTCAACTGCTCTTTGCCTGCCAAGGCAAACTACCAACTGCCTTTGGAAAGGATACCAGGAAAGTGAGTAAGAAAGGTGAAATGAAGTCTGCCCCTGCTTCAGCTGGAGTCATCCACTACTAGGTGCCCTGTGGGAAGGATCCTTATGGCTTGGTATTTGTTAATTTTGATTACTGTGTGCGAGTGTTAATATGCATTGATGGTACTTGTAAATAATTTTGGAAGGATTTGTATCCTGAAAAGTGTAATATAAATAATTGTAACAAGTAAGAGAGATGGGGTGCCTCCTTTCCCAAGCAGAATCAAGAACAGAATCGGCGCCATGCTACAAGTGTGCCTCACAACACAATCTGTATGAATTACTTCTTCAAGAGAGTCCTGGGGAGATATTCTACTTACATGGTTGAAATCATCTGCCTAGTCAGCACACTCATTTACGTAGTATTCATATTTTACAAGCATTTTAAAAGCTTCTAACCCATCCCCACAATCCACTTTATGGCTGGAGAACCAAGGTCAAGAGTTACTTTCTTCAGAGTTTTCCAAGACCAGAGCTTTCCAAACTATGTGTCACGCAAATGCTCTCCATGCTCCTCCCAGGGTTGGTACCCTTTATCTTTACCTTGCTAGTAAAACTGAATTACTGTGTCACAAAATTATGCTACCAACATGAAAGGTTTGAAAAGCTCTGCTATAGATGAATCCTTCAGAGCTAAATTGCTTATCATATCCCTTCAACAAGGAGTTGCCATACTAGCTATATAGAAAGATTTGCAGCATATTCAGCTTAAGGGCAACATGCTATTCCCTCTGTTACTGTGATCCTGCTAGACCCTAGAAAACTTCCATATTAGCTTTTTCTGACATAAAAAAGGTAAAGGACCCCTGACAGTTAAGTCCAGTCACAGACGACTCTGGAGTTGGGGCGCTCATCTCGCTTTATAGGCCGAGGGAGCCAGCGTTTGTCCGGAGACAGTTTTTCCGGGTCATGTGGCCAGCATGACTAAGCCGCTTCTGGAGAACCAGAGCAGCGCACGAAAATGCCGTTTACCTTCCTGCCGGAGCAGTACCTATTTATCTACTTGCACTTTTGGCGTGCTTTAGAACTGCTAGGTTGACATAAGGCGGCATCAAGAGGATAGAACAGATTAAATAGAACTACTAATTATCCTAAGCCCTCTACATGTTCTTGCATTCTCCCAATCAACTCTTCCGCTGTCTTATACCAACTGCTACATCCCACAGCAGCAGGAAAAACATTTATATTCACACTAAGTCCCAAGGAATAAAATTGGGATTTTATTTATTTTATATTTACCAGGGAATGGGAAATAGCCAGCAAATTATTTAATCTAGTTTCCTCTCCAACAAGTAGATGTTTCGTAGGAAGTAAACAATGCCACCCTCTTCTTGCTGCTCATCAGTTAACTAGGCACAAGATTACAGTAGCAGTGAGTTCTACAGGAAAAAAAATCTGTCTAAACCTGCCATGCACCACTCTACAGGAGCTTACATGCAAACTGACAAATCCAGCAAAGCCTGGATTGTGGGAAGCTGGGTGTATTGGGGTGGGGAACATTTCCTATGGATAAAGTTTTGACCCAAGGAACAAAATGGGAAGTTGCTGTATCCTGTGGAAAAGAGCAAGAGGAAATCTGCAAGGGTGGAACAAACAAAGGGGAAGATGGCTCTAGATAGGATGGGAAGGGCAGCTCCTGCTCCCCCCCAACACACACAAGGTAAACAAGTCAGGTTTGGGACACAGGCATCCTGTTTACAAGACAAAGAGCCATCTCTAGGACTCAATCCTATTATACAATTTAGAGTATACAATTTTTTGATGTCTCCTGCCCCTGCCAACCTAGCAGTTCGAAAGCACGTCAAAGTGCAAGTAGATAAATAGGTACTGCTCTGGCGGGAAGGTAAACAGTGTTTTCGTGCACTGCTCTGGTTCGCCAGAAGCGGCTTGGTCATGCTGGCCACATGACCCGGAAGCTGTACACCGGCTCCCTCGGCTAATAAAGCGAGATGAGCGCCGCAATCCCAGAGTCGGCCACAACTGGTCCTAATGGTCAGGGGTCCCTTTACCCTTTACCTTACTAATGATGTGCAAATGCCATAAATCACAGCTGGGATACTGTAACTGAAGCAATCCAGAATTAACTACCTCCGAGTTGCTTAACAATCATTATATTATATATAAACATGAGCCAACACTGTCTAATGGGCAGTGTTACCTCAGACCTAGTGTGCTCAGGCACAGATACCAAGAACAGACAAACTAAGGCCTGGGGCCCGGATCTGGCCCAATCGCCTTCTAAATCTGACCCACAGACAGTCTGGGAATCAGTGTGTTTTTACAAGAGTAGAATGTACCCTTTTATTTAAAATGCATCTCTGGGTTATTTGTGGGGCATAGAAATTCATTCATCCCCCCCCCAAAAAAAAATAGTTCGCCCCCCCCACAAGGTCTGAGGGACAGTGGACTGAGTGGACTGGCCCCCTGCTGAAAAAGTTTGCTGACCCCTGCACTATATGGTTTGTGACCTGTGGGCACTTTAAGTACCACTTTATATTAAAATGTGCCCATGCACTGAAGTCTTTGCCACAGGATATTATACGGGTGCTCTTCTCTCTAAAGTTAAGGGAGATGATAACCAAAGAGAAGGTATTCTCAGCTATTGCACCATTATCTTTGGAATGTTATCCCCAGAGAAGCTGTCCCACATATTCTTGTGAGAATAAATTAAGTAAGGATTATAAAATTTAAAAGCACCAAAGATATAAAAGGATGATCCTATCACAAGGAAATTGGGCCCTTTGTATAGCCTAACTGCAATTGTATTTTCAAAAACATATGCTCTTGCTGCAGTAAGTGGTGAGCAATGCTGAAATTAAAGTCGTAATTTAAAATTAATTTCAAGTCTGTAGCCATTAACGATACTTGTGAGCCTACTGACAATGCAATTTTTTTAAATCCTAGAAGCCTCAGAAGTCTATTGTCTAGAATTTTTCTGGAACTAATTATTAACTTTTATGAATATAAAAGATATATAAGTATTGAGAGTTCTCCTGCTGCACTCTGCTTGGTATTATGACTCATTAGATAAGATTTGCTACCACCTGCATACTTCCGTTTAAGATTAGACCCTTTCCAAAACACATGATTTAGAAAGACACTAATTCATGGACTTGATTGTGCCATATGTTAAAGCAGCTGAATAGCTTACTTTATGAAGAATGAAGAAAGGCAGACTTTGCTATCATCATTATCAGTTCTGACCTCAGGAGTGCTCTCATATGAGTAAAGAAAAAACCATAACCTCAGAAGTTAATTAACAGAACATAAACCCCCAAGCGTGAGTGATGCAGGACTGCTAGGTTGTGCCATTCTTTGCTGAAACAGGGGGCACAGCATGAAGACGAAATGCCCTGCAAAGACTGAACCCTCTGAGTCCCTACACACTAACACTAGAAACATTAGCTCAGGATAGCTGCTGGATTCCAGTCCAATATGGACTCTTAGCTGCATTGCTGTGGCCAGGGTTGTTTTGTTTTTGCTGTGCTTTTCTTAGAGATGTTTTGTGGTATATGTGGCTTTTATGTAAAGAAAAACCAACAGCGAAGATGGCCTGTGCACTCAGTGACTCAGTCCACATGTGAACAGGAAAGGAAGGGAGCCAGAGAGAAGAAGAGACAAAACCTCAAGTAAAAGAAAAGGGGGGCGGGGGACTTGTGTTGGTCAAGGGATTTAAGGTTTAGAACTAAAGGATGACCGCTATTCTCAACACTTCTCTAGTGTCCTCATGGTTCAACAGATTTCCATAAAAAGTGCCAGCAACATAAAACCCATGCCAATTCCAGGGTTCTGCCCCTGTTGATACCAGTGTTGAGCAAAGAATCATGGGGCTTAATTCCTACTGAAATAAGCAGCATAAGAAGACGTCTGTTGGGTCATACCAAATGTCTATCTAGAAGACTAGCATAAGCTACAGCCAACATGCCACTTTTTATTTGTCCAACTCCCTGGTAGTCTCTCCTCCCTTCCCCGCATATATAAATGAACATGGGCATTCCCTGGTGTCCCAGGAGAACATGAAGACAGACACAGCATAAGCCATCAGCAGACCAGTTGGGAACAAGAAAAAAATAGTTTACTCTTTCACTGGATGGGGGGTGGTGGAGAGAGGGGGCGAGAGAGAGAATGAATTGTTTACATACTGAGATCTTTAAAGTTATTGGATCTCAGCAAAAGTTAACTCTGTATTAGTCACAACCCTTGGCTAAAGAACATTTCCAGTTGTGCATTCATCCCATGTCAAGCTGCACTTTTGGGACTCACTGCAGGGTTTCTAAACTCATCTTGTCTATCCTGTGGAGGTCAGAAAGATACATATATTCCCCCTGGACCTGAGTGGAAACTCATTGGTGGAACTTTACAATACTGTACCAAACTTCACACCAAGGCTATGGAAGGGTAAAGGGCCTTCAGTCCCCATTAGACCTTGCAAACCACATCATGCTTAACACATATTAATGGGTTTGTAGTTGCTAATTTCACATCACAGGTCTGAGGGGTTGTTAGATCAGTATCTTGGATCATTTGCCAACTCCCACATGCCTTTCCATTCCTCCCTCCTACCATTCTCTTCACATGATGCAGACTAACTGTATTTCAACCCTGCTTTATCATACTTAATCAGAGGTGACTAACATTTTCTAATCAACAATGCATCCCAAGATGCCTACTGCTTCTACTTTGTCTTCATCATCTGTTGGTCATGCTCATGAAAACCTCAAGAAGAAGAGCTTATTTAACTGTTGATCTCACTGACTCCTTTCTCACCGTCCAAGTAAATTAAGAAAATTCCACTCAGACCTAAGACAGAATGAAAACAGCAACTCATCTACAAAAGAACACTTTATATTTGGCCTCTACAACCCTCTGTGATGTAAGGCTCAGTAGTTGTCACCCTGCAGACAACAAGCCCAGACTCTTTGGATGCAACTTGCACCTAGGTGTCCACCCCCACACTTGCTTTGAATCCTCAGGCAGGCTCAGCTGCTCCTGGTTACACAATAATAACTAGGCTGCCTTTTTTCTTGGCATACTGGCAACTGGGAAGGAGCATCTGGTAGCATGAAGGCAAGGCTAGAAAGAGAAAATGCTCTGAAGGAACTGCTTTTTCTGCAACACCCCTCCTCCATACTAATCAAAGAGAGCCACTCTTAATATGGTGCCAGTCTGCATCTTCATGAGAAATTTAACAAGAGCACTCACTTCTTTGTTAGGCAGTCATATGTATACACTTCATCCTATCAGAGACTTGTCTAAAGGCTAAGTGCATTTCAACATCACAAAATTGCTTGTATCTTTTTTATAAAAAGCAAGATATCAGGCTACTAGAATTAGCTTTAAGGAATTAAGGACTGGTTCTTCTGGTTCTGGGATCTCTCTTATTTAGATCTCTGGACAATGCTCTTTGCCAGATGAAACAAGCAGGTTCCCATTTCAGATATTGTCCCAAACAACTTATTGGCATTGATTTGATAAAAGCTACATTTCAGTTCCCCACATGCACTGCCAGTACCAAGGTCAAGGTTTTTTGCATGATTCCTTGCTTAAGCTGGGATGCTTAGTCTAAAATGTATGAGACACCACATATTTTGATCCAAACACTCAAGAGAATAAGAAAGCAGCTCCAAAAGCGGCTCCCTGATAGACCAAAGCTAGAGGAATCATTTTTGTTACTTTCATTTGGTGGCAGCACATAAAGGATATCATCATCGCAAGCAAAGCTCATCATACTTAAACCCACATGAGTGAAAAGTTTATGACCAATTGGCTATGTTGGTCTTTGCAGTGATACACACACTAGGGCTTGGCCCATGTAAAATTAAAATGGATGATAGTTATTTCCGCTGTCTTGTCATTGCATTGTAGCACCATGTGGTAATCTCATCTTGTCCCCAAGTGACCATTCATGCATTATTCTCAAACAAAGCTTGTTAAACTGCCATGATGCCGGATGTAGACCCCTTTTAAGACATAATCCCACACCTGTCATTACTATTAGTCCTCCTCCCAAAAGGACTCTTTCCCCATGATATCTGGAGCAACCACATGAAAGAGAAGAACAATTTTGCTAGCATGGAATGGCAAAAAACCCAAACTCACCCCTTTTCAATTTATTGTCATACACATGCTAATATGGTGGAAAATACAAGTAGTCAGAAAAAGAGAGAAATAATACACTCATCCAGGCAGGACAAACTGCATAGTACCATCAAAGGCAGTGCCAACCTACACCTCTGTGTATTTATGTTGCTCTCATCCCATACTGTATTTAAGAGAGCCAGTGCCCTCTCAGTGAAGCTCTGCCTACATCAACACTCTACATAAGCACTTTCTCCTTTCCTTGCTCAAAAGTAAGTTAGTGCTCAGGCTTGGAGCCCCACCCTACAAATAACACAATTGTGCTCCCTGCTGTTCACCGCAATCCCTGGACCCATAAACCAGCTACCTACCCAAATGCTACTGCATGCAACCTAAATCGTCCCCCCTCCCCCAACTGTCCTGTACTCTCGACTATGTCTTTGGCTCCTAAACAGTGAACAGACATAACTGGTTCCGTTTTCGAGCTAACTTCAGGGAGACAGAAAAATGAAAGGATTTCTCCTGCTCGGTTCCTCCCAACCCTCCAGCCTGCTCTCCAGGGAAGTTCCAAACAGAAACTCATTCTCACTGTTATTAACCGCAGCTGGTTTCGCGTTTGACCGAAGGTACCTTCCACCCGCTTTCGGTTTATGGAAAACCTAATGTGTTTTTTTTTGGGGGGGGGGGGGCGCGAGACAGAGACTGAAGTGGGCTGGTCGGAAATACTATGCCTTCCTTCCTTCCTTCCTCTCCCCGCGCCAACCCCTATGGATTTGGGAGCTTGGGAAGGAGATTCTAACACCGCGTGGGATTCCATCCCATCCACACAGCGAGATGTAAGCGCCGCGCATTTTGCATTAGAGCCGCCTGGAGACTGACCGGGGGGGGGTTGCCTCACCTTCTTCTCCTTGTGGGGCTTTCGGATGAAGGAGGTTCGGGCTGTGAAGTACTGCTCTAGCTCGGAGTCCGAGTCCTCTTGGCTGCAGTAGCCGCTGCTAGTGGTGCTGCTCCAGGTCATCTCGAAGGACGGGGTGGTGGCCGCCGCGTCACCCTCGCCCATGCCCAGCTTAGGCTTCTCCTCCACTTCCTCTCGCTCCCTTTGCTTCTTCACGAGAAGACCCGAAGATCCCCGCCCCGCCGCCGCCACACACCAGCGGACCAAACAAACCCAAGCCGTCTGCGTGCCCAAGAAACCCGGCAGAGCTGGGGAGGAGCTGCGCGGCTTCTCTCCCTACAAACTGCCTCCTGACGGGAGGAGGCAACGATAATAAACACCTAAACAGCGCCTAGAAGGAGCAGCCCGCGTCCGTTGGTCGCCTGCGAACCCCTCTTTCAAGCACTGAAGCCACGCCGGCCGAGAGCCGCCTCATGGAAGTTCCCCGCCTTCTGCCGGGCGAGGGCTGCTCGAGTGGCAACAGACTCCCGAGCTCCCTTTGGAGGCGGAGACGCCTCCTCTCCCTCCCTCTCCTGGCAGCCGTTGGGATTGAAACGTATACAGCCCCCGCACGCGCGCGCCTCATTGGACGGAGGCAGGGGAGGCTGACGTGGGAGAAGCCCCCCTTCCCGTCGCGGGCGAAAAGCTCGGCCCCGCCCTTTCCCTCTTCTGCGGGAGCGGCCCGCGCAGTGATTTCATCCCCAAGCCAGCCACGCGGGAAGTGGAGTCACGCTTACTGGCTTTCCTCTCCCCGCGCCTTTCAAGTCCTCCCGGAATAGCAACACCCTAGAGCCGCCCTCAACTTAACCTTACGCAGCCCCCCCCCCCCAAAAAAAAGCCAAGAAAAGAAAAGTTTCAAGGGTTGCGGTATGCATTCCCGGCATTCCCTTCCAAGTATACTGTATATATTGTCTGGGATAGGCAGGTTTGTTCGGCTGTATTTGTAAACCTACTCAGACGTAGGTCTCGCAGAAACATTTTAATAATTGGGTGGTTCATTTAAAAGGCAAAAACGCAGTTTCCCGTTTGGTTGGGTTGCTCCACTTTTCTGGGGGGCGGGGCGCAGGGGCAGGGATGTGCAGCTGCCAGAAATTCTGCATGTAAGCCTCACACAGATCTCTAGTCTTGGAAGAATAAAACGTACTGGATTTCTGCCTTGTGGGTACAGAAATTTGCCACAGTAAGAGATGACTGTCACAAAGACTTTGGAGTGAAGTGTTCCTATTAGTTCTAGACAGGACTAGAACTAAAACGACAATTATAAAGACTACAGTGACTACCTATCTTATTTCAAAGGCATGGGCAAATAAAAAGGTCTTCAAATTCCACCGGAAAATGGCCAGGGAAGAGGACTCTCTGATCTCCCCCAGCAGGGAGTCCCAGAGAAAGTCCTCTCTGACATTGGACTTCCATGCTACCTTCACAGCATATGAGAATGACCTCTCCTCTGATTGTAAACTGCACGTTGGATTATCTAAAGAAAGGTATTCCTTCAAGGATTTATGACGGGTACAACAATATCTGGAGGGCCACAGATTCTCCACCTCAAGACACAGAGAAAGGCAGAAATTCAATCACATGTTCCTTATACTAGCCAGATTAGAAATATTCTAAATTTCCCAGAGCCACGTGTGCAGACATCACTACAGTCACATGTAGAGAACATATCTGTTATGTACTGAGTTTAGCAGAATTCTAAAAAACAAAGCACAAGCCTATGGCCTCCACCTAGGAACTTTCTCAGATCATTTTCACTACGGAAGAGCTCTCAGGTTGATGGGGCACTGCCTCATAACATATTTAGTACATGAGTTAATCTAGTCCTGTTTAACTTTATTTTTGATCCTTTAATCTTTGTTGCTTAAAGTATTTAGTTCTGTAAATCTGGTAATCTCTCACCACCCCTTTGCTGCTCTAGACCAAACAGATAGCATGAATAGCACACCTCCAGGCATTTCTGGTCATAACAGATAAGTGAGGGAGGGAAATCTCTTAACAATATATGTTAAGACACCTTTGCCAAATTACAAGAAAGAAGATTCTGACTAAACATCAGGGAGAACTTTCTGATGGTAAGAGCTGTTCAACAGTGGAAGATGGTGGATTCTCTTTCATTGGAGGTTATTAAGCAGAGGCTGGATTGCCATCTGTCATGGATGCTTTAGTTGAGATTCATGCATTGCAAGGAGTTGGACTAGATGAATCTCAAGGTCCTTTCCAACTCTATGTTTGTATTAAGAGGTCAACGAGATGGAAGAACATTGAAGAGATGACACTTTGAGCCAAAAATCAGGGATTCCTCCCCCACCCAATTCCCTTGTACGTGCATGTCTGTCTGTTTCTGTCTGTCCTGGGAATAGCTTGCAAAAGCTGTTGCTAAGCAATGTAGTTCCATGGCAGAAGTGTTTAGTCCAGCACGTGGCAAAATGTTAATTGGCAACGAGCAATGCCAGCTGGGCTGATGGCCTTGCATCTCTAAGTACCTGCCCTTTCAGCCCTCCCTGCCCCTGGGACATGATAGCAACATCTAGCCCCAGCTGCAGCAAGCAGCTCTGCCAATAACAGGATGGAATTGGATCTGTCAGAACCATGATGAAATCTGTGGACCCCTCCCTTCTTCTGCTAAATCTTGTCTTGTTTTGAAAATGCAAGCTGATGGCTGCATTTATCGAGAGGTACCAGAGGCTTCCCACATATGGCAGCAGCAAAATTCTCTTAAGCAGATAAGACAGCCAGGGATAAACCCTCCATAATTTATAGTATGCCTAGTGCTATGCTAAATATGAGTGAAGATAAGAGAAAACCTAGCCATGTGAAGGAACAGAAGTGAGTGTAGGGAGCTCCTGAACATATTAGGATTTTCATACTTGTATACTGCATCAAAAATCCACTTTGTGTGTGTGTCTCTTCCTCATTACAGGCAGCTGCAATCTGAAGGGTAATCTGCAACATGTTTAGTTATCAGTTGAAAACCATCAAAAAGGACCCCTGATTTTAATAAGCTTGTCTGCAAACACTATCCTTTCAGACATATTCCTATATACATTTTGGGGAGCACCAGACAAATATCACACCAAGTCTGGCAAATCTATGAGTCCCAAGAACAAAAGGTATTATAGAACACAGGTGGGGAACTTCAGGCCCAGGGGCCAAATACAGGACCCTTGGAAATCTCACTTGGCCGCATACCCGCCAAAGGCCACGCCCTTCACTGGCACTGCTCTGCATCCTCCTTGAGTGCTTTTGCTAGGCTGGAATGTGTCCTTGCAGTGTAATAATGCACCTTGCTTGTCTGGATGGAGAGGGGTGTGCCCGTTCCTGAATTTTGCATGGCTGGAATATAGCCTACTGTACAATGGAGAAGTCACATTTATTGCCCCACTGACTTCTTGCTGCTAAGCCCTGTCCACCAGTGGTGCACAGTCCCTGGAAAGCTGCACAGGAGGGAATGCAGCCCTTGAGCCAAAAGAAGTTCCTCACCCACTATAAAAAGAAAGGAAGTATAGTTTGTAGTTCTGGCTATTCCAGCCTCAAAATGACATCTAGCGTGTTAATTTGGTACAAAAGTTACAAATGAACATAAAAACCACCTTGCCAATTCAGCAAATAGTGTCTCCCCTACCCCAAAGCCATGGTTCATAGTACCAAGGCCAACCAAGTTATTCTCGAACTTCTCCATCTCTCCAACAGAACTAACTAACTAACTGTTTGCTGCTCTTTCATGCCATCCCATATCAGCTGCCTATGACAGTCACCTCATCATGCCTAATGGTTGGGCTGGCACAACTTGCAGCATTTGTGTGAGCATTCAAGTTCTTGTAAAGGTGTGTTTCTGACTATTCCAGATGTATTTTCTTCAGTGCAAAGAAGCTATTTGCATTTTTACAGCCCCATGTATGATAGGGTTGCCATATTCCAAAGACCAAAAATCCAGACCCCCCCCACATTCGGGGGACCCCCCCATCCTGCATCTCCATTGCTTACCCCCTCCCTGTTGCTGACCCCTTCTTTGCCCTCCCCCCGCTTGCCACCTCCTTCCATCCCCTCTCTTACCTTCACTGTCTTCGACCTCCTGCTGTCTTTTCACCTGGGCACTCCTCCTGGAAAGCCAGGCCGGCCTTCCCCAGGCTGCAGTTGGCCTTTGCCACCTCTGAAAAAGCAGTACAGGCTGGCCTTCCACAGGTTGTGACTGGCCTCCACTGCCTCTGGAGAAGTGGTGCAGGCCAGGCGCTTCAGTGGCTCTGTGGCTGCGGGGCCTGCAGGGACTCCAGCCTGGAGGCCGCCGAGGGGGGGATGAGGAGAGACGTACAGAGGGCCGCCAGAAGTAACAGCGCCATGGCTACCCCTTCTTTTTGTGACAGCGCCACTGCTCAGCCAGTGCCCTCAGAGCGCCAAAAACAAAAAACACAACCCCAGACTTTAAAAAAAAAAAATTAAAAATCCTCCAGGCATGTCCCGGAAATTCTGGATGTATGGCAACTCTAGCATATGACTGTCAGCTATTTTCTTACCACGTTGGTGTCTTTTTCCACTGTCTGCTCATTGCCTTCATTCTGTTCACTGTCTTCATATCTGGGGCCACTGCAGTCTAGCCGGATAAGGGTGCGGCATCGGTAATGACAGATGAACTTACAGTCTAAGGAAAATAAAAAGAAGAGAGTCCGTAAGGCAAGGGGGGGGGGAGAGACAAAGCTCAGGAAGAAAAGGAACCCACAGGTTTAGTCTGCGCAAGGAAACGCACCACATGTCAGAACTCCAGTGTGTGGGGGAGAGCAAATAGGCTATTGCTGCACATCACACAACCTTTGCAAGTATGATTAAGCAGGAAGGGGTGGGAGGAGATGGTACTCAAATCTCAGTAGCAATATGTCAATTAGGTTTCAAACTGCTCAGGACCTCCTTTTTCCTAATTCTCAGGAAAAGGCTTACTCTAAGCACTGAAATATATTGTGAGATAGGCTAGTAGTCATACCTCATTTACATTTGCTTCAGGTTGAGCGTTTTCAGGTTGCGTCCCGCAGCGACCTAGAAGTACCAGAAAGGGTTACTTCCGGGTTTCGCCACTCGTGCATGCACAGACGTGCAAAATGACGTCACGCACATGCGCATGTTGCAAACGGGCCTCCGGAACGGATCCCATTTGCAACCAGAGGTACCACTGTACAGTGGTATAGTGGTACCTCAGGTTACAGATGCTTCAGTTTATAGACTCCACTAACCCAGAAATAGTACCTTGGGTTAAGAACTTTGCTTCAGGATGAGAACAGAAATCGCACAGTGGCGGCAGCGCAGCGGCAGCGGAAGGCCCCATTAGCTAAAGTGGTACCTCAGGTTAAGAATGGTTTCAGGTTAAGAACAGACCTCCAGAATGAATTAAGTTCTTAACCCGAGGTACCACTGTACTTCGTATGCCAAATGTAATCCGTTCTGGAAGACCATCCGATTTCCGAAACATTCGACAACCGAAGCGCAAAGGGTGGTCTGCAAAGTCAATGGAGAAAATTGGGAAAAAAACCTCAGCAGAAGCTGTTCGACTTCTGAGGCGTGTTCGAAAACTGAAATGTTTGGCTTCCGAGATGCTCGAAAACCGAGGTACCACTGTATTGAAGGCAGACTTCTTTCTTGCCTTTCTTCTCCTCTCACCCCACAAAAGGAAAGCTTATCTAACCTCTGCCTGATCACACCAGAATCATGGTCAACACTTCGTTTTTACTATCTCTAGAATCTTCATTTTAAACTTTTCTGTCTTTTGCGCTTAATATGCAATGCTGGCCTCTCATCTCCAGGGCATTGCTTTAATGCATAGCCATTGTATCCTCTTGGCAGAAAGACAGACCAGAAAATTACCCCTCCCCTCCCCACTCTCTTCAAAGGAAGAGGCATGAAAGAGCCTCTGTCCCAAGGCATCACCTTTCCATGGCAGCCACTCTGCCGCCTGCCAGGATAAAGGCCTCATTTTAAGAGGCAGCCTGCACTGATTATTTTCTGCTTGGATGGACTGAATCTGCTGCATAGGATATGTGCTCACGTGAGAGGAATGCTTAATGCCACTCACATAGTGTCGAGGCACAATGTCACCCTCAGCATAGGGAGTGCCTTGCTCCCTTAGGCCTCAGACAATCTAGATGGCCTTGTACTGGGCAAAACAGAAAGATAACAGAACATCCACACAAATGGCCTTCTCCAAGTCCCCCTTTTTTCTTGTGGCCTCATCAGGCAACACAAGCAAAAAATGGTAGAAGGATTAGGGGTTTCAAATATGCTTTCTAAGTATGCTGCCTTAAAAAGAAAAAGGAAGTAAAAAAGACACCAGCACACACATTTGCAAGATGTCTTCAGTTATAACATGGAAAGACCAACACACTTTTCAGAGAAGATACATGTTCAGCAACACTATGGAAACAGACTAGGAAAAAATATGGCAGAAATTTCTGGAAATCAAACAAAGCATGCTCATATATTTATTGCGAGAATGCATGTCCTCAGAAATATTTCCAGTCTCTGCCTGGGGACTTAAAAAAAAACACCTGATTTCTCTATGTTGTAATAAGAGACAACATTGTAAATGCAAAACCTTTCTGTATCTGCAATTTAAGCAGGACTTGATTAATCATTATGCTATGTGTAGATTGGAGCCTTTTGTCTGCTGCAATTATCAGATGTCGTTTTCATGCAGAAACAGCACAGCTTTTACTAAACAGCTGAGCACCATCCAAATTTCATTCCTGCAGCAAGCACCTTTTGTTACAGAGGAACTGTGCTTTCCAAGCATTCAAACACTCAATTAAGTTGCTGGAGAAATGCAATTATTTCTCTAGAAAGAACGCAGAATACCTCTACAGTCCAGACAACTGGTTTATTGAGCAATCTTCCTGATTTTCTTATTACACAAAGCTCACATGGAGGTCAGATTAGTATATCTAGTCTTTATTGAACATTCATTCCGATTTGTTTGCAGGGCAGTTGTACAACAAGTATTCATCCTCCATTCGTCCTGATCTGCTTGTGGGTGTTTATACATCTTCTCATTAATTATTAACCCATCCCACACTTTTCAATCCCATCACTTTCCAAACTGCAAAAAGCCATTCTTATTCCAACTGGATTTGCTCTAATAGGGCAGGGCTGGGGAATTATTGGCCCTCCAGAAGTTGCTGAACTACAACCCCCAAGAGCCCTAGCAAGCATGAGTAAGGGCCAGGGATGATGGCAGTTGTGGAATTTAGTACTGTATTTAGGCAAATCACTCTGGAGTCCATTACTCTCTCCAGAGTCCATAACCATCATGCACTTATTTTTAGACTGACTCTGTCAACTGTTGAATACATATGCCTGTTCAACTACCTCAGTATATGTAATGCTGCTTTTATCTGTGGAGCAGTAACTGGGCAGATTTATTCTTTGATGAATCACTAAAATGGCAGAGATCAAGAGCTGCAAAGTAACTGGCTCCACCTAAAAATCATAAAGATTAGTGAATTAATATCTTTCTCACCTACATATTTTGCAAAACCCATCTTTATTTTCCACAATTTATAGCAGCACATATTCTTATTGCACAACAGTAAACTCTTAGGTTTTATACATTCTGCCCACTGAAAATAGAATCGTGGTTATGTTTTGGCTCTAAGATAGTGAAGAAAATAATGAAAAGTGAAAGCAATCTGTGTCTTCAAGTCTCTTAGGCCAGAAGGCAAATATAATTTAATGAGTTTAGACTTTAGGGCCTTGACCAAAAGTATCAGCATCAAGCAGTGGGCAAGCCACTAGCCACAAACATCACAGGACTGAGGACAAAGAAGAATCATACTGAACAACATGAAACCACAGAGAAATGGTAATTCTATCTCAGGGTTCTAGCAGTTGCCAATTGTCTTGCACCAGTGCAAGTACTGAGCAGCAGAAAGCAGTCCTTTTACAGGCAAGTATAAGAGTTGCCACCATGATTTTTCAATTTTTTTTTTTTTAAAATGAAGCTCCTCAGCAGGAGAAATGCCGTTAGCAATTTCATTATTCTAAGCCAGTGAAGCCCAATTCCGCACTGCAAACTGTTAGATTTATTTCTGATTTGTCTCTTTGCCTGTTCTTTTCGAGGGAAAATAACTTTTAAACACTCTGACACCCTCTAGTGACATCTGCTCTGCTTTACAGGCATTAGGAGAATGCACTTCCATTATCCTACTTTTATCCCATTCATTAAGGTGCACAATTTTATTCTGGATTAATTACTCTGGAATAATTTCTCTCAATACTGTAAATATCTTTAATTGTAATCAGTAACGGATTAGACTTAAAATGAAACACTAACACCAGAGCTCTAATTTATATGGAGCAATTAATGCCAAACTGTTAATCCTACCTGAATTCTAGAATCAGAACTGCTCTTGACTGAAGGACTGCCTTATACAATTAGGATGTAGTACTCCAAAGTATTCCATGCCATCACTATTCTTGCAAGAATTTGTCTCTAGCCCTCTGCATCTCAAATCAATTGTTTTTAACAAGCAATCAAGGTTAGCAAAGGTGCAAGAAAAAATTAAGCGTTCAAAGTGTAACAATTCTGTTTTTAGGTCCAATTTATATGACATTTTGTAGGATGCGACAAGTTTGTTACAGTTTTCCTTGCTAAGTCTACTAAACATTATTCAGCATTAACAGTGTGCTAGACATTATACAAAACTGTTAGTCAATAGACAATCTTGCAGGATTAGTGTAAATTATGGGAGAATCAAATGTAAGGACACAAGGCAGAGGACATGGTAGCAATTTGAGAAAGTGGCTGGAACAAACAGGGTAAAACAAATGAAGTTCTCAGGGTGTATGGCAGCCAGAGACAAAGATACTGTACAGACAAAGATAGGCTCAGGGATACAAAGCCTGCTATGAGGCACAGTTAAGGAGCTCTTCGCAAATCACACCCACTGTGTTTAGAGCAGCCACATCCTTTCAGCTACAGTTGCTGAAAGGATGGGAACACTGAGGGTAGGCCAATCAAATTACTCTCAGCCATTCTTTGTGCTTGGTACAGACTAAGCTTAGAAGCAAGTCCAAGTCCTAAGAAGACTGCACATATGATACTGTTCCTGCTCAGAAGACTTACTATGTACAATAGATTAACAAGACAGAAGCTATGCCATCTTTTTTTTTCTGGAACAAGCCTCTATGCCGGCAACAGCTGCTTATCAGGTAGAAATTCAACAGGGGCAGCCTTCCCAGCCCTTGATGCTCCACAAACATGCACAAACTTTGGGCAGGAAGTGCTGAGTTTTTCACATATTCACATAGGCTGTCATTAAAATAAGCAGCCACAAATCAGGATCATCTGGGTCCTGGCCTATCAGAACAAGAGAAATAAAACAGCTGTTGTTCAGCATCCTGCAAGCACACACACAAACACAATATCTCTGTGTATGCCCCAATGAAAGGTGTAGCAGAGCTTTCCCTGGCTTTCACACATGCAACTTTGGTGCACAATACAGCACTGTTATCACATAATTATCCTTTTGGAAAACGGGGTTGGCAGGAATTCCAATCCATTGGAATAAAGGAAGCTGGTGAACCTAGCTGATTTCAAAGACCCAGTTTTCTTTTTGACATGGAACATCCTTTTACATGCAGCATCAGTAGTCACCGCTTAGCAATAAATCAACTCTGACACTATAAGCCAGCAGAGGAACGGAATACACATGCAGTTGACAAGAACACCAAAGCTCTCCCAAGCACCCAACCAAACAGGACTTCACTGCTGGACTTAAAAATAGGGGATTTAAGTGAATAATATTGGATATGGCCATGCCACACCTGCTTTCATGAACATACACATACTCCCACAAGCATTTTCTCAACATGGAATGATTCAGTGGCAGAGAGGAAGGAAAAACAGATACTGAGTCATCTCTGGCCCAAGCAAACCTCATTCAGTTAACCTAGTTTCCCTACATGTCCTCTGATAAACAATATGCAATAGCTTTAAGGAGACCCCCCAGGGTACTACTTGTTGATTGCCTAGGGCTAGGCCCTAGGCCATTGGAGAAGTTTCTAAATTCATAGTTTCAATTATGCCACAAGAACTGATGGCTTTCCTTGGCTGAATGCTGTCCTTAACCATCATAATTTGGGACCGTAACCCCTTTGGTCTTCTTCAGCCCCCCAACTGGGAACAACTGTGACAGCGTGTTCATTCACATATTTATGTTCGTTATCACCCATGGTAATGCTTATAGTTAAACATCCACAGTGGATCATCTCACTTCAACACAAACAATATTTTCAATGTGGGAGTTATTGTGTTTAGGTGCAAATAATCAGATGATGGTGAAACACACACACACACACACACGTGTGAACCAGCTTCAAGTCCATGTAGAACAATGTTTCAGAAACAAGTGAAAGAATTGTGGAAGCCCTTTTCATGCATGGGAAAATGCAGGCTGCTGGTGTCTGAGACCTCTAATCATTCCCACCCCCTTACCCTTTTTTTTAGTCCATCTTGTGCCCCTTTAAAGAAGAATTCTGAGAGTCTTAAAAACTACTCCTGCTCTTCAGAGTACATGTGAGAATTTATATAGCCGGAGCTTAGATGGTACCACCACAATATGATGATTGTGGGCTGCTGATTAGACTGTAGCAAACATTCATTTGAGATGTTCTGAGTTGCTCTTAAACAGAGGTAGTTCTGGCCTGTGTTAATCAGTAACAAATGAAGAAAGAGAAGGGGACTCCAATTTCTCCTACGGTCTGCACATACCTACTCCTAAATCAAAATATGATCCAGATAATCAAAATGGTAGAAAAGTATGAGCATGTTGCTTGGCATTACTGAATTAGATTTTGATTCATTCAGTTACTGTTAAGCAAGCATTGCAGCAGTATAACAGACATTGAGAGAGCCGTCACTCATGATGGCATGCGCATTTTACACATTGTAAATCTGCATAGGACTTCACATGCTCAAATGGTATGGGAATACAATACTGTATGTGAGAACATTCACTGGCATAGAACACTGTCTAAGGTCATATCCAAACCATCTATTTAAAGCACATGGCTTCCTCAAAGAATATTGGGAACTGTAGTTCACCCTTCACAGAGCTACAATTCCCAACACCCTCAAGAAACTATGGATCCCAGTTTTATCTGGGGAAGCCATATACTTCAAATGCATAGTGTGGGTGTGACCTCAGGGTCTCCTTTAAGCTCCACCATTTGCTTAAAGCTGCAATTCTGTGCATACTTTCACCCAAATCCAAACAAGCTACCAGAATAATTATGTATGTTTCTTTAGCTCCAAACCCCAATTCCTCCAAAACTTAAAAACTTTCCAAAGCAAACCGTTCTCAAGCAGCCCTTGTGCCAATACAAAATACGTCCTTTACCTATCCTTTCCCTCTGTGTGCCATAGGCTTGTCTCCTTTCTTATTAAAGCGCTCTTCTGACTTTTAATAGCTGCAGGACAAGCAGTATACAGCTTCTTTCAGCAGTGAGAGAAGTGATGGAGAAGCTATCCCAGTTGAATTTCTACCTGTAATGGAAGCCAGACAGGGCTACATCATCCTGGGCTACTTAGTTTACTTTTATTACTCCTATTTCTCTTCCATTTCTTTTCAAATTTATGCTCCCTGAACCGAACGCTACCTTGCCCTCCTGCTTCTCCCAGAACCTCCTGCGAGGATGCAAAGCGGCCTGGCAAATGCCGCCACGTGCGGCTGGAGGCCGGTACTCACGGATGCACTGCAGACGCTTCTTGTACACGCCCCAGATGAATTCCCCGCACAGATCACACCAGGTCGACTGGCTTTGCGCGCAGGGCTTGAAGACATGCCCCTCGCCCAGCTCCTCAGTCAGTTTGGGGTCGCTCTGGCCGCCCAGGAGTCGGATCTGGCGCACGCGGCTCAAGATCTCGGGCACTTTCCCCGGAGAAATCCTCAGGGCGTTGGCCCGCTCCAGCCGGACGGGACGTTCAGACGTGCCTCGCGGGCCCCGCGTCAGGTCGAGCTGCTTCTCCAGCCCCAAGTTCTTCAGCTCGATCATCTCCTGGTCCATCGGCCGGTTCATGGCCACTACATAAGCTGAGGATGCAAAGCGGGAAAGGGGGCCTGCAAAAACATTTCACAAGGGGCCCAGAAACATCCCCATCTCGCCCGCGTTCCTCGGGGGTCCCTGTGCTGCTCGGAGCAACCCGCACGCCTCTCTCGACCCCTTTCCCAGTCTGTCAAAAGTTCACTTCTTGTCTGTTTTCTCTTCCTCTCCGCCTGTCTTCTCCGCCGCCCCTTTTCACCCCTTAGCTTTAAAGCAGCAGCCAGAAAAAGTCACAGGCGATCTTTGTTGGGAAGATGAGAGCTCAGTAAGAGCCTCCCGCCCCCACGAGCGGGCGGGCAGCTTTCTTGGCTCCACAGCATCAGTCTCCTTTGGTTCTACAATCGTGCTCCATAAGAGAGGAAGCTGGGGAGAGTTGCGTTAGTTTAGGTCCTGCCTCTGAAGTGCTACCAGTTGCTGGCTTGCTCTTTCTTTTTTTGTTGAACAAGCAAGAGGAAAGGTCCCAGCTCCCCTCCCCTTCATGCATTTCCTCCTTACTGGGGGCGGGGGGGGGGGAGAGAGAGACCAACAGGCGGCGCCTAGTCCTGTACGCCTTGAAGTTGTCGCTCGTCTTGCTTTCCGCCCCCCGCTTCTCCCGCATTAAGGCACCTCCGGAGTAAGACCGAAGAAGCGCAGCAGGTTTGAGAGAAGCGGCAGCCGGACACGTTGCCAACTCCCCGACAGCTGCGCGGCATCATTTCGTGGGACAGGCTGTGTGTGCTTGGGGGGGGGGGATATGCAGGGGGAACCAAAAAGGCGGGAGAGAAAGACACAGCTGTGAGGGAGTAGGGGAGAGTTGGCGCGGGAGTTTTAAGACTCCAGAGCATGGGTAGGCAAACTAAGGCCCGGGGCCGGATCTGGCCCAATTGCCTTCTAAATCCAGCCCGCTGACGGTCCGGGAATCAGCGTGTTTTTACATGAGTAGAATGTGTCCTTTTATTTAAAATGCAACTGTGGGTTATTTGCGGGGCATAGGAATTCGTTCACCCCCCCCCCATATAGTCCGGCCCCCCACAAGGTCTGAGGGACAGTGGACCGGCCCCCTGCTGCAAAAGTTTGCTGACCCCTGCTCCAGAGAGTCTCCACGCTGAGGGTTTCAGCAAAGCCGTCCCTCATAATCCCGAACGCTGCGTCAGACAAAAGGAGACCCCTCCAGGGGAGCTCTTGCTCCCCACGTCTCCTTAAGGACCTCGAGCAAATCGCCTCCCCTCCTCGCCCGCGCTGGGTCCTCCGCCTGCGCTCACAGCGAGGTTCCCGGGCTCGCGCTCTACTTCTGCAGCTGTGTTTCTATAGCGATGCTGCTGCTGCTGCTTTCGAAGCGGGCAACCGCAGCGCTTCGAGAGGCCGGCGCCTGACGTCAAAGTCTGGGGAGATGGAGGGGCGCACGGCGGGAGACGGCGCGGCTCCGTCTGAGCGGCAGCAAAGCGCCCATCTACCCTCAAAGGGAGGCTTCTGCGACCGGGGTTAATCTCTTCGGGTTATCAGCAGCTGGCAAGAGCAAAAGAAGCTCTTCCCCAAGGAGTGGCGCCCAAGGGCGGCTGTTTGCTAGGGCGCCAAAATAGGGAAGGGGCCCTCTGCCACTCAGACAACCACCATTTTCACTAGGCCTGGAACACCCAAGAAAGGATGAAAAAATGCTGAATTTGCACATCCCTCCTCTACTAGGTGTGGGCTGCCTTGTCTGAGGTCCCATTAAATCCTGAGGCTGACACTGTTGCCATTTATTTTTCTGAGGAGGGAGCATGGGCGTAGCCAATTTTTTTGGGGGGGGCAGGACTTTTGTTGGGGGGACAGAACCCATGTGAATGATCTGTTAAGTATTTCTGTTGTTTTTCTTGATCTGGGGGAGGCAACTCCCCCCTCCCCCTGCTACGCTCATGGGACAGAGAATTTTAGACCTTTAAAAAGCTATTTAATCTAATTTTATGAGGGAAAAGGAAAGATTTATCTGTCTAGGGATACAAGATTACAATACACACATTCCATATGCAATAAATACCCCGCAATTGCTCGTTCAATAAGTCTGGTGAGCATGTACCATTTGTTCTTTGAACAGAGTCTATTATTTATCCATTTTAGCTATCTCAAGATATTAAAAATAAGCCATTCCTTTGTTCCTTTACAGAAGGCACTGCAACACATTTCCAGTGCCAAGCAAAACATAGTTTGCAGTTTTAAAAATATGCAACAGACTTAGTTTAAACGAGCTGCTATACCAGCCTTAATGAAATCAAAATGTTAGAGCATTCCCTTCATTCCTGCTGCATAATGTCTCAGTACTAGATCACCTCCTTGAGACCTCTAATTGGTTTGGATATTGCTAAATGTTGGTTCCAAGCAAGTAAAGCATAAACTTAGCAAGGAAACCAACTCTTATACTCAGTACACTCATAAAGTACTGCTTACACTCACATTTTTATGAAATCTGTCTGACCAGCCTCCTGTTGGCCTGCATAATTTGCTATTCTTGGCTTAAGTAATTGCTTACCTGTTTCTTCATGTAACTTATTGTGTAAATGTTCACAGTTGTGTTTTTCATTATTGCATAATGTAATTTAGAGGGTATTGTTGTTTTTTGTCCTTGTTTGTGAGGGCCTCCCTACCCACTTACTACCCCCTCCGACAAACTAACTGTCAACACTTGGATGTTGGTGATGGGGCAAACAGCCACATTCTCAGAGAAGTAGCCATCTGGAAACATTGTGCTTTTGCTGTTCACATTCTACTGAAGTCAGGGATCATAAGCAATGCATGGAGATTGTGGACATCATCTGCATTTCCTTCCCCAGTGCTTCCTGCCTGGGAAGTTCCACAGTGTAAACAGAGCCTAATCATTTGTCTTTGCATAACAAAAATGTTTTTTCTTGTTTGTAGTCATAATACTCTGGACTTCCTTAAGTCTTTAGGGTCTCTGTGGTGTCTAGATATACAACTTCTTGTAAACTTTCTGAAGGCAGGACTGCACTGCACCCCACTGTGATGGTCATACTATATCCCTAAGCAGGGTTACAAAGGATGCTGTTGTTTTGTTTTGGGTGAACTAATTCAGTGAAGCAAACCATGAAGTGGGTATCTTCAGCCTGCTTTTAGTGTGATTCTTCACCATTTGTCAGTAAATGCTTGATTGATGTAACCCACCCATCTGACTGGATTGCCCCAGCAACTCTGGACTGTTTCCAACAAATATAAAAGCATAATAATAAGATCAAATACAAAAAAGTTCCTTATACAGGGCTGCCTACAGATGTCTTCTAAAAGTTGTATAGTTACGGTATTTATCTCCTTTACATCTGATGGGAGGTCGTTCCACAGAGTGGGCACCACTACAGAGAAGGCCCTCTGCCTGGTTCCCTGTAACTTCACTTCTTTCAGTGATGGGACCTCCAGAAGGCCTTCAGAACTAAATCTCAGTGTCCGGGGTAAACTTATTTGCCAAAATGATGCAAGTGAAGGTGGCATTTGTAAAGAAGAATTTACAGTTTCTCATCCACAAATGTTCTCAAAGGCTGCCCTTCTCTTCAAAATGATTTGTTCTGGTTTGTTTTGGCTGTGGCAAATGTTTAATAACAACCTCCCTGGCAGTCCCCACATCTGCATTTTCCTTTTGAGGAAATCACAGAATTGGGACAATTAAGTTTTCCACATGACATGTACTTTCACTAGGTTTCTGGCAACACAGAAAGTCCCCAGAACTCAGCTGCTTCCCCACTTTGCTTGTTCATAGTGAGATGTGTGAGTTATATTGTGGAACAGATGGGGAAGGTGAAACAGAGAAAATAATTGGCTTTGTCTTCCTGCTTATTCTGAGAACAGAGTTAAGAGGCTACAGATTTGGGCTGGCATTGCAGACAACCAAACTAGTGGTTGATATTTACTGTGGTCCTTCCCCATTTCATGAAGTACCTCTCCATTAGCATTGCACAGGGCTTCAGATGCATCCACAACCAGAAGGAACAATGTCCTGTTGAACCTCTGGAGTGCTCAAAAGCAGCCTTGTTACCAGGTGTAAATGATGGCATGGCTTTTCCTGAGTGGCCTCTTGATGGATGAAATCACTAGCTGATCTTTATACTGCTGACACAAAGCCCTTGGCAGGTTTCCTGCAAGGCCCTATTGCTGAAGGTTGGCTGCATCTGAAGTCCATAGTAGATTGTTGCTAGTGGTTGCTGTGGAACCATATTGTTTGGTTTGCTTATTTTCCTAAAATCATCTCTCAGTTTGGAATGGAAAAAACAAGTCAAGGAGAACATTACAGGCCTCTTGCTTGCTCTAGGGAGCTGCATCTTGAACTTTTGCAAGATATATCCATGGGAATAAATCCAAAAATATTGAAAAGAGTCTAGAAATGGGTCTATTTTTGTCATTTCCTGGGAGTAAACATCTGCCAGAGAAATGTTAAATTTGGAAGGATGTAAGCAGCAGACTTTGTAGTAATTTGGCTGGGTTTTATTTAACCTTGGAAGATCCAGTCTTTTTCTTCCTACCTCTTATAGTTGAGTTCCCAGTTCTGTCATCTTATCAAAATATTTGAGTTTAAATACACTTTCAGAGCTCCAAAATATAAATTTGGGGCCATCCATTAAAGTTGAACGTTGGAAGATTCAGAAAAGACAAATGATAGTAGTAGTAGTAGTAGTAGTAGTAATAATAATAATAATAATAATAATAATAATAATAATAATAATTTATTATTTATACCCCACCCATCTGGCTGGGCTTCCCCAGCCACTCTGTGTTTATTTGCAGAGCCCATAATTAATCTATAAAAATCGCTCCCACTAATAATATAATGGCCATCAAGTTAGATAGCTTTAAAAGTGTATTAGACAAATGCATGGAGGATAAGGCTGTGTTTTGCCTCCAATGCTGGAGGCAGTATGTCTCTGAACACCGGATGCTGGGTATAACAAGCAGGGAGAGTGCTGTTGTACTCAGGTCAGTGCTGCAGTGCCTATAGGCAATTTGTGGGCTACTGTGAAAACAGGATGCTTGATCCAGCAAGACTTTACTTGTGTTCGGACTCCCCAGACAAATTGGGTTGCTAGTAGCTGAATTCACATTGAGGCCTTAATTCCATATGTGAGTGCTACTTTTGTTTATTCAGTCATGGCCAGGGAGATTGCAACTTGAAAATTCAGGGCCAATATGTTAACATGTGTTAATTGGCTTACTATTACCAGGATGTCTGTATTATCAACGGCTATGTCGTGAATTACCACTATCAATTATGTAACTGATTATGTCACTGTACTTTCTGCCTTTCATGTTTTTCTTACTTCATTGCTTAAAATTCACCTCTGAGCCTTTTGTTTGCATGTACATCGTAGATAACACAAACCTTTTCACTTTGAGGAAAAGGTGTACAAATCAACTATGTTGACAGCAGTGATATTGCCACTGTTCCAAGAATAAAAAGTGATATGTGAAATCTCTTGTTATTTCCATTCCAACATCTGCCAAGCCAACCCACTCCCATATCTCAGCTAGGAAGGACCTACACTTTAAACATGAACAAAACTGATGGAACATTTCCCCCTCTTGTAGATTGTCTCCTTCCTTCCTTCTAGCTGGTTAATCAGTTAAAAGCTCATTTACAAGACAATAACCTCTGATTTGCTATTCTTTAGTTTCCTAGAACAAGAAATGTTTGCAGGATATGTGATGTGGAAGCAAAGCGGAAATTGATAAAGGAATAGATTTATGTTATACGTAATATTATGTACATGCACATATGCTGCTGCATATTTCCTTGCCAGAAAACAGCACTTGTTGTTTACACAGATGATATCCTCTAAAGACCAGAGATTGTTTCATAATTTTACAATGAGTGGTTATCCTGGTTATTTTAATGTAGAAAACCAAGACCCGGAAAAACAATTAGTCAATTCCCCAAGGTCAAATCTAAAACCTTACAATTACCAAATGAGTACTGTACTGTACGTTCTCCTCTGCTGTTTCTCTGAAGAATGTAGGTGTGTGTGTGTATGTATGTGTTTGTGAAGGAAGAGCACTTGTTCCAGTCTTCTTTTAACTTTACTTTCTCCATAAGCTTTGATTTTTACCACACACAAAAAGCAGCTGAGTCTTGGACTATAGAATGAAGGCAGGGAGGAGCTTAATGGTCAACTATTTTGCTCCCCACTACAGTAAAACACAATCCCACTTAAATCTAGAATTAGATAGTCAGGAATTTCTAAAGTAAGCCTTAAGTTTAGTAAATGCCTGTGCATAGCCTGCCTAGCTCAAGAAGTAAACCATATTTGAAATGCAAAACTTTACATGTCTGCTCAGAAGTAAGCCTCACTGAGTTCAGTGGTGCTTACTTCCAGCTAAGATGGTCTAGGACTGCAGCCTTATAAAACCAGGGACAGCTGGGATACTTATGGACAGCTAATGGTGAGAACAGTACTAGAAATGTGGGGGATTAAGATATTATTTTTGCAAAAGCTAGCTGAGACACAGCTGGCTCCTGTTTATTTTTGTCACTGGAAGACATCAAAGAAATGTTGAAATAAAAACATTATCATGTTGGTCATAGGTCTGGTTCTTGAACTCATGACTGATTAGAACAATGAGCATCAACTTCCATAGTGCCTGGTGTAAAAGAAGTATCTTCTCAGAGATAACAAGCGCTGTAAGAATTTTATAAATCTTGAGCAGCAACCTTTATTATCATTTCAGCTTGATTTTTCCTTACAAGACCAACTATCAAGAAGCATACCTGAATTCATATTTATCTGGACTGGATGGCCTAAAATTGGAAAAGGCCATTTAAACATTATTCTTAGTATATCTTTTAAGTTTAGCTAAACCAGTAATTCACCTCCAATGTTAAACTGCATCTGACAAGCTCAATCTTGTCACTAATAAGCCTTCATTTAAAAAACCCTTTCATCTTCTTTTTGCAGGTACAATTCTCTAGGCAGGATGACTGTGACATAATGAAAACCAGGCAAAATGGGCGCTGTGGTCAAGGAACCATGAAACAGCACTTGTTTGCCATATGTGTGTTATACCATGATGCTAGTCTTCATCTTCATGGGCAAAGAGCACAGCTGAATGCACAGAATCAGAGTTAATGACCCAAAATATCTAGTCCAACCACTGACCTTAAACTATAAACTCATCAGTCCTTCCCAGACTACAATCCATCTGTAGTCCCAGTGTGCTAGAATTATATGTGTGATGTTTGCAGAGCAAGCATGACACAAGCAAACAGAGCCAAGCCACACACTATGAGGTAAGACAGTGTCCCTAGTCAATCAGTGTATGTGTGTAATTGCTCTTTCCAAAGAACTGCCAAATGAACAATACAATAAATATATGTATTTTATGCAGATGCCAGCTCATTTCACATATAAGGGTTTGACTGGATCCACTCTTTACACTAAAAGGAATGGGCAGAGGAAGTTTGAAACCGACCCTCTTCCGCCTTACCTAGCTTTGATCCACTTCCTGAAGCAATTTTCTTCCGGCATGGCTCACCTCTGGTATCAGAACAGGATTAAGGAAAGCTGTTTAAAGCAGTGGAGGGCAGCAAGGTAACACATAGTAGGGGCCGTTTCTGCTCCCCGCAGTGTGTTCTTTTTTCTGTAACAATAGGCCCCAGCCACCTTTTTATTTGCATAAAGGACAAACACTTGCACAACTACTCCATGTCTAATTTAGCCCTGAAGCCCCTGGTGAATATAAGCAAAATGGATAAAAGGATCAGTTTCCAAGGGGAAAGGGGATAGGATTCTTTGGCAAGCTCTGAATAACTTTAAATATTGAAAATATCAAAGCCAAGACTTCCTTGATACTTTTAAACAAGACTTTCATTCACTCCCTTGGGACTTCTTGCCTGAGGGTATCAATTACACATAGCATCACACTCCTAAATGTTCTCACATGGCAGACATTAGTTTAATTTTTAACAACAAAACAAGGATTAAATAACAGAATCAGCTTTCTCAGTAAAGATGTAATGTGTTGTGCTCTCAATTCTGAAACCGTGCAGCTCAGCAAAACTGAAATTGTTTAATTAACCACATCCTTTCCCTGTCTCCTCCCTTGGTTTAAGCACTCAATGCTTCTGAAGCAACCAGATGGGACAGTTGGTAACACTGCCTGTTGCCCCTCTCTATTCTTTTCGTCCCATAGTACAAAAGACACATATGCTATTTTGAGACTTCAAAATATTTCTAAATGCTGGGATCCTCGTCCATATAGAGTGCAGCTATTAAAGTAATTGACATAAATTGGGATCAAACAACATGTTATATATAAATGTGTATAACTTAGTCTTTACAAACACTACCCCATGAGGTGAAAGCTACAAGTGGGGGCAGGAATTTTGAACAGGGTAATATAGTCAAGCACCCATTCTGATCTGTTGCTTCTCATTACCCCCTTCAGAAGCAGTTTTTATCCAAAAACAGCCCTTGAGCTACAGTTTGTATGTAATGTATATTTTGCAAAACAATTAAATTTAGTTGTTTTGAACAAGATGTAGAATAAACTGTCTCTGAACTGAGATTCAAGTATTCAGGATATAGCTATAATTTCAAAAGTAAATTTAAATTACTGAGATCTAATAGGAACTTTGTAAATTGTAAGAATGCTCTCTCTGTGTGTGAATGTGTCTATACACTCCACAGTGCTGAAAAATGGGTTGAATTTGAACAAGATATTTCATGCTCTTTAGATTGTTTTACTTCTCTCTGAAAAGCAGCATAGGGAAGTCAGATAAGGAGAGTGTCCAACATTATAGAATGGCATATGAAAAACAATCCAGAAAAGATGAGTGCCTTCTGGGTTTAATGATGATTTCCCATAAAGGCTTAAAAAAATAGGCTCAGGTTTTCATTCTCAAATCAGGTATATCGGTATCAGTGTCTGCATCGGTTCATGGAAAGAAAACAATTGTGAGTCAGCTTCATCATTTCTGCTGTTAACTGTAGCAGGGACTCTGGTTTATTTCAGTGCCATGGGACTGGGCAGGCTCTTCATCTAAGCCAGTATGCAAAACAATTCCATAGACTTAAAAATTCTAAATGACAAAGTAAAGAAGCAATTCTAGCACAACTAAAATTCAGCCCTTCCAAATTCCTAGGGAGTCACTCTAGCTCTCCGTCACTAGTACAGGAACAGTCCAATATGCATGCATCACATTCACAGTCCAGGAGACAAGCAGCCGTGGTATTTTAAGATTAAATTGGCATAGGGGAGAGAACCTAAACCAATAGAGACTCAGTGGGCTCAGTGTTTTCTTGTGCAATCTCTTCTAGTGTATGAGAATTTTGTTCCTCTAGCCTAGGCTGTATTTGTTTGAAAGTTTGTTAAATCTGACATTAAGTGGCTTCCTGTGTATGCTGTTAATAGGAGGGTATTTTCTAATCTCAAACTCTAAAATTTAGCCTATTTGTCAAAGGAGGAACTGGAGCAAACTCCTCTACTCATCAGAATTACTTGGAAGGAGTTGTCTGCACTTGTACATCTTCCTGTATTTTCTTCAAGGTATCAGCCATCAAGTTGCAAGCTTTCTTGTGCTTCTGCCAGTGCTGTACCTGACACTCTCTGCAAAGGGGAGAGTGAAAAAAGAAAGGATTTTAGAAAAAAATAATAGGTAGCTCAGGAGTCAGAATGGAATATGGATATATAAATTTGTTAACTGCAAGATTGAAGCCTCCCTGATACCTTTAGCAGATTGCCATTCTACTTGAGGTACTGCCTCTTGATTTCTATGATCTCCTTTGTGGAATTTTAGTAAACTGAAATGTTCATTATTGTGTTTTGTTATTTTAATTTTGTTTGTATGGGTATACTAGTATGAACTTGAGAAAAGTTGTACTGTATATGTCTTAAAACAGTATTTTGCCTCGAGTGTTTATATCACGCAGTGATTAAAAATCTATTTTTAAACAGTGATTTGGATGCGGAAACTGGAATTGGTGTTGTATAAACTATATACTGTAAAACAAGTTCACTTTGGAGTGGGGCACCAATTTGTGATTTTTACCCACATATTTGAGAGTGGGACACTGATTTGTGCTTTCTTACCCACATATGGATAAACAGGAATTCTATTATCCCCTATATATCCTTCTGTAGCCAGCACAATGTGTATTTTTGCTTTCTATATTTTTAAAGAAAGTATAGCATTGTGGCTAAAAATACAGGCTATGATGAGTTTATTAGTCCTGGATTCAAATCTCTCATCAGCTTTAAACTCTCTGGGTAGCCTTAAACAACCTACTATTGCTCAGCTTCTCATCTTCATATATAATATGTAAATAATAATACTATCCATAGCTTACAAGGTTGTTGGGAAAAACAACTTAGATAATATCATGAAAAGTGCTTTGGGTTCTTAGGAAAAAGCACTATATAAATTTCAAGTTTTAATATTACTAATAATTCTTCCCCTATTTTGCTTTATGGACAAAACTGGCTGGGGGAAATCCAATGCAGATTCATACAGAATAATTTCCTCCATCTGAGCTGTGTTTTCCACTAACCCTTGTTTGGAAATTAAGTGTCAGAGCAATGAGAGGTAACCTTGAAATATGACATCGAGAAAAACGTATCTTCTGACTCAGTTAAGAAAGCAAAGGGCAGCCTCAGTCTGCACAACTCCTCTTTATAATGGGCATGAATGATACACATGAGAGTTGCTATGGTATATTGCAAGAGGTTTGATCAGCCCTATAAGATGTGAGGAATGGTTAGCTCATGTCATTTAGGATATGCCTAATCTAATGACTGTCTTATTGTTAAAGGTCTATTAGATAAGAGAGAGTGGATATAAAATGAGGAACGTCGAAGCATGGATCTGAAATATATTTCATATAATTTCATATATTTCTGTAAGGAAAACAGAACTGCAATGGAGGGATATTCCTCTAATGGAAGTTTAAGAGTCTGCACTGTGGACTCAGTAGGAGTAGTAAAATACCTCAGAATAGCAAATGTCTGCTAAAGAAAGATTGTTTGAGATAGTCAGTGTTCCTATTAATAAGATTAATCAAGGCTATAAGAAAAAAGTTTATTTAATTTTGGAACTATGATTTAAAGATTGGTTAATACTGTGTATTTTTTGCATAAGAAAATGCTTACAAAGGAAGATGCAAAGACTCATATGGAACAGTATAATCACTAAGTTGCAGAGCTCAGATTGCAGTAATGTTAGTAAATACTACTAGATTTCACAACAAATGAGCCAGAAAAGCAAGATTGTAGTCTAGGTAAAAGCCAGTAAGGTGTCCTATAGTATTCAAAACACAGGCTTTAAAATGAATAGCTTTTGCTCTGAGGGGTATCTCTGAAGCTTTTGCCTACATATGAGCTACCCCAAAAAAGGGCTCAGTATAGCACAGCAACTGTCTTATGTTAGGTGTACTTACCTTTTGCAATACCATTCATTCCGGCAACGAGAGCAGCGTTTTGCTGCCTCGGAGCCACACATCCCACACTTGGGTTTCTCTGGGATCAGGGCTTCCATCACATCCAGGTTGTATGTTTTTGCCCATCTGATTTAAGACAGAAAGCAGGCTTCAGAAAGTCCTTCAAGCAACAGCAGATAATTCCAACAGTTACTTAGTCTTCGTCATGTGCTACAGGATAGAGCCTTTACATCCAAGACTGATATCACATTCAGCGGAATGTCAAGTGGTATTGTAAGGTAGCTGACAGCTAGTTGAATTTAGTCCAATATGAGAACATAAATAAACAAATAAATAAATAAATGGATTCACAATCTTGATTTAAAACAGTGTTATAAACACTTCATACAACTGCAGGCTGGACACACAATGACATCACCACATAATGGAAAAGCCTTTTCCCAAAGACTTCCTTACACCTGGAGGACAGAACTAGAATTCAGACACTAGCAAGTTAGAGATAATTAGAAATACTTAAACACGTTCAGAAATGAAATGAAATAAATTTAAGAAAGTTTTGATGGATCATACTTGTGGACCCATTTCCTAATTCTAAGAAAGCTTTCTTGTGCTTTGGACACTGCTAACTGAAAAAGGCAATATAAAAGGTAACTATAACACAGTCCTAGAGCAACAGTACTTAGATGTGGTTTCTGGGTCCTGTAAGGCGAGTATGTGGCAGGGAGCCAAATCCCTCTGGCAAAAAACCAAATCTGACTCAGAAGTGTTTCACATGATCTGCTATAGCCTGTTAACATGCAAGAGGCTTTTATAGGTTTGAACTCCAGCTGTTTTTGCTTTGGTTTCCTTGGATGATGCACAGCCTAAATTCCTGCTTGGCAACTCCAAAGGCCTGAATACCCACCTGTAAGTTCTGAACAGGGACACGGGTGGCACTGTGGTCTAAACCACTGAGCCTCTTGGGCTTGCCGATCAGAAGGACAGCAGTTCGAATCAGTACAGTGACGGGGTGAGCTTCCATTGCTTTGTCCTAGCTTCTGCCAACCTAGCAGTTCGAAAACATACCAGTGCAAGTAGATAAAGAGGTACCGCTGTGGGAGGAAGGTAAGTGGCATTTCCGTGTGCTCTGGCTTCCGTCACGGTGTTCCATTGCACCAGAAGCGGTTTAGTCATGCTGACCGCATAACCCGGAAAGCTGTCTGTGGACAAACTCTGGCTCCTTTGGCCTGAAAGTGAGATGAGTGCCGCACCCCATAGTTGCCTTTGACTGGACTTAAGCGTCCAGGGGTCCTTTACCTTTAAGTTCTGAACAACTCCAAACCAAACACTAAAGGACGCTTTTTTCATGACATTATGTTACATGAATATAAGTTCACATTTCACACGTCAAAGACCTTCTAATTTTACTATAGGAAGTCAAATTTCATCCGGGGGTTCCTAAACCTAGTTGAATTGGGAAAGCTGAATGTTATTCAGCATGTGAGCTTTCAGATTCTGTGCATCCAGCTGGCTAAAACAAAGACTTGCCATAACATAAGCTTTGATATAGTATGAATCTGAGCATAGTAAAATTTTACCTGCAAGCCTGGCTTTTCAGTTCCTCCTCTGAAGGGCTAAACATGTTGTTTACCTGGTGCTTGGCAATTGCTTGCCATTTTCCAGAGTTCTTACTGACAATGTTTTCCCATATTACAGGAACCTGTTAGGACAGCGAAAAAAAGAAAGAAAGAAAGAAAGAAAGAAAGAAAGAAAGAAAGAAAGAAAGGTGAATCCATCTAAAGCAAGGGATTCGAGAGCAGTAATAATTCCTGAAGCTCAGTAGAGTGCAAGCACATTTGGAAGCGATAAGCATCTATTTATATAAAAGAAAAAAGCAGGATTTCTGTCTAGGTTTAACTGACTAAAGGGAAAGTCTAACAATAGAGTTGAATGGGGAGACTTCTGAAGGAATATTGAACAGTTTTATGTAACAGTGGACAAACGCCAAATAGAAGAAATTTCAGGATAATTCTTTTAAGAAATTGCAGCCTTTTCTAGACAGATTTGAATTAAGCTTAACAGCATGAGCAATTCCTGGCCTGCTTGTCCTCTACCTATTTTTTTTTTAATAAAAAAATATTTCTGTTTGATTATCTCCCAAATCCTTGCTTCCCCATGCTAGAATCCGCTTTACTGCTAGGGCACAACTAGCAATCAGTTTCCTGCATGTTGGTTACATGAACTAGAAATGAAGGAAGTCTTGCTTAGAAAAGAAGCATTGATGGAAAAAACAGACTTGTTCCATTTAGCTATTAAACTCTCTGTGTGTGTATCTGATGTTGTTATTATTTTGGAGGGGAGTGAACCCTGTCTGTCCCACTGACGATTACATATTTATAATATAATTTGTAGTGTTCAGGTCTTCAGAAAATACAATACCAGAACGCTCCAGGATTCAGTAGGAGGCCCCAAATACTATAAGTTGAAGGTGGATATTGAGGCATGAGCCTATAATGTGGAACTACCGGTAGTAGTTTTCAAAAAATCTGCCACATGGCTAAAAGCTTACTTAAAATAGAACTTTCTGTAATCTGTCAGTTCCCTGAAAAGAAACACCCAGGCGTGGGCTTTCAAATATGAGAGAAAAATCTGGCAAAGGGCAAGTGTGATGAAGTTCAGCTCTACAGGAAAAGCTGATGTTTCAATAGAATTGATGCCCCTATCGAGTAAAAATAGCAGTGCAGGGACTGAGAGTCAAAGACTGCTCTGTGGAGAGACAGAGATGGAAAAAAGCCTCTTCATCATTGCTTGGCATAAAGACAGAGGGTGAGTTCATGGCTCATTGGGAAGTTTGCCTTGCCAGGGTGTGTACAGCATAGCTGCAGTCCCGTCCACCCCCGCCACCACCAAAAGTCTCTCAGAATGCCAATTCTCAGTTACTGGTACCAATGTAAACTAAGAGAAGGGCAGGGCTGTAGCTCATTGGTAGCGCATTTGCTTTGCATTCAGAAGGTCACAGGCTCAACTCCCAGCATCTCCAGGATAGGGCTGGAAAAGCTTTTCTGCCTGAAACCCTGAAGAGTTGCTGCCGATCAGTGTAGACAGCACTGAGCTAAATGGGCCAATGGTGTGACTAAGGTAGCTTCCTATGTTCCTGAGAATCAGTAGACTAGAACAGCTCAATAATTAAGAATTTAGACACAAGCACACTGGATTCAGCTTTTCTGGGATCCATTGCACACCTTTATATTCTTGAGGAGTAACTTCACATGCTTTCATGCTCTCTTTTTCTGTGGCTTTCTCCTAGATTAATTTCCTACGTGTTTGCCTATTTAGAATAATGTTACCTGCTGACTATCAATATTCTTGCTTAAGGAATTTCTATGCTCAAATGCTGTAATTCTGATGATGTTAAAACAATCCTGTTCCTAAATTCATATCTGCCTTTGATATTTGATTGCTCTTAAGTTATCCTTAGAATAAGCTCTAATGCCAAATCATCTAATTCCAGAGTTCTCTAAACATGACTTTTTATTTTGCTGCTGTGTATATAGATGGGTTCTCCTGTGTGCAGCAAACCTTGTCTGAACTGTATGCAGCTAACATAAAACAAAGTTAAGTAGTATAGTTTTTCTTGCATTTCTCCCTTCAGCATAGGAGTTCCGTATGACCATGCCTGGGGCTTAACCTGTATTTTACTGAATTGGTATATTTCACCTAATCAACCTGCAACATACTTTGGGATTGGTAAACTCTACAGTCAAACTTATTTGTTGGAAACCATCAACACGAAAATAGGAAAATACAAACAGTATAGAAGTAGGTTGCTAAGGCAAACACAGAAACCTTATATGTTGTATATTTATCCCCATCCATCAACAAATAACAGCTTTTCTTATTATTCAAAAAGGAAACTCTCTGAATAATTCCTTTAATAAATCTATCTCTGGGAGAATTATGAAGAGAGCAACAGAGCACATATTGAACAATGTTTTCCACACCTTCCTTGCCACAGATATACGATGATTTACAAGTATTGTGGCATATTTTCCATTCAAATATGCTGTGGGCATAAATCTGAAATATGAAAGCTGCAAATGCCTTCAAAAATCCAATGATAATGAAGGAAAATTGAAGTGCAAGAATAAAAAAGTTGGCTAGAAGGAGATGGTTTTGGATATACCTGCTCTAGTATGAGGTCCTTCTTGGGTGGAGCAGGGTCTGTCACAGCAAGATGGCTCAGGAATCTTTGCAGCTCGAGAAGATTGGGGAATTGGTCAATGAGGACATCGGTCAGGAAGGTACGGAGCTAAACAGAGATGATCATAAGATTTAAAAAAATGTTAAGAATAAGCCATATGCTAAGTAAAAGGATCTGTATGAACAACGGACACTTTTATACTTTCTCAGATCTGTCTCAGATCTCAGAGCTGGTTAAGTAAAACAATGCATTTCAAATTACCCAATCTCTACTGCTCAACAAAAAACTGGAAGCAACAATACAAGGAAGCAGAAATTTGCTACACTTGGAACAGCAAGGAGGCCATCAGTTGCAACTATTATAATTACTGCAGAGAAAGATATAAACATTAGCCCTCCAGCTCCCATATTAAGCAGGTGTGAGGGAGCCACCAGAAGGCCTTTGGAGCTAGATCTCAGTGTCTAGGCTGAAGGATGGGGGCGGAGACACTCCTTCAGGTATACAGGACTGAGGCCGTTTAGGACTTTAAAAGTCCATACCAATATAATTTCTATGCAGAATGCAGTACCAGTGTCCTAAGGAAATTTATCTTCTTACTCTTCAATGGCTTTGATTTTTTTAAACCCACTCTGCCTAAAAAGGCTCTGAGAGTGACTTACAGATCACTAAAAAGAAGGAAAATATGTGGGAGGATGAAATAAACTAAGTTACAAGTTTTTCTAATGATCAACCAGGGTGGAAATGTTCAAGGAAAGAAGGCATCAAAAGTTGCTGGTCTCTCAGCTGCATGGATGGAGTGGCCCTGCATCCTCTGTTGAAGCAGATGGAATGTGATGGAATATTATTATTAATAATAATAAAATTTGTATATCACCCTTCATCCAAAGTTCACAGGGCAGTTCACAAAATAACGAAAATGATAACACAAAATACATAATAAAACAAAAACAAAGCAATATCCCCACCCCCAACACATGTAAAAGGCCATAGAATGTGCCTTATTAGCACAAAGCTCATTTATATGAGTAACGTCTTGTGGCCGAAATGCACTTGTTGTTGACTGCTTTCTGGAAAATATGGAAATGGCTGACTAACTAATTTAAGGCAAATCTATGCATACTTACTCCCAAGTCCCATGGGATCAAATAGAATTTAATTCCAAGTACACATATACAGAATCCCTCTGTAGTGTTGTAACAAATGTTTATGTTGTAGCAAAATTTGCAGTGTTGTAACAAAATTTGTGTGTCACCAAATTCTCAATATTTTTAGATAATAAAGGAATTTAAATTTATCAAACAAAAGCTACCACATACTGTTAGAAGAAAAGGGCATTTTCAATGTTTCCTTTAGAACAAAACATCCCACTCCCAAAATAAATAAGTGTCCCACAGATAAAATTTGTCATCTGTTGACTAATTAATTTAAAATTAACTAATATTAATTTGCCAGTTAGCTCAATTAAGGCTTGCAGGCCCTACTTTACTCCCAGTTGTGATGGATTAGCTGATGAAAAATCAATAATTTTTAATCCTGGTTCCTGCAACATTGTTTAAAGCTAGAATAGTATATCTAAATATGCCAGACTAAACATTATGAGAATCATGCACTTGCAGTCTGTGTCCTCTGTAGTCCTCTACCTTCAGGAGCTGGCCTTTGTTAAAATTATTGAAGTTGTACTTGCGCTGACATTCTGGGCTAAGGAGCAGGTTATAGAGAGCAATCCAGACTTGCCCATCCAACTTAGTCATCTTTACATGGTCTTCATAGGGCACCTCATACCATGCACCATTCTCATACTTCTTCAGCTTCCCTGGGAAAAATGATAAATGGTGATAATAAAGAAAAGGACATTCTAAAAATCATAAGTAACATTTAAATATGATAAATATAAATCTAGTAGGCAAAAAATATCCAGGCCAAGATGGATGAAAAGCTGCTTATGCAAATGTATAATTTGCACACTTTCTTATGTCCAGTTTGTTTCTTTATCCCTAGATTTAGTTCTTCAGGGGCATAATGAGCAGGCTGTCCTGCAACCCTATTAGGATAGCAAGAAGCCTCTCTATTAGGGTTCTCTTTTGCAGAACCGAAGCTGCAGAATTATGTTTCCTTAACTATTGTTTGCATCTGTCTGTCTCAGGAGACAATGGAAGAGTCAGCCTTCAAGAGTAAAGTCAAACTGTTGGAGAGTTACAAGAGCCTGCCATGGCTGCAGAGACCGATGCAGGAGAGACATGTTTTGTTGCAGCTGGGGCAGATGAAGGTATCCGGTTTTGCTGCTACAGGTACACCATGGCATTTCTTCTAAATCAGTGCCCTAGTGGTGTTCTTATACATCTCTTGTACATACATGCTTTCTTCTATCATGACTGTGGTCTACTGCCTGGTTAGCTGTATATTCAGATGACAGTCTACTTCTTGGCATGACAGACTGAGGTGCCTGCTCATAAATACACAAGGGTGAGTAGGCACCTGTGAACTGTCATGTTTGTCCTTCACAGTTCTGCTTTTCTTTAGAGGTAGAAAAATCAGTACAGGAACAGAAAGGGAAACAAGAGATAGCTAGGCTCAAATAAAAAGGAAACAAACAAACTAAAACAGAGGGGTTATGGTAAGGATAGTTTTGAATTTCCACAACTGGTTACAGAGCATGGGTTGAGGTGCAGCCTGTACCATATATTAATTACAAAAAATGATGAATCATGCAAAAATTAGTTGAAGACATAGCCATCAGAAGTAATGGATGATAAGCTACAAATACATTTACTGGGCAGAAGAGTTATAAAAGGGGGAACCCTGAGTTTTATGGAGAAGAGTGTTAGTCTATCCTGATGTTCTAGTCTCAATTTACAAACAACAGAGGACCCAACCAAGAGGAACCCTTAATACCCAATATTATATTATCCAAAGGAACAAGGTCATGTGATTATTTTTTGATAGGAACAATCCCTAGCCCATAATACACACCTTCTTCACGGCAGCTCCATGGAGAATGCTCTACCAACTCTACCAAGAGACATGGAAAGTTGTGGGTATTCAGAATTCTTGTTGCAGCACTCACTGGCAAACTGACAAAACATAAGGATATATTGAAGATGCCAGTTTTATGCAATCGAGCAGCTAAGTGTTTTCGTCAAGGTTCACAAAACTAAAATTAATATGAAAAATTTAAGTGACAAAAATTAAGACCTCAGTTGGTAGTCATGTTAGGATGCTTACAATGAATAATCAGCAGTGAAGAATACACACCAGCAAGCAGTGCTAAAATCCTATCACCATATTTATTATAGCAAAACTAATATACTCCAACACTTCAGTGAGTAATACTTTAAGCAATTAACAGCACTACGCAATGAACATATATAAATGTTTACTCCTATTCAGATAAGGATGTCATCAAGACTTTAGTGATCATATTCATAGCAATTTAAGTTAATATTCAACTTAAATCAAAATTCAGCTTCTCATTATATTACAAGTTATGAACTAACTCATAGGTACCAACTCCCTGGGGGCCTGGGTGCTCGAGCACCCATAAAATTCCCCATGAAGGGACTGGGCACCCACAAAATTTGGTGCCATGGTCATGCACACTGCATGGCACCCACAGCCCCGGGCACCCATGGGGCAAAGGTGGCACTCCTTCCAAAATTGAAACTAGCAGACATGGGAATATAGAAAATCTTTACCCCTTCTCCCAGGCGTTTACTTCAGTTCTTCCATGAAAACTGAACATACCTCTCTAATAGACCGGTAATGAAACGGAACACAGAAAGCGCTTTCAGTGAGATCTCAAACTCCATCTCCTCAGCTTGTTTCTTTAGTTCCTGGAAGCAGCAAAATTCACACAAAGAGCTATCTAAGGCTCAAACACTATAGTGATGCTGCCAGGTGCTGGTGGGGAAATCTGAACCTTTTGAAGTTCTCTCCATATTCAGCAAATGACACTTGGTCATGGCACCATCTCAAGCAGTACCTGGGCCAGAGGTGAAGTTGCAGAGGTGCTGGACCCAGGCCCCAGCAGTGAACCTTAGCTCCCTGCATCATAATTCCTAGAGATAACATTCCCTGGCCCCAATCTTTCTGAAACACTGCTCCATAGTAGCTGCTCCCTCATTCAGGCAATACACCAGACAGGAATCAAGAGAGAAATGTTGGAGTGTTAAGTTTGAGGCTAGAAAACTACATCTTTAAAGCTTTCTCCCCCTTGAGGTGGAGCCTAGGATGGGTAGCTAAACACAAGGGGAGGGGGATAAGGGTTGGGAGCTAGGAGCCTGTGGGAACAAGCTGCCTGCACTCTCTGATCTGTCCAGGGTACTAAAGAACCTGTATCTACCGGTAATTGCACCTCTTCTCTGGTCTGGCTTCTTGATACTGCATTGGAAATGTGGCTATTACCTATGCTACATAATCTCAAGCTGGTTCTGCTTCCTTACAACTCTTCAGTGAATACAGCCTTACCAGGACTGGACAGTTTATGAAGTAGTTGTGTCCAAAATCAGAAGGCGAAGGGTTTGCAGGGAGATGACAGCTACAAGGCAAGCTGGTGGAAGGATTGCATATTCCTTTACTTAGTGTCTGAGACACTATTAACTCACAGCAAGTAAAACTCTTGAGTGTTCTGCATTATCTTCCCAAGCTTAATACAATGCTAGACAGTGAGACACAACTGGTCAGACTCTACCATGTCACAAAACAATGATGATGGAAGCATGGAGATAGAGGAAGCTAGCTGAAACTCAACAAGAACAAACTGCATTCCTTCAATGAATAAAGCTTGTTAGACAAGTAGTAAATAAAACTCATTTTCACTTAGAACGTTACCACATGCCTAGTAAAGGGGGAACTCGTTATTTAGAATAGCTTCATTACTCAGAACAGTGATTTATGACCTTTTGGTTCTGAAAAAGTAGTGGGAATAAGTGCAGAGAGCAGATGTGGTTATGGAAACTAACACAGAATGTTTCAGAGCTTTGCAGACATTATTTTTTTCCTGGTCCTACCATGATGCAAACTGAGATAGGCCACTTCAGAAAGGACATTTGTGAGATCAAAGGGTAGCAAATGATCTGTTTTTTAATTAAATATTTTATGGTGTGGAGGCACCACATGAATTTTCCATCTTGGGAATTAAAGGGTGGAATTCCACATTGCCTTATGATGAACATTCAGTTTGTGCAAGCATTTCAGCTTGCCAGATGGAATGATCCCCGCTCCCCCATGAGCTGTTCTGGGGGTTCTCTGAACTGCCCCCACCTGGCAAGAGGTATGCAAAAGAGAGGGGTGAAAACCCCACTGCACAAGCAGAATTCTTTTCACAGGGTTTCTGCTGATGGAGCTGGTTAGGTGAATCCCACCAAAAGTTTTTCTTTTACCCAAAGAGGCATCTAGAAGTGGGAGGTTGCAACTTTTACCAACCTGCATTGATGAAGGATTGGCAAGATCCTCTGACTGAAGCTTTTGTTCAACTGGGATCTTCCCACTGGCACTTCGAGCTGCTAATAGGGTCAGCTTCCTATGGCTGTAATCTATCAAGTCCAGAATGGTATCCTCTGCCGATTCACAGATTTCCTGCACAATAATAGAAATGCTAAATTCTGCAGAAAGAATGGAAACAATATTCCAAATGAAGGCAACTCATCACTTAAAAAGTGGCTTTGGTTACACTCTAGTGTATAAGTTCTCTACAGTGTGTCTCTGAAAAAACATAGCTGTCAATGAGTTAGGCCTAATTTCCAGTACCTGGATTAAATGTGTTTCTTCCTTATCCAAGATACCTTCTTGCCTGACCATGCATGTCTAATAGCTAGAATAAGAAGCCATCTGGTTTATTCTGTTGGGAGCTAAAATGTTGTTTAGTGAAAAGTAAGAGAAGACTGAATTACACTGTTGCAACCAGTTTAGCAAAAGAAATGTACTAAAAGAGAGTCAAAGGGATATTCCACAATAGGTCAGGTAAGAAAAGATAGGATACTTGACCAGGGATGAAGTAAAAAGTCTGGGGCGAATATTTGGTTTCTGAGGGGCACTTGCCTGCACTTCAGATTGGTAGGGGTAGAGGTTGTAATGTCTGGCCCCAGAGGGGCCAGTGGAAATTTACTTCTGCCAATCTGGGGAGCAGCAGGCCTGCAACGTGAAGTCACATAAAATCTTACACAGATTGGCAAATCAATGACATTGTTACTTGTAGCTCATGCAGAAGCCCTAGGTGATCCTACTCCACTCTAAAATAATCTGTAGTAGAGGAATAAGAAAGAATAAAAAAGCCCAGATCAACAATTATCCCCTGGACCATATTACCACACTGAGAAGTCTCCACTTGGTGAATTATCATGATTCATCCTCAGTGACCTAAATTATCATTATGATATTTTTGTCCATAATCTTTGCTCGTAAAGTCTAAATTTGCTGCCTACCTTGTGAAAAAACACTGTCTCCAACAGGTTAATAATTGAAGCTTCATGACGTAGCTGAGGTGGAAGAATAAAAAAATAAAATATCAAAATGCCGCTTACTGGAGACATTAGTAATGTCAAAAAACAAGAGAATATGTTGTAAGAAATAGAATTCCACTTTTGTGTCATCTTAGTGGTGTGAGAACATAGTGGAGCAAATGTCACATATCAGATTCAGATTTAAAATATTTAATGTGTGTGTGTGTGTGTGTGTGTGTAGTGGTGGGGAAACCATCTTTAGAAATTGCAGTTGATTACACTGAACCTTGGCCTGTAGGATTGTTATGATCAGAACAGGGTATTACATACTGAAATAAAAACTGATTTTCTGTATTCAGGATAATAGGTACTAAAATCAGGTGCTACCCTCTTGAAAGGTACAATTTGTTTTGATGTTTTGGAAGCTCTAGCTTTAACGAAATAATTAGCTTTCTCAGAAATTTAGCTTAAAATTTATTGTACATTAATAGTACATATAATCTCCTAATAGTGATAATTCTGGGATGTGCCAGACTAATTTAGCTAGCTGAAGCATCATTGTGTGATACTTTCTTACAGGTACTGTGCAGTATAAGTAGCATAGTATTATGAAATGTTGTACCTAAAACCCTTTAAAAACTTACCACTAAATATATGGGAAATGTGCTTTTTGGTCTGAAATCCTCCAGTCTGCAAAGTATAGGGAATACCTTATGCTTCCAGATCTCCACGGTGATTAATTCCTCAATCAGAACTGGGATCTAAACAGGAAAAAACAAATAATCAGGAATGAGTGAGATATTTCCAGCATAAATATGAGGTCTGTAAGGCCTGAATCAAACAAGAAAATTTCAGGGCTTGTGATATGTCTCTCTGATGTTCAAACAGCTTACTGCAGGCAGAAGAAATTCTCTCACTTTACACACTGCTGTTCACAGGGCAGACAAAAAACCCTTACCTGTGACAATGAAAGAAGGTGCACACAGTCTTTTTTGTGGAACACTGAAAGCCAGTGTGGTGTAGCAGTTAGAACTGCCCTGACATATATAAATCTATATAAATCTAATAAATAATAATAATGTGTCAGACCAGGACTTGGCGGACCACAATTCAAATCCCCACTCAGCCATGAAGCTCACTGCGTGATCTTGGGCCAGTCATTCACTCTCAGCCTAACCAACCTCACAGGGTTGTTGAAAACATATTTACCTGGCACTAAGTCCCATCTCAAGGGACATGGGTGGCGCTGTGGTCTAAACCACAGAATCTAGCGCTTGCTGATCAGAATCAGAAGGTTGGTGGTTCAAATCCCTGTGATGGGGTTAGCTCCTGTTGCTCTGTCCCTGCTCCTGCCAACCTAGCAGTTCGAAAGCACGTCAAAGTGCAAGTAGATAAATAGGTACCACTCTGGCGGGAAGGTAAAAGGCATTTCTGTGCGCTGCTCTGGTTCACCAGAAGTGGCTTAGTCATGCTGGCCACATGACCCGGAAGCTGTATGCCGGAGTTGTCCGCGACTGGACCTAATGGTCAGGGGTCCCTTTACCTTTAAGTCCCATCTCAGACTCAACAACTGGTTGTCTGCTCAGTTGTCAGTGACTCATGACAGGACTTTGTCATTATTGGTTTCCCCATTTGTGGAATGTCCCCCTTAGTGATGTCTCTCTCTCTATAATTATTAATTTTCAGGAGTAATTTGAAAACATTCCTATTTACCCAGGCATTTGCTTGCTGAAGAATATGATTCTAGGCAACCATAAGCTCACCGAATGAACTAATGCTTTTAACTGTAACAGCTCTTAGAGCATTTTAAACCTGTAACTGCTCTTAGATAGTTTAACTGTAATTGGTTTTATTAATAGAATTTTTAGTTGTTTGGAATGTTTTTCATTTAAAATTGTTGATGTGTTTGGCTCCCTGGGCTCCTTTGGGAGGAAGGGCAAGATATAAATTCAATAATTAATTTGTTAAAAATCTCACTTAGGATTGTGGCCTTAGAGTGCATAATCAAAATCATTAAATGCAGCTTGAGTTAGCTCCTAATACCATAACCACCATCATGTAGTCACAAAGAGTGCTGAAGAAGTAATTTTTTCTACCCTGTCAAGTTAATTTGGAGAGAAACTATAATAATCATCATTTATGGTTGTGACCACGGTGGGGCTAGTAGTTACTTTATGTAGGATATAAGTGTATAAACTTGAGTAGCTCTTTGAGCAACCTTACGCAAGTACCAAATAAAACACAGTTCAACTTTGTTCACGGGAACATAGATTCTGTCAGATACCAATGCTTCTCTTATAGGTCCACAGTTGAATGCATCATACCTTGCCATTGTTCACCAGAAGCTCAGTGAGGAGTTGCTCATGCCCAGCAGAAGCACTCAGTATTGCCTGCATGTTAAGCTTCTCAATGTGCTCATGTTGCCTTATCCACCTAGAAGAGTAGGGTGAGAGTAGTTAGCACCAGTCCCCATTTCTTCTGTGCAACCACCACTAACAACAATTTCTTCTGGCTATCAGCCACTCTTCACATTTTATTGCACTGGATTATACTTCACAAGTGTATCTGATCTGATGACATCCCCAATTTGAAAATGCTGTTAGCATCCAGTGTCCTCGAAAAGAATTAACTGCCTCTTATCCTTTCACTCCATTGTATCAGTCTTCAGCTGATGGGATAGCATGTGCCTCCCCTCTTCTCCCCATCCCAACTTCAGGGCACTTCAGGGTGCAGTGGCAGTTCTACATAGGCAGTGTGGCAGGGGGGTTACGGTGTTGGGAGAAGAGGGTTCAAATCCCCACTCAGCCTTGAAGCTCACTGGGCAACCTCACCCTCTCTGTCAGCCTAACCTACCTTGCAGGGATGTTGTGAGGGGTAAAGTGAGGTGGGGGATAACCATGTAGGCCACCTTGAGCTCCTTGGAGAGAAAAGGTGAAATACAAATGCAATAATAAAGAGATAAATAATCTCTTGCTGCCCACGTGGCTCCTGTGCCCAGGGCCGGATTTAGGTTTGATGAGGCCCTAAGCTACTGAAGGTAATGGGGCCCTGTATATGTCCAAAGCTATCCTTTGTCAACAACAAATTGTCACTGTTTATTGTGTTGAATATATGCTATATGGTAATTTATGGACCTAATAGGTATCTGAAGCCATTTGCACATATTGCCATGCAATCAGTCCATGCAGAATGTGGGTACCCTAAATAAAGAAGTGAGCAAACCACTGATATTTTAGGGAGCAGGGCTAGCAGGCAGGGCCCATGACTTATATCACAGAAGCCAACACAACACAAAACACTGTTGCTGTATGTCGGTTTTATTTTATTTGTTTTTTATCTTACATTTTGGAAATGTACATCCTGTGGTTTTTTCCTTTAATTTTTTTTTGGGGGGGCCCAAGAGAGTGGGGCCCTAAGCTATAGCTTGCTTAGCTTATACGGAAATGTGGCACTGCCTGTGCCATTATTTCCCCACCTGTGGCAGGATAACAGGAGATCAGGGATCCAGACCTTTTTAAAAACAGGTGGGGCAGGCAGAAATCCCACAGGTGAAGCGAAGTGCGGTGGCTTTGCCTGTGAGATTCCTGCCTGCCATCCAACTGCTACAGACACTCGTCCCCACAAAGGGGCTCCGCCTCCCTGCTTCGGCCTGCTCGACTCTGAGGCTCCTTCCCCCAGCGAGGCGCTATTTCCTATCGCCCATGGACACCCCCTTCCCTCCAGCTCGGCCTCCTCCTCGTACCCGTAGTTTCCGATATCCCGCAGCTGGAAGTTCCTTAGCGACTCCACCAACGCTTCGCTTTCGCCGGGCAGCAGGACGGTGGGAAGCGCCTCCTCCATCGTGGCTTCGAGGGAGACGCCAGGCCCCACGCGGTCACCATGGAAACGAGCGCGGGCTGCGGCTGCAGCAGTAGCAGCACCACCAGCGACCTCTAGTGGAAGGACTTGGCACTGCGGCCCACCGACATATCCCTGCTGCGGATCCAGAATGGGCCTCCGCTTTCACTTGCGGACACACCGTTAAGACCGCCGCGTTCATGGAAGACTACCTTAGTTGGCCACGAGTGATTAGGAGAAAGACAGACCTGGCATCTAACCCTCATGCCGTGGGAATGCAGTGCCGTAGAAGACAGAATCGGGATTGGATATGACCCCAACAGATTTCTATATGGATGATGATGATAATTTATTTATACCCCGCCTTTCCCAGTTCAGAAAACCGGGCTCAGGGTGGCTAACAACAAATTTAAAACACTTAATTGATCTAGTTGAGGTTCCTGCATTGCAGGGGGTTGGACTAGATGACCACCAGGTCCCTTCCAACTCCACAATTCTATGATTTTATGAAGTTTCCCCTAACTATTGGCCATGTTGGTTGGGGATAGTGGGAGTTAGGAGTCCAACAATACTTGGAGGGCTGCATGTTCCCTTCCCTACTCCGGTTAGAAGAAACTATACACTGGACAGCATTGGTCTTAGCCTAAGGAGACCACATTCAGATCCCCACTTGGCCATGGCGCTTGCTGTGTGATCATTATAAATCTTGCCAGAACTGAATCTGCCCTTCTCCACTCACACCTAAATTGGGGAGGAAAGGCTAAACCTAATCCATCACATGGACTGCTAGATAGCAGGTGAGTAGTAGTAATAGCAGCACCGAGACTGAAAGTAAGGCTCTATTTAAAGTATAACTTAGATCCATAACCTTTTTCCTTTCTTAAATATCAGGGAAGGTAAATATGGGAGATGGTTAACAGAATGCCTAATTTATTAATCATTACCCACAAGCATCTTAGAGGCATGGAGGTTGGGTTAAGAGAATTCAGTAAAAGGAATACACTGCTCCAATATCAAAATACATGTCATCTAATAAATCCAGAGGTTTGGGATACACAAGTGCAAATGATTTAATAAGAAGGGTAATTAAATATTAAATTGGAGACACCCAAGTAACCAAACCATTTCTATTTCATTGCGAGTGTCAAATCTTTGTGTCCGCTATCTATTGCTTCTACACTTAAATTCTTATTTGCACAGAAACATGATTTGGTTCCACATTAGCTTTATAAGATGCCTATCGTTCCTCCTCATTACCAGTAATACACAGGAAGGACTCAAAGCAATTGGGACAGGAACAAGGGTAATGAAATTATCTTTCTGTTTTATTTGTACAAGTCTGTTACAGAACTTTTTCCTTCAATACTTTACACAAGGAAATGAATTATGTGATTTCTTGCTACTACAGGATAATACTGCCAGATTAATAACAACCAGCATTTCAGCCTTGTAAACACACATCCATAACACCATGGGTAGCTGGGAACAGGTTTAAGCAGTCACCTGCCCCACTGCTCAACTTCATAGCATTGCAAAACTTGGTTTAATTATTTTTTAAACGAAAATGGAACTCCCGAAACTTCTGTGTGTTTTGCCCAGACAAATGTGATCTTCACTAAAACGTGTTTCTTCACTAAACAATCCAAAGAAATCCAAGTCCATCCAGCTCACTTGTTCTAGGCACCAATGGTGCATCATGCCACACAATTTGAGCTATGTTGCTTTTAATGATTTCTGAAGAAATCGTGAGCAGTCCCAGGCAGCACAGTAGTAAACAGGACATGATGAATAATCACCCCCCTTTTTGGAGACTCATTTCCAGCAAACAATTATATTGGGGTCATTCTCCAGCCTTTCATCCAGCTCCCGATAGCTCATCCCTAAGAAGGAAACACAAAATACTGGTGAATGAGGATATAAAGTACAACTAATAGGACTCCATGGTGACAGATATATGAAAGTCCTTTTGAAGGTATGGGACCCCCCTATCAGTCACAATTTTTTCAGCTGCCACTGACAGATCCCACTCCAAAACAAAAATCTAAAAGAATTTTTGAGTCAAGCCTGTCGGTAATAGCCTGCGGGAGGCTCTTAAGAGTCCAATTCATTTGCAACACAGCTATGGCAGCCTGATGAGGAATAGTAATTGGGCAAGATTTAGGGGCATTACTATTTCATATGTGTATACGTATATACTGTGGGTATCCCTAATTCATTCTTTTGGTACACTCTTTGGTGCACCGTGCTCTTTTCATGGCGGTGCCAAATCTGAATTGGAGGCATGCTAAGCAACGTTGTTCCAGTTGTTCTACCCCTCATTTGTCTGACCACAGGGAAGAACAAGGAGAGCCTGAATAATCCTTCTTCCAGATGCATGCTAAATAATTTTTGTTCCTGTACCAGATTTGAGTGTGATTTTATTCTGAGAACCCCTTTTAAGCTGCACTGACAACCTCTCAGAGCTATATAAGTACTCTAAGGAAATAAATAGTTCTAGGCATGTTGTGAAGCCATGCATTTCAACAGGCTTTTGCAGTGCAAGTTTTATCACTTGGGTGCTTTAGTCACTTTTACTACTGCCTATTTCATTGCTATGTTATGTTGTTTTTTTATCCGATTTGCTGCTTGGTAGACTGTAAACTATGTGCAGTTTCACTGCTGGGTGGATAAGTGTAGACGGATAATTCCTTACCTGTTTTACAGCAGATTTCATCATAGCTATGACAACCTGTGTACAGTCTGGCTGGATGACTTCTTTCATCCCGGGCTACTTTCACAGGATACTTCTGGAGCCGTCGAATAAGGCCCTTCATCAGGCCAAACTGGACGAGCTTCCTGAAAGAGAGAACTAAAACATTCAAGGAAAGGACACAGATTTATTACATAAATTAAAGTTCTTTATATAGCCAAAGTTTGTGTAAATGGCATGTCCAAAACATGAATTCTCTAGGGACTAAACAGGAGTGCTCTCAGCTCTTTCACAATGGAGTTACTTGTGGTCAAAATTAGAATTAACAAAAATATTAAAGGGATATATATCAGAAATGAAGAAAAAATTAATATGCAGATAATACAGTTTAAACTCTTAACAGAACTAATGGATTTGTGTCTAATAGGCAAACAAACCTGTTTGCAATTTAGGCATTAAAGTAACAGAGCAGATGCAATATTTGTATCAGAAAAAGTATTAAGCCCTATTTAAAGAATGTAAAACTTTGCTGTTAGGATGGCAAAAATTATATTTGTTCTTTTCAGGAACAATTCCTATGATCTCTACAGGAGACCTAGAAAAGTCTCCGAGAATGAGTAAGTGGCTCATTCTGTCGCTTGCTAGACTGAGCATTACTTTTTGTAATTGGCAGAGTAAGCAGTGTTCCGATTATAGGGGAAAAGGTGAGGGTACTTAAGGTATTTCATGAGCCCTACCTTCTTGATTCTTTCCAGTTTTAGCCAAATCATGGTCTCCTCTTTTAGCCATCTGAAAACATTAGCTAAGGAGGATACAGCAAGGTCGTATGACTTGAAGAGTCATTCCCATGCGTAAAAATAATATAAAACAAGCCACCCTCCAACCTTTCATCCACTCTCTGGAGCTGTAGCGTGTAGCGGCAAATGAGGTCTCGTACAGTTGTGCCAGGGCTCAGCCCACAATAGAGCTGGAAAATGTCTCTCAAACTGGCTCGCTTGTGACCTATCCAAAAATAATACAAGAAAATGTATTGAAACATCTGGTGATCACACTTAAGTATATCCTAATTAAATACACCCAGCTAAATGTATTTCAAATATCATTTGCAACTGGAGGACACTCATGATCAATATATACCAATATATGACAAACATCTTTCATACCTGGTTTTGTGACATAAGAGAGGCATTCATCTTGAAGACATTTGTCATCCACCAGATCCTGGACTTTAGGTGTGGTACAATATACATTTGAGTACTGAGGAAGAAAGTGAGAAATCTCAGTACACTTAAATAATTTCAGTTCCCATTGGAATTCATAATGATTGCTTGACAAACCCATCTCATCAGTAGAACACAGTGTCAAGTAATGAACATGCCTGGGCTGAAGGATGTGAAAATTAAGATTACTTAGGAAAATTGCATAAAGCAAACAAGGGAAACTTTCTAATGCAGAATACATGGAACCTCTACTCACGACCACAATCCATTCTGGAGGCCCGTCCTTATGGCGAAACGGGTCGCTGGGAGAGGCGCTGTTGTGCGCAGGCGGCAATCACCCGCTTCTGCACATGCACGAACAGCGATCGCCGCTCCTGTTACTACCGGGTTTGTTGTGGTCGCAATTTGAAACGTCTGCTAGTGGAGGCGGTTGTAAGCAGAGGTTCTACTGTATGCACATTTATGAACTAGACATCACATTGCTTAAAATCAGTTCAATCATGTTGAGCCACTTACCCATTAAACTCACCTGAAGTATGGAAACTAGAGTCACTACTCCATAGTATCTGAAAAACATGACAGCCATTAGAAATAAACCCATGCTAAAACTTCATACACCAAAAGAGTGCAAAAGTATACAGTAGTGTAAAGAATATACTTGATATAATTTCTATACAGATCCTATAGTAATACTGAAGACATTAGGACAGGATAGATGCTTAACATGCAGGAAATGTGTTAGCTTTAGCTAACATAGTGTTAAGCGCATCCTGCAAAATTTCTGTAACCCTAAAAATAAACAACACTTACATTCTAAGACAGGTGCTGGGATTTCTGCTTGGCTGGTATTCACTATGCTTCTTGACATGAAAGACACCACCCTCCCCTCACAGACAAGAGCGGGAAAGGCACAAGTTTCCACAGTGCAGTCACAAGTAGTGACTTGCATGTGTGAAAAATATATGAGAGACTCCAAAATATGTGTGACTCTAAATGCTGCACCCTAAAGGACATCAGTTCATTATTTAAAGTTAATTGACACCAGGCACAGGATTCTCCAAATTTCCACATTTTACACTTCATGCCTACATGTGTGTGCGCGCGCACACACACACTCTAACACGCTTCAAGTTCGGAGTAAAACATTTAGTGTCTAGTTTAGCTCTGAATCCAGGGTTTGTTTGTTTGCCTTTTGCTTTAGATGATTGTGCTTGAATTGCAGACAAAGTAAGAGGTGGTAGAGCAAAGAGAGAGCTAAAAGAAATGGAGGACAGGAAAACAACAGGGCTGAAATCTACTGAATCTAAAAATCCCAACTGGTTTGCAATCAAGCTAATGCCTTGTTCTCCCTTTGGCACCCGGTACTTACAAGAGGTTCTGGACAGCAATTCGAACCAAATTGAGCTCCACGTCTGCCTCAGCTGAGATTTTCTGAACATGCCGAAAACCATCAATGTACGGCAAGATCTTGGAACAGAGCATATGCATATAATGCAAGGCTAAGCAGGGATGTACATGCACAAGCACACTTTTCACACAACTAGGAAGACAAGGCCTGATCATCTCAGAATTGACATGAATGTAGAAGGCTCAAGTGACATCTGAACTCAAAAAATCTTCACTTTCAGTATCCAGGTCAGAATCAGGGGAAGCAGTAACAGTATGAAACATGTGTGAACATTAAGTATTTAATAATGTTTGCCTGCATCTCATTACCCCTTTTTCCTTTATAAACCAGCATTTCCCAAACTTTATTGACACCATGATGAGCTTATAAAGTTGTCATTGACCTCAACCCTAATTCTTAGGAATGTAAGTGAAATAGCAATATAAAATCAACATTTATTAATCATAAGTCACCACTACTAGGAATCATAAAAAAACAAATCTCTGATTAAATACAGAGATTCCTCACTGGCAAGGGAGGTGCACTCTGTACATGCCCATGCCCTTTACTTCTGAATCTTAAGAGTTCTTAATTATTCCCCTCCCCACTATACCTCAAACTTCTTTTTGACCCCAAGGTCTTCATTCACCCCCTGCACATCAACCATAGGGGTAATGCTGCTTTAAACTGACCAAAGGTAAAGGTAAAGATAAAGGACCCCGACAGTTAAGTCCAGTCGCAGATGAATCGGGGGTTGCAAAACTCATCTCGCTTTACAGGCCGAGAGAGCTGGCGTTTGTCCGCAGACAGTTTTTTCTGGGTCATGCGGCCAGCATAACTAAGCAGCTTCTGGTTCAACGGAACACCAAAACCTGAGCAGCGCACAGAAACACCGTTTACCTTCCCGCCAGAGCAGTACCTATTTATCTACTTGCACTTTTTGGCGCACAGGGACCAAGCAACGGAAGCTCACCCCGTCGTGGGGATTCGAACCACCAACCTTCTGATCGGCAAGCCCAAGAGGGTCAGTGGTTTAGACCACAATGCCACCCGCATCCCCTTAGAGGACTTTTTCCTAAGGTATACTATACTAGAAAAGTGCGTTCCTGTCCACCCTCCAGGCAACATGACAAAAGGAAGCAATTATTAAAGTAGCAGTAACACAAACCCAACTATACAAGTACACTTCAGCAGTATTTGAAGTCATCTGTGACTAGTGTTTCAGATTCTACAAAATTTGATACTGGAGGCTCCTCTCATTATTAAATTCTGGGGAATAATCTTCTCATGTGTACCATTCAGTGCTCATTGAGAAAAATGAATCAGTAAGTATAAGAGTAACATGTTAAAGGGAAAGAAAAACAGGCACACCTTACAGAAACACATTTCTTCTCAGAAGACTTGCACAGGATCAGGCTGCCTAAAAATCACATATTTCTTGTGATAATTTGCCAATTGACTTTAATGGCCAGCCTCTCCCACAAAATTCTATGGCCAGGCAAGGTTAATTAGCTGGGGTGGGGGGACTGTGAAGATGCCTTTGCTACCATCACACTACTGTATTAAACAAGACAATTGTGGGTACCAACCTGCTGAGTGGTGAGATCCCACTGGGAATTGAAGAAGTCGTCCTTATCTTGGGTGAAGACAGGAACGTCATATTCCTGCACAATGGGGGGATCTGGGCGTTGCTCAATCACTTTCAGGTGAATTGTGTTTGATTCATCTGTATGAAGGAACAAAAGAGGACAGAGCTAGGGACTTCTGAAGATGTTTTGCTGCCTGAAGCAAAGTACAAAATGGTTCCACCCACCCCAATCTATGTACAGAAGTTCATTGAGCTGGCAGCTGAATCTTAACACTGGTTGACAGGACAGCTGCAATTGGAACACATGGACCTCTGCACTGCACTCTGATGCTGTGACTTTTTAAATATAGCACAACTGGGGTGGTTCTACCCTGAGAGCATACAAATTAGAACAATGTTCCTGAGCCACTCCCGGCTCTTTTGGGATGATGGCAGAATATAAATTTAATGAAATAAATGATTAAGAAATGTAAACCAAAACATCTTATCTAAATATTTTGAAGTCTGAACTTTAGTTTGTTGCTTGGTTCCCAATTGCAAAGTTATCAGATGAGGGAACAAAAGGGTCCCTAGAAGCAGACAGGATTGCATGCCTGAAACAGGAAGCAGGAGCCTGATGAAATTAGAACAATGAGCTAATCCAGATTAATTGAACAATGACAACCAACAACTTCTCTTTTTTTGCACTCTTGGTCATGAGAGCCAGACAACAGCTGACAGGAAAATAAAGGCGTCTGAACATCAGAAATAATTAATCTATGACAGGAAGAACTTGCTTGAAAGTCCAACTTTTAATGGACATTTCTGCCATTCTCTTGAAGCTAACGAAAACTAAACTCAAGGGCATCAATGTAGGATTTAATATTCATATACCACCCTTTCCTGAAATACACCACATTCTACAGCAACTGGACTATTTCTATCTTTCAATAACTGGAGGAAAAAAGAGAGAGAGCAACACAACTCTAAGTGCTCTCCTGCTCTGAAAGTGCCACACTTCCATCTTTCCCTGCATTTCCTCCAAGAATCCCTTGCAAGCTTGCAACATAACATGCAACTTGAAAAGGAGCATTTGCTGCTACTTTTTTGTTGACAGTTACCTATAGGAAGAGTGCATTTGCCAGTGGCATTTAGTTCCTCAAGTAGGATGGTCATGATGGGTATCAACTTCTGTTTGCTCTCATCAGTGGAAATGAAGCCACTCTCAAGCTAGGAAAGAGCAAAGTTGATGATTAGCGCCAACCAAAATGCAACTTTAAATATACCAAGAGAAGCAGAGGTAGCAGTTTGTGCTGAAAGTATCCCATACTAAATAAAAATATTTCATGGGGAATGTGCATGTATATACGTGTGTGTATGTAAACAAACACAACCCCACACCCCTTTTTATACAGTAATGGGAGAAACTTCCCCATTAGTGCAACTGCAGGATAGGTAACAATCCTGCAGCAGTTGTGTGATATTGGTATAAACTTAACAAAGTGGTACAAATGTAATAAGGTGGATAGGAAGATATTCCTGCTGCTAAAGCAGCAGCCCTGAAACAAGAGAAAAGGCTATATGCTTCTTGAAGCAAATAGGCAAATAAACAGGAGATGTGTGCTTTTGAGACTGGTGGGAAGGGAGAAAGTATGTATCATTGAAATTTTTTTTAATTAGAAAAGAACATCAACATGGCAGAACACTGTTGCAAGGAATTAGATAATTGCACAATTTCTTCTCAGAAGATGACAGAAATACTCTTGTGGTAAAGTAGGTAAATATTCACACTTTACCAACCTTAAAGATGATATATAAACTCTTCAAAAGCAACTGCACAGTACCCTAAGAAAGAACAGGGAGAGTGCTCTGCCAGGTCATCAGTGATGTCACAGGTACTCTCAAACAGGTATCTGTGACAGTCAAACACATCTATCACAGTAGCACTGATTGCACGTTTGGGTGGTCCATTTCAGAGTTCAGCAGGTGCAATTCAACAGAACAAGAAAGAAAACACAACAATAAAACAAAGCAGAGGACACTTTAAATTAAGCTTTCATGTTGCTAAAATATGTGATCTGTACATCCTCTTGTGGAATGGCATATTTGTGTCATGTCTAACCTCTAGAGTGGTAAGATAACCTGCCAGTTTCTTCACTATAGGCTCCAGTGCACAAGTCTTAGCTCTAGCATCACAAACGAAGCCAAGGTTGAAGAGCAAGGCATTCCGGCTGTACTTCTTATGCTCAATGCAAACTGGACAACCAATTAGCTTTTTCCCCATAGCTGTACTGTTAGAAAGAGAGAGAATGTATTTTAATGTTATTGAATATAATATTTTTGTGCTACTTTGCCACAGATGGGCATGATTAAAGGGGAAGGGTGGTCTACAAGACTCATGTGGATTTTTTCTACTTACACAGTGATGAGCTTGTTTTGCAGTTCAGGTTTGGTGATGATATAGACCTGAACTGTATCAAAGAGCTCTCGGGAAATGAAATCCTCTGGTACCTGCAGGGTCAGAAATTAAATCTGCAGATCAGTAGTCACAAGATGAGATCTATGGACTCCTTTGAAACCCATCTAAACATATTTTTATAAATCAGTTTTCCATTGTCAAGGAAGAGCTATGCTGCAGAGAGAGACCCCAGAGTAGCTGCCACTCGGAGTAGACAGTACTGGGCTCAATGGACAAATAATCCAACATAGCATAAGGCAGCTTTCTGAATGTCCCACAACTATATACTGACCAGTTTCTTTATACCATGATGTCTGGTACCACTAACCTGATATGTAATCTTAGGCCCAAGTGTTGGGTGGAATTCACTGAAAAAGATACACTCAATTCTGCTGCTGACTTCCATAGCGATAACTGCAAGAGATCAAGTATACACAACTGATGATACTCCCAAGTAAATACCTCATAATTTTAAGAACTGTTATTTGTAATAGGGAGGGAACTCCACAAATCCAGAAAGATCACAGGAAGGGCACGACTTATTGTAGCTGTTAACCATGTCTCCCTCAGTTATGTACAACATCCCATCATATAGCTCTTATAAGTCTCTGAGGACTTTTATTCATGTTTAAGTTATGCAAGCTTTTCCACATATAAAGGAACAGTGACAATCAGTGTGATTTCCTGCTGCAGCTAAGCTCTCCTTTCCCTCTCCCCTCAGTTCAGGAGGGCTTCCCTGGCTCAGCTCAGGCTGAGCTTTGAACTCCTCACTCTCCTTAGCTCAGTTTTCCTTCTAAATTGTTGCACTTCCGGCTGGCAAAAGACACTGGAAAAAATTGTTCCTGTGTAGGAAACTCCAGGTTCATTGCTAAGTGGGCAGACAAGTAAGAGCTACACTCGCACACACATTTCCCCAGGGAATTCTGCACAAACGGGCGAAACAGCCTGCAAAGCGCCCCCTCCCTCCTCCCCAAGTGAACGAAGGACAGCACTGAAGGAAAGGCGCACTCACCGGCGACCGAGAGATGAGAGCAGCAAGAGCACGCATGCGCACACTATAGTCCCGCGTATGGTCGGAGTCGGGGGAGAACGCTTGGCTTTTCAACGCAGGCGCAAAACAGCTGGGCGCGCGCGCGCGCGATAGACTAACGTTATAACGCATGCGCATGCCATCACCGTTTTATCTGGCCTAGCGGCGAGACTGCTGTCCCGGAGATGCGCGCACACAGATTTCTCTGACTCCCGATAAAACGAATGGCAATTCCAAACAAAGGAGCCGTCGAGGAGAACTTGCCCAGGTGGTCACGTGTCTTATCAGCTTGAAGGCTTCATTTGACAGAACTTCGTCCGTGATGGACAGCGAGGCTCAGCCTCTCAGATGCGCAGGGTGACAGTCAGGGTAGGCGGGCCCTAGAAGGCCAGTCTCGGCCTTGCCCAATCAGCAGGTGGCGCTTGCTTCCTCGGCTTCTATCGGAGTTCCTGCTCCCTTGCGATGAGGATCATCCGCGAGCAGGTGGGTGAAATCCGCGCTCCCCGGGATCTACTGTTGGACACGGGTGTGGGTGTGGGTGTGGGTGTGTGTTCGGTGTGTATGCGAACCCAAGTGGGAAGGTGGGCGGCAGCGTGGGTCGAGATCTGCCCCCTTTTGCACAGCTGTCGTGGGTGGGGCTGTTCCTGTGACTTGAAGCCTTGCTGGGGATGCCTTTGTGCGACCCGCATCTTCGATCTTGGCAAATCGGCACCTGAAACCCAGAAATCTCCTGCTCCTCAAAATCTCGCTTTGTGAAGAGTTAGGAGGAGGGGCGGGTGCCTTATCCAAGGAGAATGTGCTTTTGGATTAGGGAAGATTGGGTCCTCCCAATGACTATCGAATATATAAATATGTATATAAGCATATATGCTATACGGTATACCGTATATTAAACGGGGGTCCGAAGGGTCTGTGGGTGTTCCCCCCACCCCTGTAATTTGGCAGACTGGGTATCCTCCCTCCGCAAATGAATAGGGTGGGGAAGAATCATGAAGCACGCTAAATCTCGCTCTGCCGTTCATAGTGCACAGAAAGAAATCCGGATCAGACTCTGCAATAACAGGTTGCTGAGGGGAGATGAATGAGCAATGGCGACTCTATCACATTTTCATACTTAAGACAACAGGATCAGTGCCCTGACACGACAGCTGATCTGTGGCAGCAGGTTTAAAAGAAAGGGATGCTGGTGAGAGTGAATATACTGTATTTTCCTCCTGAAGTCGGCTGTGGTTTAATTACTGCTTAAATAAAATACGCTAAATTGGATAAGCACAAACGCCATCCAGTTACAAGATCAAGTGTAGAGGTGGTAATTTCATTGTTTATGCTTCCTGGGTTTGAACACTTATTCATACTACTTTGGAAACTACTGAATGAGCTCTCTCTCTCTTTTACTCTTTTAAAAGGGAGTGTTCACTCTGACTGACAATATAATTCTGTGTTTGAAAAGAAGTGAATGCATCTCTCAGTTGGCTGTGGTCCCTTTGAGTTTAATTTCAGTGTCAATCTCATTTCTTTGTTAATCCAGGGGTAAAACTAGGCTTTAGGGAAGCTTTTAATGTTTAATAGACTATTGTATTTTAATATTCTGTTGGAAGCTGCCCAGAGTGGCTGGGGAAACCCAGCCAGATGGGCGGGATATAAATAATAAATTATTATTATTATTTATTATTATTAATTTCACCTGGGTCAAAGACCCAGTTTGGCAGCCACATGCATTTGCACACACAGGCTGGGAGCCTCAGTGGTGCCACTCTGGAGATTTTACTGGGGCAACCCCCCCCCCATACATATGGCCCTAGTTAAGCCTATGATTTCATTCCAGTAAGAAGGTGGCTCTGTAGAGGGTGCAAAGAAGGGATTAACAGGGCTTGGACCTTGCTTCAGCTCTCCACTCAGGGTTGCTTCATCTGGGACAAAATTCAGGTAGAGAAAGCAGCGCTGGGTAGAAATGAATGTGCAACCCATGTGTACATAAGATGTTTGGAGTGTATTGCCACATAAAAAACAACAACCTGGAACCTCCCCCCTCACCAGTTGGCCACAGATTTCTGGTGTGTTTAATCAATAATAAATTGGATTGATCAATGAGAATCTAGGAAGCAGAATAGGACTATAGTTTACATATTAGGCTTTGCATGAACCAGGGAGAATCTGTTAGGTGTTTCAGTTGGTGCTGGTGGCTAAAGATTTGTTCAAGAGCTCTAACCTTAATTCGGGAATTCCATGAGGAATGTAAAGAAAAATGTGGTTATGCCTTAGCCTGCCAAATGCCTTCACGTTTCAATAACATTACTCCATGGACCTGCAGCATCAATACTTGCTGTCATAAAATGAAACATGTCTGTGACTCAACAGGCTTTCTTAGCAAACCAGTAATAAGAGTGTTGTAACTCTTGTAGTGCTTTATACTGGCTTTGTAGTTTGTCAGTGTGTCCTAGTTTCTCCCTGGTGAAAGGCGTCTGCCCTGCTGCAACCATGGGAGTGGGAGACTTTCTTCTACTGCACTAATTCTGACGAGAAGATGTGGTAAGACAGCACATGCCAGGCAGAATGTGGCATGGGCAAATGTTTCCCTTTAGTACCACACTATCACAGGTATTGCAGTTACAATGAGGAAGGGAGAAAAAAGAATGGGCATGAAGGGGAGAGTCCAGCTGACTTCCTGAAATAGCCCATTGCTATTGCTAATAAATCAAGCAGATGGTGGGGAACAAAATCTTCTTTTGCTAGCCAGGATTTTTCTTTAGTTTGCCCTTAAGATTCACTAGTGAAAGTTATTGCTGGGTCTTGTGCCATCTTATGACAGATTTTTTTGGTGTTAATAGCTTTGCCTGTCTTTTTCTCAGATAACTAACAGAAGTATGAGAAGTATGTTTTCCCCATCAGCACAATAACATTCTATCGTCTCCCCTTCATGAGCTGGGGAAGCTGATACATGCTGCATACAGAAAAAGGAAGCTGGTAACTGGTGAAGGGTGGAAGGTCAAGATCCTGTCAACTGTGCTGGAGAAGACATGGCTCTGACTGTTGAAACAGAATCGCGAATATACCACTCTCTTAGAGCTGTCTTTGGTGCTACTGCGCACCTTGCCTCACTTGGATTTACCATCTTCGTAGCTGTGGTGGCTAGACCTGGATCAAGTAAGTAGGATGCAATGATAGGTGCATTGTTAAATGTGCTCCAATACCTGTGCATAGGTTTGATTAAAAACTAAGACGTGGGCAAATATACATTCAATCAAAATTCTGTCTTGAGTGTGAGTAAAGATGTTAGTCATTTGAAAGTAAGACTTATAGTCCAGCACTTTGTAGAGCTGATTTCAGGTGGTTTAGGCCTCACTCTGCATATAGCCAACATGATAGGCTTCTGAATCATCGAAGCTCTCTAGGGCGCTTCTGCTCTTAAATATAATTGTTTTACAGGGCCTAAACTGATAGGAATAGCTTCTGCCTGACATAACACATAGGATGGTGTCTCAGTCCTGCACGAAACCTGTGCATGCTCCTGATGCACATTTTAATGTTCATCCCCTTCATGGTGTTTTTCCAAACCTTATGTGAATTAGGAAGACCATCCACATGAAGTTTACATGTCTGTGACTACAGTCTTTGATTATTGCCTGAAGAGAGTTTGGCCAGTGCCCTTTACTGACGAATAGTGTAGCATTTCTGTTTTTCCATTACAAAATGCAACACATGAGCTCTGTCACAGTAAACCAATCCTTTGCAACATCTCCTGTTACTAACTTTGCAGTCCTAGATGGTTTTTGAGAATAAACTTTGAGCCTCTATCTGTTAAACGAGTCTTCTAGTGAAATATGATCCTTTAACATAACAAAAGCTTTAGACAAGATCACTAGGCCCATTTTCAGTGATGCCTTAGGTATTTTGGCATAGGGCACTGCATTCCCATTTGCAGTCTCAGCAAAGCACATGCGTTGAACCAAAGGTGAGACTGCAAACGCCATCTTGGTAGTCAAGATGACCCTGAAACTAATTGGTAGTTGTTGCAACAATGAGCTCACCTATATATGCACTTGCTTTGTTACAGACTAATTGGATTGCTTTGATGCTATGCTTATCTGTGGGGCCTGGGATACAGGGTTCTTGGCCCACAGAGGGGAACTATCTGTAAGCCTTAGATCAGGCTTCCTCAAACTTGGCCCTCCAGCTGTTTTTTGCATACAACTCCCATGATCCCTAGCTAGCAGGACCAGTGGTCAGGGATGATGGGAATTGTAGTCTCAAAACATCTGGAGGGCCGAGTTTGAGAAAGCCTGCCTTAGATAGTTTCCAGCTATGCCCTCAGATGGATTGATGAGAAGTTCTGGTCAAACTAAAGTATGCCGTCTTTTGTATAAGTAATGCTTAACTTATTAGCACTTTGTGGACAAGTCACGATTGCTTCCTGCTCTGGTGTTCCCCCCATGTCTGTAATGGCAGTGGGGCTTTGCAGGCTGTGTTGTAAGTTTATACCTTTCTTTAATAAAGCACTAGAACTGGCCATTCTGGTGTCTTTGATTTTCTCTTTTCGTATCTGCACCAAACCACTCCCACTGGCCCTCCTTTGGGCTGCAGATCAGAACAACACACCACATTGCTCAAAATATTCGATTTTTTTTTAGAGGGATATAATCTGTGTTGTGCCAGATTCTAAAAACATCCCTGTTGCACCTACAACCCACAATTTAGTGTAGCATAAGGTTTCATGTACTTGTGGCCACAAATTTTATACCACTGCAGATCTGTTCCATCTTTAAGGTACCACAATCCTTGTTTATCTTTTTCCTACTACAAAGTAAATGGCAACCTTTCCAGAATTCATATGCAATTCCACAATGTGTTTGGAGTGCTGTACTGCATTTCTTTCAGCGCTTTTGATTTTGAAGTCATTTCGTTATGTCTGTTTTGGGGAAAGTTTTGCTCCTCCCTTAACCTCACGTGAGAAGGAATGACAAAGGGATCTAAACTGAAGTACACGGTATACAAAAATGTGTGACGGCTTCTCTCCAGCAACAATGATTCTAGTACACTTAGCATTTCCACACAATTGGATTAATTCTAGGATTTAAATGGATGTTTCCTATTTCCAGAGCAGGTGGCACATTTTCAGCTGTATGCTAATTGATTGTCTACAGGGACTCACCTTGCTTTTGTTTCTTTACAGGCTTGTTCTCCTGGCATCCTTTCTTAATGTCTCTTGCGGTAAGCCAGCCACAGGCATTCTTTACAACCATCTTCCTAAATAACTAATTATAACCTTACCTTATCTATATTGGGCTTTGTTTAGTGGACTGAATAGTCTGAGAAAAGGCTGGAGGCAGCTTATTGTGGAGTAAGATGGAAATTCTGTGCTAAGGAATTGGAAAAGGCAGAGGTGATGCAGCTGCTCCTGCCTGTTGTGGGACTGGAATCCAGAATTCCCTACTGGTGGCTGGGATTAAAATATGAGATAATTATCCCTTCCTTCTCTGTGTGCAGCTCACAAAGCTTTTATCTTCTCCTTTGCTGATGAGGATCACTATAAAATTTGTACCAGCGAGATGGTTGGGTATAAATATTATTATTATTATTATTATTATTACCTTCTTTGGAAAAGAGATAAGCCTTCCCATGACAGAACAATTTCTTCTCCAGTATTTGGCAGGAATTCCCAAGTTACTACACAAAGTTAAATGCTGGGGTAAAGCAAGGAAGCTTTCGTTCTTGTCGTTAAGCTGGGAATGAGTGCAATTTTACCATTGGCTAAATGTAATGTAACAAACCATAGTGATGTTGTCTTCTTTTGCCCCTCCAGTTTTCTTTCCTGATGACAGAAGCCCTGCTGACTTTCTCTCCAGAGAGCTCCCTCCTCCAGTCCTTCTCCCGGAAGGCCAAGGTCCGCTTCCATTGGGCTTTACAGTTGCTCTCACTCACCTGTGCAGTGTTGGGCTTGGCCATCATCAGCTATAACAAGTACCGCAAGGGGAAAGACCATTTTGTCACCTGGCATGGTTTGACTGGCTTGCTGACTGTGCTGTATGCTACCATGCAGTGCATGGGGGGCCTTGCTCTGCTCTACCCCAAGCTGATGAAGAACTGGACACTGAGCAAACTCAAGCTTTACCACGCCACATCAGGGCTGATCGGTTACATTCTTGGCTGTGCCAGTTTGATGCTGGGTATGTGTTCCTTGTGGTTTACCATATCTGTAACTGGAGTCTCCTGGTATCTGTCCATGCTGTGTCCTATCCTCACCAGCCTGGTTATCATGAACCAAGTGAGCAATGCCTACCTCTATCGCAAAAGAATCCAGCCTTGAAAGCCATTCTGAAACAGACAGCTTGTGGGATCTCTGAAGAATTCCTGCATTGTCAGTAAGGAGTCAGGTGGCCTTACAAGGCAGTGGGACTGAAGAATCTCTTTTTACTTGCCTATAGCATCGTATGGTATTTTATGTAATTTCTGACTTTTCCCCGTGAAAATCCTGGAGATGCCCATACTGTTGAACTAGCTTCCTTTTGGTGCCAGAGTGTCCATGTAGCATTTTCTCTTCTCTGTCAAAGTACCTCTGGAAATATGGCCACTGCTGAGTAAGTAGCCCAGCTGCACTCTGCTGGTGCCTCCCTGTGAAAGAACACCAAGTATTGCTTAGGTCGTACTTGATTCAGGTAGCTGCTGAAATCCTTCTTGCAGACAGACAGACAGACAGACAGACAGACAGACAGACACCTCGGCTGTTTTAATATACTTTCTCTTGGTAAACGGTTTGGGGTTCAGATGTCCTGGTTTGGGTATCAGATTGAACCTTTTAACACTCTGAATAAGGGAAGGGCTGATCTCTCTCTAACACAGTTGTAAAGGCCTGAGTTTCTGTCTAAAAAAATCTGTTCTGACTGTGCAGTGCTCTAAGCTGTATTAGAAATGACAAGGTAATTTGAGCTAGGCAGGATCTAAACATATTACATGCTTTAACAACAAAGCTGCCTTGTATGGAGACTCTACAACCAGAAAGTGGCAAGGGAGGACAGAGAGCCTAACACTTCTCATTTTTTAATGCTCAAGAACACCAGACCACCCCTGTCTAGCAGGTTTTCTCCCCAGCAGGATTCAAAGTGCATGTTAGCATGTAAGTGTAAATTATTATTACTGCTGCTTTATCTGTGCATAGCCTTGTAGCTGAAGCTCTCAGGGGGATTTACATAAACAGTTTAAAAACCAAACCTGATCAACTATATGCGTTAGAATGGCTAGGTAACTTCACTTCCTGAAATAGTGAAGTGGCTCAGATGTGGATCAATTAGCCATTGGCGTTTTCCAGAGACAATTTGATGTGAAGAGGTGGTGGTTGACATGTAGAGCGTTTTGTACAACCTGTCTTAGATTTAGACAAACATTAGGAGATACTTGCCATTTCCTTCCACTGTTATAATATTCTGAGGGCTGCAACTCCTTCACTACCCCACCTTCTCTCCTGTGGTTTTTTTTTTTAACTCTCTTAGAAGTCCTGTCATTCCATGTCTACACCACTCAGTTCAATGTGGCTTAGTCCCCTGCTACTCTGGACTGCATTGCAGGCTTGTTTACCTGTGCTTGTCTTGTGTTTGTGTGGAAGTAGGGGGAAAGGAAGAAATTGCTACGGTGTCCTCCCTTCTATTCCCACTCTGGCCCTCAGTAGTCACTGTGGCCTTTTCTTTGGTCAGCTGCTATAACAGCAGCCATTTTGAGAGCAACTGCTGCCTAGAAAATAACAGGCAAACACTGAGAACCAGGAAGAAGAGGGGCAGCACAGTGATGGATTCTCCTCTTCCTCTTCCCTGGTGGAAAGATGTGAGGCAGGCAAAAGTTACATGAGCATATGGTACACTGAACTTGAGAAAGGCTTTCAAGAATGGTATAACCAAGTCTCTCTTCCCTTCTTTGCACTGATAACTTCTGGGTTCCTCCTTTCAGGTTGACGCGTGCACTGTTCATGGGAAAGCTTCACGGACAAAAGCACAATACTATGTAAGCTTAGGAATTTCTCTTTGAACTTCTGGCCTAGTGGTATAGGTTCTCATAATCTTTTATCTTAAATCTGGAATGGTATACCACAAGAACACATTATTACCTGAAACCATTCCTGTTAGAGGGAAGCTTACAGCCTGGCAAATGTATTTATGCCCTCTCAAGGTGGAGAAGAAACCTGCTCAGTCCTTTCCCTTCTAGGTGTACAGAATTTCCATTGACGCTTGTGTTATGGTAGATGAATAGTAGCTTCATTTTATGGCTAGGTAAGCAAAAGGGAGCTCTGATGTCCAAAGGTTTCCCACTGATCCAAGCACAGAGGTTAGAATAGTATCTGCATGGCTATCTTCTTTTGTAGCTCTTAGACCAAAACTCCCAGCATTTGATTTCTCATGAGTCACAGTATTTAACAGAGACGATCCTGCGAACAGGAACATGGAAGCAGAGTGCTGAAATTCAGATAAGCGCTCTTCTTTTTTCAGACTTGGCACTGTTTGCCAATACATGACAAGTTCTGCACAAATGTAACATGTGTGATCAACACTTGTGTTGATCTACATACAATCTCTGCGTGGAAATGCTTTCTACACCGGAATGTTGAGGCACTCAGAAAAGTTTCTAGATGGGCTGATGGTACTTAATCTCTTGCAGTTCCAAGGCAAGGATAAAATCCAGATGCTTTTTTATCATTAGCTAACAGCTGACTTCCAGATTTGATTTGCGTGCAGCATGTTAAAGTGGCTTCAGCCAAAGTGCACACAAAGGTTCCCACCAGCTGTGGGACTAAATCAAGGAAAGGAGTCTTTGTTTTGCTGGCTGGGAAGAAGAGAGAATAACTGCCTTAGCAAAGAACGAGAAAATGGGCAAAGCTGGGCCCCTTGTTTAATGGGATTGGAAGAAGCACCATGGTTGCAAGGAGATAAGACACTGGCCCCAACCTAGATAAAGTTAATCATGACTAAAGCTCTTTGAAACCTATGAAAGAATGTGACTAATTGAAGTCCCATTGTTTTCAGCTTCCAGTGGTATGTACCTTAGATGTTCTGTGCAGCATCATTTACTTCAACATATAGTTTGCCATAATGTATTATGTAAAAATGCTACATTTTTATGGACTAGAGTACCTGGTTATCTTTTCTATGGAGCCCATGGTCCCCACTTTTCTTGCGTCTATGCGATACCAGTCCTTTCAATGACAGCTGCGACAGGCATTATGTCAGCAGGAATGCTTCATTTTCACCAGTGTTATGGATTGATTTGGCTGAAATATATATTGCTGTTACTGAAACATCAAGCGGTCTGCCAAATCTGAAACTGCACCAACGAAGATCGTTGTTTGCACTGGACTGTTTGTGATGAGTATATCTGCCAGGCAGGTGTACCCATCAATGAGCTTGATCAAAGAAAGGTAATCAAGAGTGCTCTATTAAATAAAGCTTTTGAACACCTGTAGTGGCTGTGGCATGTTGCCTTTTTATTTGTTTTTGCTCCCTTCTGATCCACTAAGACAATATATCCTCAAGCAGAGTTCATGAGATACCTGGTATCTGCAGATAACATTGCTCTTTCTTGCTGGCATCACATCTGTTAATAACAATTTTATTATGCCCTAGTCAGACCTCATCTAAAGTACTGTCTACAGTTCTGGGTGCTGCATAGGCAAATTGGAACAGGTTCAGAAGAAGACACCAAAGATGGCTAGTGGGGTGGAAATCCAGTCTCATGAGGAAGGATTGAAAGAACTGGCATGTTTAATGATAGAACTCTGCAAATACCCAAGGGTCAGTTACAGAGAAGAGGGAAAATACTTGTTCCCTGCAATCCCAGAGGACAGGACTAGATCTAATAAGCAAGTTGGGGGAGGGCTTATTGCATCTGAATGTTAGAAAAGCTGTTTTAATGACAGTGAAATCAGTTGCTGAGGTTGATGGGCTCTCCCTCATTGGAAGTCTTCAAGCAAAGGCTGGGCAATCATCTTATGGATGCTGTAGCTCAGGATTTCTGATGCTGATCAGGGATTGGCCTAGATGGCCTACAAGACTCCCTCCAACTCTTATGATTCTATGAATGTGTTCACTGAGTTACCAGTAATTGTCATACTGATTATTACCAATAGGTGGCACTACAACAGTAAAGGATAGCAGAGATTTAACAATTAGTTCTGCCCCTGGGTAGAAAAGAGCTGTTCAGGGAAGCCTCTGGTGTTGGCAAAATTATTCAATGCCTTCAGGGTGCACCAGGATGATAGTAAAACAACAAGTAGAGCCTAATTGCTATTTGAAAGCATAATTGAATCGAGTGATTCTGCAGCTGCTCCTTTAATACGGTGCTAATAGTAAAGCTCCCTGTTCCTCAACTTCCTAAAGTTGTTACTGGGGTGAAGTAAACTGCAAGGAGTCAATGGGCTGCTTGAAAATACCTGTTGGTGCCAAAAATTATTTCACAGCAGCCCATAATTTAGTTATGAAACTAACAAGGCCTAGTGAACTTAGTGCTTCCTTCCTGTGATTTTAGACAGCATGTATTGGCAGCAAAAAAGGATACAATGGCTAGAACAGTGACACCTAAAGCTGATGCAGTACCAGCAGTTCAGAAGTCTCCCATAAATTTCTATAGGACCAAATATTATGAATGGGTATAAAGTTAAATTCCACCTACAAGGCAGGATTGTATGGCTGTAGAGAGAACAGGTACATTTGACTCCCCTGTTGCAACAGTTTTAGGAAAACTTCCAACTATTGTATACCTCTCCTGATAGTGAGAATTTATAGGTGGATATTTTGCATCGGTAATTTAAACAGAGAGAAAATGAGAAAAAAAGTTATAAAGGAGGATCTACAGGAATTAGCTCTATGTATCTGTGATTGACATGAATCATTTGGGCTTTAGACCAGTGCTCTACCTAACTTGCAAGGGGCCAGTATGCTCTTCAGAAGAATGTCTTAGTACTACACCAAGGCACCTGGCTAGCACAAATCACTGAAGCATCCGACTGGCCTTATTGGGTCATCTAGCCCAGCATTGTTTACTTTGATTGTACTGGCTTTCGACAGCCTGTACAATCCTTCGAAATGCCTTTTACTTCCTAAGTAAGGAAGACCCAGTATATAAGGACTGCAGGTTATCCCTACGGGATTCCTTTCCTGAAAGCTCAGCTGAGTCCACAGAAGACCTTCCACATACATCCCAGGATGCTGCATTCACTATCCTCTGCTGTACTAGAACCCCACCCAATCTATTTACTCACAAAACATCTCCCTAACAGGAACGAGATCTCCAGGTATAGGGCAGTATATAAATTCTAATTCTAATTAACAACCCACCACAGGCTATAAAACCTTTCCACGTACTGAATGCAAGGGTATGAATTTAAGTAGCGATTCCTTAGAACCTTTGTTAGTGCTGTGTCTCCAGTAGCTGGCTATCAATCAGCTTCCGTGCAACAGTAGCTACTGTTAATGCTGTCTGTTGGCACAGGTCCCTGGTATTGTGCCCTTGTTCCAGGAGGATGAGACACACGATTTGGAAATTACAAATCATGGTTGTTTGCAAGTTACGACCAACATTTATGATACAAGGCTTACAGTTAGGATTATCAGGGTGGTGTTGTGAAGCACCCAGTTGAATAAAAGAATCGTAAAATTGTAGAGTTGGAAGGGACCATAATAATAATAATAATAATAATTTATTTATACCCCGCCTATCTGGCTGGGTTTCTCCAGCCACTCTGAGAGTCATTTAATCCAAGCCCTGCAACGCAGGAATCTTTCGCCCAACATGGGGCTCAAACCCAAAACCCTGAGATTAAGAGTCTCATGCTTTACTGACTGAGCTATTCCAATACATTTCCCTGTCAAAACGAAGTGATGCCCAACATCTTTCTGAGATTTAGTACAAAAATCTTATTTTGCAACAGAACCAGAACCTGGCCTAAGAGTATTGAAACACTGTATTTCTCATGTGTCTTGTGTAGAAAGAGATTGCAATGGCTTAGAACTCACAGACAGCTGCATTAGTATTAGATATTTTTAGAAGTACCTACCCAAGGAAGTCACTTACGTCTTCTTGAAAAATTATAAAATTGACCCAACAATCACTTCTTAATGAGCATCACGTTTAGTACTGATAAGTTCACACAAGATGAATTTCCTATATGTAAATGCTTCCATGTAGAAAACACTAAGTGAAAGAAGGGATGAAAAGAGAAAGTACAGGTAACTCCCAATTTACATGGGGGTTACGTTGCAAGGCGAAATCTCGTATATTTGAAACTCCATTGAAGAAGCTTCCAAACACCCTGTTCCACCTCTGCCCCTTTTTGTGATATTTTCGGGTCACTTCTGGGTTTGGCACAGTCGCACACATATTGGATGTGCCTAAAATGGTTTCTGCCTGTATTCCAAATGTGTAAGAATAAAATTAAATTTTTCGTATTTTTATTAATCTACCAAAGAAACACATGAAAAAGTATACAACTGCCTTTCACAGCAACTTGCCAGGTGAGATTTCCTTTTGGTAAAGGAAATTCATATTGTGTGAAGCAGCTCTTAGTAGAAGTGCCTACTGAGCAGGTCTAAGTACTCAGTTAAAGAGTTTTGCAGAAATCAGGCCTGAAATCCCCAGTCTTGTCTCTTGAAGCTCCCTGGGCAAACCTGGGCCACTGATTACTGCATAGTGGTACCTTACACGGATGCTGCAGGGGTGAAAAGTTGTGAGAAAAACAACAACATCCTAGACAAAAGCAGGATAGAAATATAATAAAACTTAGAAGTTACCTGAAAAGATGTCAAAAGTCAAGCCTTCAGAAGTGAAGTGACTGTCCTTCAGTCTTTTATGCCAGTAAAGCTAATCACTTCCCTAAATTGGTTGAAAGCCTTTTCAGCCTTGTGTCTGTGTTCTTCAACTGTAAAGCTGTCTTGAGTGAGCCCACAAAAGAAGACAAGACCCCAACATTTGGAAACTTCTCCAACTAGGAGGCTTACATGGTCATATACAAAGGAAGGTTTACAAAGCCAATCAAGAAGCATTCTTCAAAAGAACTGTTTATTGATACTGAAATTGTGTTTCATTACCTGGTTGACAAAACCTCGTGGTCCTTTAAAAAATTTATCACAACATTGTCTCACACTCTCTTCCTGTTCTGCTAAGTGTCCCCTCACCCAGTCCTCCAGCTGGGTGAGTTGTACCCTTTGGGATACTTTGGGGTTGGGTGTCAAGGCAAAACATCTTAGGCCTTGCCAACCCACAAAAAAAAAAAAGGGAAGAAAAAGCATCTCATCCCAGAGGAGAGGAAGAGGCTAATAATGATCTAACCAAAGAGAAAAAGCAGGCATCAGAAGAAATGTCAAGGGTCCCACAAAAAGCACCTTTTAAAATAAAACAGAACCAGCAACATATATTCTACTGTAGCAAGGAGTTCATTCCAACATCCTGTGAATGTATGGGCACCCCACCTAAGACAAAGCAGCTTTGTCATTTGAATCACCGCAAAAGGAAAATGAAGAACAACCAAAGGCTACAGAACAGAAATGAAATTAATTCCCTCTGAGTCCTATGGAAAATCTGAGATAATGCTTTTCCACAAGGTAGTCCACATACTAGTAGCAACCTGCTCTTTATCCCTAAAGCCATCACTGTAAGAATTCAAGAGGTGGACCAAGTGGCTATGCTGTTATTAAAAAGGCTTTAAGCTGCTGGTTCTGCGAATGCCTAACCCAGCAACTTGTTTTGGCAGAGCTCCCAAGGACTACCAAATCTGTAAGGAGGGAGGGTTAATACAGCAAAGCATTTGTTTAAAGTGCTTGCTCATTTAATCAACAACAAAGCCAACTCTGAAAGGAAAAGGGGAAGTTGCAGAGTTGTTTTGACAACCAATGCTGCCAAGGTAAAATAAAATCAAGAGGGAAAGTGCTGTGTTGCTTGCTGAGCTTGCTCTGGGATGCCCTGGTGGGCTTATACAGTGGTCTAGCAGTTATAGCTCAAAAACAGGAGCCAGGCTGGGCAACCCAGGGCCCCACACAGGTTGACTGGAACTGCCAGCCAGAAGGAGCTAAACACGCGCACACATACATGTGATAACAGCCACAATGGCAGCTATTTGTTGGAGATTTTGCAGGTTGCTTTATTCAGATGAACGCTCCTTATTGGGCTGAAGAGATGCAGCTCTCCCTCTGGCCTGCCAATTCTGAGCCCAAATCCCAGATCTGTCTGTGCAAAGTTTTCACCATGAGTCCTGGGACTTGGCACCAGCCAAGTGTGGCGAGCAAACGTTGGAAGGGACGTGTGGTCTCCCTCAGGGCCAGCAGGCACAGTGTTTTGTTTCCTGCAGAACAGGCAGCACTGTGAGGAAGGACATGTGAAGGATCATTAGCAGCTCTGGCATACAGGGACACATAGAAGAAGAGGGCAGGTGCCTCATGGTCACAACTGAGAGGGGGCATCCTCAAAGGTAATGAGGCTGGACTCCTGGCTGCCTGCTTTCCCTGCAGTGACAGAGTCCCGGCTCTTCTCGGGTAGCAATGGAGTATCAGCCTTGATGTTTTCTTCTTCTTCATCCTCCATGCTGGGCCATGACGACTGATCTTCTACACGCTTCAACCGCTCATTCAGTGCCTTCAGGGCCAGTTGTCTACAGAATGAGAAAATGATCCATAGTGAATGTAGGTTAGTTTGCATATTAAGCGGCATATTTCATGAGAGGGGTATTTTCTAGTGCAAGTCACCAAAGGAGTCCAGAGACCCTCTAAGGCTGGGAAGGCCACAGACACCCTTGGCCAACCCTCCAAGGATAGGAAGCACAACCCCAATCATGTGCATCGAGAGTGGAATTGGAAATGGCTCTGCAAGCAACAGCATCCAATGATGTGCCGTTGCAATCAGGGATTTTGTCGTTGTTGGCATCTGTCTGTCATGAGAGACAATGGAATGTGTCTCTGGGGTGAAGTCAAACTGCTGCACACATTGTGCTCCTTCTGGGGCAGCTGGTCTACCTTTGGTCCCCATCCTGCACTCATCTCTCACCTGTGGCTCCTAGAAACTGTCAGCATGCAACAGCGGCCACACACCAGGAAATGACTTTGACTGGCTGGCTAAACCAGATGAGGGTAGCTGAAGGGTCTCAAACCCTTAGTGAGTTAGGGACTTCCTTTGAATGCAAAGACAGGCTCCAGCGAATAGAGCAGATGAGTGGTCAAGAAGGCTGTTTCTGCACATGCTGTAGAGGGAAGTGATAGGCAGATGGGGCTTGTCAACCTGGGAAGGCAAAACTTCTGTGAGAAGGAAAACTCTGATTCTAAACCTCTGCTGCCTTGTGGGCTATCTCCAGGAGATGAAAAAGCTCAGGAGTAAACCCTACACAAATCTGGAGGAAGTTCCTAAGACTGTTGGATGGTTCCTCGAATGCCTCTTTCTGGCAACTCCTGCAGCCATGCTGGTACCAAACATTGCTCTGCTTCATTTTGGATCACATCAGCGAGGCCAAGAGGGGGGTCTTGTTGTCTGAGCAGCCCAGGACCACCATACACACTTCCCAGGCTTGAGGCCTGGGGAGGTCACTTCGGTGCTGCTAACACAGCAGTTTTACTTCACCCCTGGAGGTCCATTCCATTGTTTCTCGACACAGACAGATGCCAACAACAACCATTTTAGAAATGTTGTATTTCCTCGTTTTCACCTAAAAACAGCATTCAAGGCTACATTCAGCTATTCTGATAACCTTCAAAGGCATGAGGAACCTGTGACCTCCAGATGTCACTGGCCTCTAAATTCTGTCACCCCTGTCCATTAGTCATGCTGTTTGGGGCTGACAGGAGCTGGATTCTACCAGCATATGTATAACTACAAGTTCCCTATTGTCAGATGTACCAGCACTTAACCTTGATATTCAGAGATAACTTTGATATTCAGAGAAGAGGTAGTCTGTTGCTGGGTCCTATCTACTTCTGCCTTTGATACAATCAAATAATTATTTAGATCTGCACCAAATTGCTCATCATAATCAGATAGTCATCATTCAACTGTTCCAATATGCATGCTGAACATCAAAAAAAACAGGGGTGGCTAACCTTGGGACCTCCAGGGATTGCTGACCTGCATTGTCCATCATTCCTGAGCACTGGCCATGCTGGCTGGGGGCGCTGATGGAGAGTTTGAGGCCAACAATATTTGGAGCATCCCTATCTTACAGAATATTCCCATTCATGAGGTGAATATTTTACTAGCACAAAGTGAATACATGTGGAGTCTTTGCCTTCCTAGAAGAAAATAGTAAGGGATTTGTCATATCCATTCTGCCTGGAGCTCCTGTGCGAGCAAGGCTTCCTTTGTGCCAAGCAGAGCTCCAAGCATGCCATTGGGACATGTGGGATAAGCTTCTCCTAAGCTGAAGAAAGCTGGCAAGCCTTTAAAAGACACAATAGATCTTCTGCATATGTAATTGGGACAACAGTTGGCTCAAAGCATTAGCACAATGTTGTAGTAGGTGATTTTAACCCCTGTATTTTAGGCAATACAGTTAAAAATCACACCTAGCTTTGTTAAAAATGCTTCAGAGCTGAACACTGCTGAAAGCTGTATTAGTGGAACACACTGCACAGTTATATCTACACACATAGTGCTATTAACTGCCTGACAACTTGACTTAATCATTCAATTTGCTCCAGGCATTCAGAGTTCTGCATTTTGATGGTGTAAAGTGCACAATAATGACTTTCATCATCAGATTCTTTCAGTTCTTTCATTTGGAAATGCGAAACTAAGTTAAAAGCAAGAGACATATATAGGTGTGGCAATTACTGAAATTGCTGACTTGCTTTAGACTACTAAAATTCCGGATTACTACAGTCTTCAAACAGGACTAAAGCAAGAAAAAGTATACATACACTTCTGCATTTTTAAAAATGTATGCCAGTAATCTGTGAAAAGCACAATAAGATTTTAAGTTGAATACTCACTGGCAGTGTTTAACAAGATAGTTTGTAAAGAAGAGTTTTTGGTTGTTTATGAACCAAAAACAGATCTTAGAATTTCTTTTTTAAAGAAACGTTCTTGAAGTTAGTGTGACTACAAAAACATGACTACTCTACAATTGAACTAAGCTTTAAGTGTCAATATGCAGCACCACTGGCAAAGGACAAGCTGGCTGCAATCCTATGGCGGGACTTACTCCCAGGTAAATGTAGAAACTCGGAACTGCACTGCTAAGCTCTTCAGTTTGACAGGAGTAAATTTTATTGTTTTTATTTCAGCAGCAGTGCTATTCTCACACTCCTTAATTACACCTACGTTTACTAGAAGAGCATCTAAATACTCATTAATATACTTATTATAATATTAATAGTCTTGATTTTTTAAATATTTTTGCTTGTTTTTTTTAAACAAGTATTTGGATGGATTAAATGTTTTTGTATGGATTCTGTGCACAAAGAAAAAATTAATGCAACTTCTTTTCATGTGTCTTAACTCGTTAGTATATTTGCAGTCAGTGTTAGAATTTCTGGTATATAAATGTAGGTTACGGGCACCACAATGGAATGTCTAGGCTCCTTTTCCCCAGTTGAATTTATTATTAATATTATTACTTAAATTTCTATACTGCTTTATATTCTAAAGAATGAAATTCAAAGCAGTTTATTACACATTACAGTGGTACCTCGGGTTATGTACGCTTCAGGTTACATACACTTCAGGTTACAGACTCCGCTAACCCAGAAATAGTACTTAGGGTTAAGAACTTTGCTTCAAGATCGGAACAGAAATCGTGCTCCGGCGGTGCGGTGGCCCCATTAGCTAAAGTGGTGCTTCAGGTTAAGAACAGTTTCAGGTTAAGAACGGACCTCTGGAACGAATTAAGTACTTAACCCGAGGTACCACTGTACTTAGTATGTCCTTGTGCACCCAGTGATTCAGCAAACAGTACGTGCTGGGCTGTCCCTGTAGGGAACACTTGTCTGGTACAATTCCTTCATGTCACTTCCGATATGTATGCAAACAGATGGGAAACGTGAACACGAGAGTTGATATTTTGAGGTCCCCATGTTAAGTTTCCCCCATGTACTTGCATACTTGTCTCTCTTTTACATATTGCAGAAACAACATGGTGCTGTGGAAATGCAGGGGTTGTCTGTAGCAGATTTTAGAAAATCTGAAATTACACCACAAACAGTGTTAGTAACTAGCCAGGCAACAGGTGCATCTTGGCTTGGGTCCAATTGGGACCATGTGGAGATCTCTGGATGCCAGGTTGGTGATTGGGGAAAGCAAAATGTCACTTAGAGAAGGACCTGAAATATTTTCCTTGAAGCTTGAATTTGTTTTATTCTGGATTGTTTTGTTTGATGTTATACAGTGGTACCTCGGGTTAAGTACTTAATTCGTTCCAGAGGTCCGTTCTTAACCTGAAACTGTTCTTAACCTGAAGCACCACTTTAGCTAATAGGACCTCCTGCTGCCGCCGCGCCGCCGGAGCACGATTTCTGTTCTCATCCTGAAGCAAAGTTCTTAACCTGAGGTACTATTTCTGGGTTAGCGAACCTGAAGCGTATGTAACCCGAAGCGTATGTAACCTGAGGTACCACTGTACATCAGCCTGCTGACAACAACTGGGCTACTCCTATACAAAGACAGAATAAGCACACTGAGCTTCAAAAAATCCCGTTTTGTTTTTTTTAAAAAAGATCCCGATAGGCACAAATGGAGTACCAGCAATATAGAAGACACTTTTAAAATATTGAATTAGATGACTTGCTCCATTTCCTTCTCACCAATGTTCAACAGTGAACATAAGTAGTCTCCAACAAGTTTTATATTGCAGGAATATTACCTTCTCCGTTCAGCATCCTGAGGATCTGTTCCTGGTAAGCTGATAGTAATAGATGAAGGGGCACCAACATCATAACGTTTCACTGTTTTTCGACAGACTTTCACTTTGACCAAGACGCTGTGCACAAGGTTGGCTAGCAAGCCAACCACTGGTTGTAGGATCTCGGGGAAAAATGTGGCAAATGCAAAGTGGTCTGACATATCACCACGTCCTCGGCTGTGCCTCTGGTAAAAACGGAGATATATCCAACTGGAGAGGACTCCAAAACCATAAGAGGCCAAGACATTGCTTTCGATGAGGGTGGTCAATCTCAGAACTGCCAGGATCAGGAGCAAAAGCATGGGAACAACCTTCATCCGTACCTGAGGTACCTTCAAGACAGTACTGTCACCCATGGTCTGTTTGAGAGCCACCAAGACACCACCAAGGAAGCCCAACATGCCATAGATGCGAACGGTAAATAGGTAAGACAGATTGAATGATGCCATATAGGTGAGAAGATAAGCAAAGGCCCCCAAGAGCCCCACTGATACATTCACCACTGCAAAGAAGATCAAGAGCTCCAGGGCTCCCCATAGTGGTTCCAGCAGCCTCCCTGCCACCACTATAGTAGCCAGGCTTACACCTACATCCCAGATGTGTTTTTCCACCACACTGTGGGTTGCTAATGTCCAAATCCAAAAGTTGGGCGGGAAGAGAAACCCAGGCGTCACCCCGAGCCCATACACAGTGTCCACAGCAAAGGAGAGAAAGTAGAGCAAGATGACGATGGCACATATGGACTTCACCACGACACTGGTGCTGGCCAGAGCAGCCAAGAAGTGTTGCCGAGCTACTGGGAGGTATCTGTTCATCTTTATACCCACAAGCCCTGCCCCACGCGTCAGGGTCCGGGGTCCAAGAGTCTTCGCTTTAGGGGCGAGGCGTTAAGGCGTTGGTGGTGGCCCGGAAAACCCCTTCTTTTCTTTAGCACGGATTCGCGGTCGATTCCATCGCCGCCTTCCACGGATCGCCCAAACGGAGGCGACAGCTGATGAAGCCACAGGCCGCTCTGTATGGAGGAGGAAGGAAAGGCGTTCTCCTTTTATCCGGCCTCGTCCCAAATGGGAAACACCGGCACCCCCGCGCCCCACTTTCCTTTGCTTCCGAGCGGGGACCGCTGCACCCTCTCCTCGCAGCACCCTCGCGCGGCCCAGTCGAGGGCGGCCCCCTTAGCGCAGCGGAGCGAGTGAGGCGCGCGCTCCGGAGCTCACGGGACGGCCAAAGCGGAGGCGCAGCTCGCTCCCTCCCGCGGCCGAGCCCCTCGCAAGCCCCATTCAGCCCGCCGGCGGGGGCGGGGGCCGCTCAGGGAAGGCCTCGCTTCGGCCTGCTCGCCGCCGGAAGCCGGAGCCTCAGCCGCTCTGGTTGAGGCCGACTCCCAGGAGCCTTCTCGCCGCCACTTCCCTCTCCAGGCCAGCACTCCGCTCCTCGGCAGGGCTCCGCTCAGACGCAAACAAACAGCACGGCTGCGCACGCGTGGCTGTTCTATGAGCTGCGCGGGGCACGCCGGGAAATGGAGGCTCGGCCCTGGCGCGCGGCGGGCGCTGCCCGCGGCGAGAGGACTGCGAATCCCAGCATGCATCGGGATGCGGGGTCTGCGCAGGGAAGCGCGGGAGTGCGGGCGGGGCGGGAGAAAGAGTCACCTGGGAGGCGGGGGCTTAGGAGGCGTCCTGGCCGCGAGGAAAGAGCGTGGCCGGGCAGGGCGCGGCTCTTGCGGCCCAAAGCGCAATGATCGCTGGCGAGCAGATGAGGAGGCTGGTCTGGCCGCTCGGCGGAGTGGCGGCGTCTCCTCCTGTTTGCTTTGCCTTGTCACGGTAACTTGTGCTTGGCAAAGGACCGAAAGCATTGGCATGGGCCTGCAGGAATAGGGAGCCCGCCCTCCTGGGTGCGGGGTTGGCAGAGGGGTGCAGCCCTCGCCTCAGCATTTTTAGTCGCAAGTGAAATCCATTCCGTTTAGTTTAATGGCGCCGCCCTGCCGAGTAAAAGGCAGGATGCATTTCGTGGAAAGGGTGAGAACGAGAAACGAAGCCAAAGGTTGCAGGACTGTATATTAAATGCACAGCTACAGCTGTGAATTTCCAAAGCTTTGCTGGTGAATCCTGCCTTTAGCACGTCTGCGCTTCTGAAAAAGTAAAGCTCTGCACACTTGGGAGTCAGCCGAACTGAACTCGCGAAGACATATTTCAGTGTAAACCTGCAGAGGATGAAGCTATAAACAGGTTCTGGCTTCAGAGAGGGTTAGTTCAAAGCTCTGATATACCCTTTCTATTTGTCATGAGAAAATTGGGAGGGATTCAGAATGGTGTGGAAAATGAGGCCTAGAATTGATTTTCTGCTGTTACATCCTCTGTTTGATGAAGTTTCCATAGGGATATTCCCCATTTTAAATAGATGCCCCTTATAGCGACATTTCAAATTGTGGTGGTTATGCAAGGCTTAGCCAAGTACAGTTACGGCTTGCACTTTGTTACATTCAGAGTTTAATTTTGAAAAAAGCTGGGCACTATCCAGCCAAGTTCAGGCACTTAGGGCTACTGTCCTGTAGACGCTCTGTTCATTTGGATATGCTTCTGTAGACATGCATAGAATTGGACTGGACATCGTACAAGTGGGAGAGTTAAGCAGTTGATCACGTTTCTGCTACAGAAATGAACAGGAAAATATACACTTTACAATGACTGCAATGTGTGTGTTTAATTTAAGGAGCATTTGCTATTATAATTTTCCATTTCATATCATTCATAGTAGTTAGAGCAATGTTACCAATTCAGGATAACTAGACAACTTACTTTTTTAAATTAAAAAAGCTCATTTATTTATAGCAAAGTAACTGAGGACAGAAGTACATGCTAACCTTTTAAACATAGGAATGGAAGGAATGGGCAGGATAGGGCTGCTTAACCCTTCCCCCAACTATAAATCCTCCCTGCAACTCTTCCTCCTTCAGTTTATGTGTGATGTCAAAGCTGACTGGGAGAAATTTTTTTGGGGAGGGGGTTGCAATGGAGCATTAGGTTACAGAAGAAAAGGTGAAACACCCTCTCTGATTCTCCCTTCTCCTGTATTAGTGTTATAAGGTAAGCAGGAACCCCATTTCTGTTTTGCAATATGTAGTTTCTGTTTAAGTTTCATAAAGCTATTTTGTATTCCCATATGCCACCCTCTATTTCTCATGAAGGAATTCGCTGGTGGATGTAATAATTACTAAAATGTTTGTGTGCCAACAATGCAAAATGGAGTGTAGAACTTTGTTTCCCAAGTATGTCTTTATGAGATAACTAGTAAAGTTGCTTGTAAGAAGAGATGGAAGGCTCTCTAGGTAGAGAATGCAAAGGCATAGGCGCAAAAGTACAAAGCCTCCTGCTTACTTTCTTACAAACGTGGAGCTGGTCAGTAGCAAAAGTGATACATGGCTTTGTTCTTTAGTGTCTGGAAACACACAGCAATACATGTGATATAAACAGAAATCAGCAAAGTGTAAGATGGACAGAATTGTGGGCCAGAGCCCACTTTGTCTGCAGAAGTTAATCTGCCATAATACAGTACTCTTCGTGGTTTTTGCTGCAAAAGACTCAGCTAAGAAACCAGTTTTTCTTCATTGTTTCTCCAAGGACTGGATAAGCCAGGATGCTACCAAGTAGCCAGCCCCACAGATTGAGGCCTTTTCATATCTCTTGACTATGGGAAGATAATGTCTTCTCATACAACAGGAGAAAAGTGGCTATATTTTCTATGTCATAGCAAATATTCTATCTTGTGTGTGACATACCCTACAGCAGCCAGTGTTGTATAGGTTTAAAGTGTGCACTGGGGCTGACGTCATAATACATAACATTTGCATAGCACTCTTCGAATGTTCAACACACCTTGTTTCATTATCTCAGTAAAGTGTCATGCGTGGTTAAGGGGGATGGTGGCTGACAAGTGTGCAGACTTCAAAATGTGGTTTTATCACAGTGTCCTTGAATTCAATTTTTTTTTCTCATTTCGAATTTGCATTTCCTTCAGCATGTAATCATAAAGTAATATTAGTGAGGGTTGTATCCAAAAAAGCCCTACTCAGAATAGACCCATTAAAAGTGAAAAACCTGCATTAGTCATGTCTGTTAACTTGAATTGGTCTACTCTGAGTAGGACTAGCATTGGATACCACCCTTAGATACTTTGTTAGTCTATGTGGTGTGCAAACAGCTCTGCAGTCCACATCCTTCTGATTTAGCACCTCTTCAGTGTTTTAGTCATCACAATACAGTCCTAATTTAAAGTGGAATTGTGATCCAGTGAAATGAAAGAAACAATGGACCTACTTATGAATGCTTATTAGTTGCAAACTTGATTGTGGATTAATTCCACTCAAGTTCTCTATAGACTTCAGTTACTAGCATTAACAAAATACTCAACAGCTGGTATGAGAAAATATTTTTGCAATTATCTTTTATCTGGGACTTGTTTCAGTGGCACCCTGCTCCCTTGACCACATACTTTGAATCCACAAAAATATTGTAGGCAATTGAATGTCGTGTCTCTTATTTTTATTTGTGTAGTGCAACAGACTTCAGAGTTGCACACAGATGTCTAGGCACATGGGACATGCATCTTTCTTTGTAATGTGTGCCCAACAGTTGACTTACTAATGATTTGAGCAAGCTTGTCTCCAGGAGTTTTTGGATGAGTTCAGTTTTGTACGTTTTTCATTGATTACACACAGTTTTCAAACCTGTATGTTTTGTGTGTATGTGTGGCAGGATCAGGAAGGGTAGTTGAAATTCCAAAGCACTAATAGTATCAGTTACACTACAAACACCATTCCACAAATACATGTCTACATTATTTTGGTCTTTTTCAAAGTTTTATTATATTTTTCTGAATAGTCTTCTGTAGGTTTGTGGTCTTCTGTAGAAGAGTTATTGCAATAGTACAAATCAAACACATACCCCTTTTCGTTCATTCTTGCAAACACTATCAAAGCTGCTGTCAACCCATTATGATAATTAACTACTGAATTTAGAATGAATTGATTTTAGAATGCTGTATTACTTTACTGTTGTTAGCTGCTCTGAGCCCGGCTTCAGCTGGGGAGGGCAGGATATAAATAAAATTTTATTTATTATTATTTTATTTATTTTGCCTATTATTTTATTTTATTTATTTTGCCTATAATATTGTTGTTTATCTGCATACTACTTTTTGACTCAAAGTGACCCAAAACAGTAAATGGCTTTTTAAAAAAAGTTTAGTCTGCTTAGACTAGTGGTGTCCAAACTTTTTTCAAAGAGGGCCAGATTTGATGAAGTGAAGGGCTGTGAGGATTGACCAAAGGGCCAACCAAAGTTGTTGAGGTTTTTTTTTAAGGATTTTACCCCAGGAAATAAACTGCCACAGGGGCTGGATTAAACCGACTGGTGGGCTGGATTAGGCCCCCGAAACGGACTTTGGACATGCCTGGCTTAGACATAACCTGTACTGAACACAGTGGGATTTGCTTCTGAGTAAAGATACACAGGATTATACTGTTAATCTAGTTTGTTTTTTCACTTTGGAAGCTGTGTACACCCTCTGAAGCACACAGCTGTGTATATTTAAAAAGGGAGTGGAGGTATAGAGCGGCACAGCTATTATTTCCATTGTGTTTGTCCTGTCTATTATGTGCAGAGAAGTTATCATGCCATTATTATTATTATTAAGCACCACACAAGGCTGAAATGTAATTGGGGCATGCTTTGACTTATGTAAGAAGGCCCCAATGTAGTGTGAATTGACAGAGCTGTCAATGTGCATAGGTTATTCTCAGGCTTCCTTATACCTGAATTCTTTGGTGGCTTGTTCTGATCTCTTAACTAGGCCTGTCTTTGACAATGTCAATTCACTTTCTGTCTCATTTTATTCCCATGCAGTTTCTTTCTCTTTTTATTGTTGATCTCTACGTATTCATGATGTATTTGTTTTGTGCAAACAGAGAATGTGGGTAGCTAAAGGGTGTGTTACAAACTAGTCAGGTGACAGATGCATTTTGCGACAGGCAAGGGTCCAATTGCAACCACATGGAGATCTCTGAATGCCAAGTTGGTGATTGGGGAAAGCAAAATGTCACTTAGACAAGGATCTGAAATACTTTCCTTGAAGCTTGAATTTGTTTTTTTCTGGATTGTTTTATTTGATTTTTTTTTAATAAGTTTTTATTGTTAAAATAGTTCATCAATAATACACATATACAAGCATACAAACATACATTTCATACAATCCTTAAAAGTGTTCAAACATACTTACACTCAATCCCACAAATAATTCCTTTCCCCATCACCATCCACCACCCCTCACCCCACCTTTGTGTTTGACTTCCAATCTACTCAATACAATTTCTTTCCACTTTTATTACTTTCTTTCACACACCTTTAGCCTAATTTCATACTTCTTTTTCTATTACACATTGTTATCCATCTTATTTGATATTTCAGTATTTGAAACGGAACTTGTTTATTCTAATAGGAGTTCTGATTTTTCGATATGATTTTGCAAGTATCTTTTAAACACCTTCCAGTCCCTATCTATCTTTTCTTTTGAAATCCTTCCAATTTCTTCCATTGTTTTGGATATATTGTAATACTCCAATAATTTGGCAAGCCACTCTGTTTTTGTCGGTATTATACCACTTTTCCAGTTTTTCGCAATCAATAGCCTTGCTGCTACTGTTGCGTATAAATATAAGGTCTTATCTTCTTCCTTTAGGCTTCCTGGTACTATTCCCAATAGAAAACCTTCTGGTGTTTTCCTAAATGAGTATCTAAACATTTTTTTCATTTCATTATATATTATTTCCCAAAATTGTTTGATGTTTAAACAATTCCACCATATATGTATCATAGTACCTTTTCCCGTGTTGCATCGCCAGCAGACATCGCTACAATTTTTATTCATTTTTGCTATTCTTTCAGGTGTTAAATACCATTTATGTTGCATTTTAAGGTAATTTTCTTTAAGTATATAACACATAGTGAATTTCATATCATCTTTCCACAATTTTCCCCATTGTTCAAACATAATATTTTTCCCAATATCTTGCGCCCATTTAATCATTGATGCTTTAACCAATTCATCCTTTGTTTCCCACTCTAAAATCAGATTATACAATTTAGATATATTTTTTGATTTTTCTTGTATTAAGTATTTATCGAATTTTGATATTTCTTTTTCAAATCCTAACTTTTTGTCTTTCGCTAATCTATACTTACTTTGAATATATTGGAACCAATCACTAATATGAGCTTTAATTTCTGCGTAATCCTTTAATTCCAATTCTCCGTTTTCTTCCTTTAATACAGTTTTATAGGCAGCCCAATTTTCTTTCATATTTAATTTTTTCACTGCTACAATTTCTGCTGGCGATGCCCACCAGGGAGTTTTCGGTTCTAGGAGTCTTTTATATTTCTCCCATATTTTATATATAGATTTTCTGATTATATGCCCTAGGAAGCCTTTATGTACTCTCACTTTTTCATCTATTAGATAGGCATGCCATCCAAATCTCGTCTCTACTCCCTGTAAATCCAATACATCCGAGTCATCTAATTTGATCCATTCCTTTAGCCAGGTCAGACCCACCGCATCGTGATATAACTCCATATCTGGGAGACCAAATCCTCCTCTCTCCTTCTTATCTATCATTATTTTGTGGTTTATTCTTGGCTTTTTCCCTGACCATACGAATTTAGCTAAATCTCTTTTCCAGTTATTAAAACATTTATCTCCTCCTAGTATTGGGATACTTTGAAATAAAAACATCATCCTTGGTAATATGTTCATCTTTATTACCAATATTTTCCCTAGTAAGGAAAGATTTAATTTCCCCCATACTTGCAAGTCATTTTTTTATTTCATTCCATGTTTTCCCATAGTTCTCATTACTTAAATCTATAGTGTTTGTTGTTAAATTTATTCCAAGATACCTTATTTTCTTTTTAATTTCCAATCCTGTAATTTCTTGTAATTTCACTTTATCTTTTTCTTCCATATTTTTCACTAGTATTTTGGTTTTCCCATAGTTTAATTTGAATCCTGCTAATCTGCCATATTCGTTTATGCATTCCAATATTCTAGGTGTACATTGTAGGGGATTTTCTGTTGTGATCATAACATCATCTGCAAAGGCTCTTAACTTGCACTCTTTTTTCACCAACTGCTATTCCTCTTATTTGGTTGTCCTGCCTTATTTTCTTTAATAGAACCTCTAATACTATTATAAATAACATTGGGGATAGGGGGCATCCTTGTCTTGTACCTTTAAAGATGTTGATTTCTTCTCCAAACTCTCCATTAATAATAATTTTTGCTTTCTGTTGGTTATATATTGCATTTATACCTTTTTGGAATTTTTCACCTAGACACAATTCTTTTAATAGTTTTTTTCATAAATTCCCATGAGATTTTGTCGAAAGCCTTCTCCGCATCGATTGAAATCAGGGCTGCTTGTTTGTCTCTTCTTACCTGTAGATATTCCATTATGTCTATTATATTTCTGATATTATCCTTTATTTGTCTACCTTCCACAAATCCAGCCTGATTTTTATGTACTATTTTTCCTATAATTTTTTTCAACCTGTTAGCCAATAATCCTGCATAAATTTTATAATCGGAATTTAACAATGAAATGGGTCTATAATTTGAGACAGATTCCAAATCCGTACCTTGTTTTGGCAGGAGCGTTATATACCCTTGAGTCCAAGAGTCTGGAATATTCCCTTCTCTACTGCTTCCTCTATTACTTCTTTTAGTGGGTCGATTAATTCATTTAACATTTCTTTGTAGTATTCTGCTGGTATGCCATCTGGACCTGGGGATTTCCCTATTTTTAATTTTTGAATTGATTCCTTAATTTCTACGGTTGATATTGGTTCATTTAATAATTTATGGTCTTCTTCTGCTATCTCTATTAATTTATTTTTCTTTATATATTCCTCTACTTCTTCTATTGGCACTTCATCTTTTTGATATAATTTTTGTAATATTTTTCAAATTCTTTGTTAATTTCTGTCATATAGCTTATTTTCCTCTCTTCTACTTTTATTTTATTTATTAATTTTTCATTTCTTTGTTTCTTTAGTTGCCAGGCAAGGATCTTGCCTGGCTTATTTGCCCATTCAAAATTTTTATATTTCCAAAATTTGATTTGTTGTTCTACCTCCTGTTCTATAATTTTATTGTATTCTACTCTCAGTAATTTAATTTCTTTATTTAATCTCTCTTTATTTTGGCTTGCATAGGCCAATTTTTCCTTCCTTTTAATTTCTTCTAAAAGCTCCCTTTTCTTTTTTTCTTTATTCTTATATGCTATTGAGTTTTGTTGTATGAAATATCCCCTAACAACCGCCTTCCCAGCATCCCACACTGTTTTAACATCTGTCCCTTTCCTCCAATTGTTTTCAAAATATTCCTTCATCAACTTTCTGGCTCCTTGTATTACTTTTTCGTTTTTTTAATAAGAAAACATTCATTCTCCACCTTTTTTCCCCTTTCTCCTCTTTTCCTTTAAGAGTTAATGATACTGGATTGTGATCTGTAAGTGTTTTTGGCAATATTTCGGCATTCTCTGCTTCAATTGTCATATCCTTAGTAATCCATATACTGTCGATTCGACTATACGAATTTTTTGGTTCTGAGAAATATGTGAACTCCTTTTCGACAGGATGTTTATATCTCCATATATCCACTAAATCAAAAATCTTTACCATTTCCATAAAGCTTTTGGCAACTTCCGTTCATTTCCCCCCCCTTCTTCTGCGATCTATACAATTCTGGTTCCATTACTCCATTTAAATCCCCTAACACAATAATTCTCATATCTATATATTCCATTAATAATGATCTTACTTTAACATAGAATTCTGATTTTCTTTTATTTGATCCATAGATTCCCTCTACTACAATTGGTTCCCCCTCTAGTGATATTTTGACTATTACAATCCTCCCCTCTTTGTCTTCATATAACAATTCTGGTTCATATTTGCTTTTAACATACATTACAACCCCCCTCTTTTTGCTTACATCAGATGCGATGAATTCTTCCCCTAACTTTGGTTTTACCAATAGTCTTTTATGCTTAGTATTGATGTGGGTTTCTTGTAAACAAGCAAGGTCCCACTTCTGCCTCTCTAAGAGACGTTCTATTTTCTGCCTCTTCCTCCTATTATTTAAACCATTTACGTTCCATGATAACAATTTAAATTTCATTCTTTATTAGTTAAAAAATTATAAAGTTAATGGAAAGAGTTTAAGTTATCTGCAGTGGTAAAGGAGAAGGATTTTATTTGATTTTTAACCACTTTGAGATTCATTCTTTAAAATGTAAAGCATTATAGAAATGAACAACAATAATAATAGTAAATTCCATCAGAAAAAAGGCGCCTAGACATTCCATTGTCGCAACCATAACCTAGGGTTAAGGTGCCATTTGGTGATTAGCTGGGCAATATCAGCTTTTCAACATTGCGGTGTATCACCAGCTAAACATCGTGATCTAGCAGTATACTGCAGTGCTGAAAAAACAAGCTACATTAGCCTCAGCCCTCGAGGTGCCGGTTAAACTGCAGGAGCTGAGGCGGTTTCACCCCAGCGCCTCATGGGCTGGGACAACGCAGCTTGTTTGCGTGGCTTAGCTGGGGTGCAGAAGGGCTCCCAATCCCCAGCAGAGCCAGCCCCAGTGCACCCCTTGCTGGTGGGCAAGTGGGAGGAGCGTTGGGGCTCCTTTCCATGGCTCAACTGGGTGGGGGAGCAGTTTAAAGAAGCTGAGGGAGGACTAAGATGCATCAGCCCAGCGATACGGCTTGCTCCTCTCTCTAAGGTATGAGGGGCAAAGTGATAGCAGTTTCACCTGGCAATATATCACAGGTGAAACTACCGTTGCTGCCAAGTCCCTCTGCTACCAGCAGTCGGATGTTGAAAGCGGTGCTGGTAGCAGAGGGACTTGGGAGCGGTAGTGGTTTTACCAGTGATATACCACTAGCTGAAGCTGTATTGATACGTTGCCCAGGCCTATAGTTTATATATCTGAGTTTCTAACACTGGCTAAAGGCCCAGAAATGGAGGCACCCGGTAGAATTTATCTTGACCCCAGATCTACAGTCTGTTTCTGAGTACAGTGGTACCTCGGGTTAAGTACTTAATTCGTTCCGGAGGTCCGTACTTAACCTGAAACTGTTCTTAACCTGAAGCACCACTTTAGCTAATGGGGCCTCCTGCTGCTGCCACGCTGCCGGAGCACGATTTCTGTTCTCATCCTGAAGCAAAGTTCTTAACCTGAAGCACTATTTCTGGGTTAGCGGAGTCTGTAACCTGAAGCGTATGTAACCCGAGGTACCACTGTATTATTGATGAGGTAACTGTCAGGTTGAAGGGCTCCCTTCATCCCTTTTGAAACCTCAAGCATTTGCATCCCTTCTCATTTGGATCTTACCCTGTATCTGGATGAATGCATGAGAATCTTTCCACTGGCTTCTGCAGGAGCTAGATTGGTTCCTTGGATTTGTCTGCCATTAAGTAAATATAGGTCCTAGACTTCAGGAATTCTCATTTATCCTTTTCTTGCACTCAATTGTAGACACCTTATTTATTACATGGGGACAAAGGTGTTTTTAATAAAACAGCTGAGTCAGTTTCCTTTGTGAATTTTTAACAGAAACATGATAAAGATTGCCAAACACAGGTGAGCAAAGACGTACTGATTTTTTCCTCTTCCTGCTGAAAGATAGCTTCCCCCACCTTTCAGGACATCAGTGTGTTACAATAAATGACTAATATAGATGTGACTCAGCACTTGACAACCAGGCTAGTAAATATTTCTTTGTGTGTGCATATCTGCAAAGCTGATAATACTTACACAACACCGTTCACCTAATAACCTCTCTTGAGATTGGTGGCAATAATTAACCTCCTCTAAAGAAACAGTTTATTGAAAGTGTCCAATTTTATGATGCTTGTTGGAAGTGCAACAGCAGGGACCATTCAGTTTTAACTTAAGGTTTAATTATGTCAGTGTTGAAGTCACCTAACCAAGATGGGAACGGGTAGTGTTGCTTAGCAACCAGGCAGAGTGGCATGATGCTCACTGAGATAGTACATGCCCTGATTGGCTGTGTAGTTCTGAAGGAGTTTTCCTCTGTATGTTAGCTAAATGTCATCTGCTATAAGCAAGGCCTGAAGAAAGACAAAACCTCTTGATTTCTCCTCAAATTATACTGTCTTTATTCAGTTTTCCTCTGGAAAGTGTTAGCAGGACTTTTCTCTCTGGACTCCACCTGTGGCTTTGCAACTATGGATGGCATCTAATGTTCTGCATGCGTAGATGTGCTGGTGCAATTGGACTTCCATTTCCTCTCCTCCACATTCACACCCCAAAATCTGATCCCGATTGTATTCCCCCCCCCAAAAAAAATTGGAATGGAAGCTCCAGTGGAGCTGCAGCATTGGCTATGGCCCTTTATATTTTGAAGTCATATCTTTGTATGATCCCCAGTGATCAGCCTGTATATGTGACCCGCCAAGCTTGGCAAGGCTTTGTGTGTCTCCAGGAGGACCCGCTAACAAACAATCAGGGTAGATTTTATCTATTTACCTCCCAGCATATGGCAGAGCTTCTGAGAAAGTAATGCAATTTGTGTGTGTTTTAGGAGGTACATCAAATAAAAGCATTTCCAAGTTGTTTGAAAGCTCTAGGCAACCATTTTAATATTTTAAATCTTAGACCAGTGTCAGGGGCCTGTTAGTAGGCCAGGGCCAAGGAACACAGACACCTGCTTACCCTTCCTCCTGTTTCTGGTCTTGCTTGTAAGCTGCCCATAGGCATCTGGCTGGTCAGTTTGAGAATGAGTGTTGGACTTGATGGGTCACTGGCCTCATCCAAGGGGCTCTTATGTTCTTCTCTTTGTCTTGATATCATCATCACCATTAATGGTCATTTTCCCATAATCCTGAATCCATTCACTAAGAAGGCACACTAAGATCTTCCTTAGAGAGGAAGTGGGAAGTGTCTTAAACGCCAGCTCTTTGGGTAAGTTTCTCGTCTATAAAACGAGCTGCTTTCTAGTGGCAAGGCACTTCTGTGTACCACTGGCTGGTGCCAAGCAGGGTGAATAACCCCCTGTGGGGATTAATTACCATACCTCATTTAACCAGCAAGAATACTGAAATGGTCTATCCCAGATCAAAAGTAGAGGCTTACAGAGGGCTGGAAAGAGCAGTATGGTTAGGAATCAAGTCTCTCACCGCCCTCACCCAGTTCTGAAGCTACGTCACAGTTTGAGATAGAACTTTCAGCTCAACTCTATTGATCCTTACTATTTTTTCTATTTTCCTCATTAGGATTTGCAACGTGAGAAACTCGGAACAGTATACGTCAGAACACGAGACCAGAAAGGTACCTACTTATCTAACCATTCTTAATGTGTTGTAAATGTAAACCAGTAAAAGAGCCACCACATTTGAAGTGAAAATATGAACATTATTTAATAACTGATCCTCTGTAATAAACAATTTGAAAATATTTTACAAGGAATCACGCACACAATATTTTACAAAGATTTTAGTCTTTTTTAAAATTTTCCAACTCTTCTGTACAACAAAAAAGAGATTCAAATAATAATTAAAAAAAAACAACCCTTTTTTAATCAGTAGGGGGAACAAAACTTTCAGATGAAGAATGTTAGGAATTGGATCCCAGCAGCTATAAGGACAGCTACTTCATGTTTTGCTTTTTTCCCTTTTGTTTTTTAACTTAAAATATAATATAATATATATATATTTATAATTATGTATATTTGTTTTTTTCCATTTTTCTCAAATGAGCAGCACCCGACTAGACTACAGATTTACACACACTCCTGGTAACACAGAGCCAGCCATCTGGTCAAAGCACAGTTCCCATAGACATAACCAAACACACACTGAAAAAGCTACAAGCAAAATGACCTTTAATCAACCTTGTCATTATTAGTGAATCTCCTCCCTGCCCGCTTGGCTCTGGAGTCAAACTTCCAAGACCATGTTCAGGGTTTTCATGGACCCCCCTCCCTTTCCCACCCACCTACCCTACCACAAATTGTTTTGCTCAAATGGATTTTAAAATGGACAAAGCATGTGAGGTGGGTTGAATCATTTCTATGTCTCACCAGTACTGCTAGTCACATGTGAGAACAGACTGGGACATAGGGAAGCCTGAACTAGCCTTCACTCAGCCCTTTGAGATCTGCTAGGAGGATGCCTTATTGGGAATGACCAGCAATCTCAAAAGTTTTTACAGGCTTCTCCATTCTACAGACTTTCCTGTACTGGGCAAGTCTATTGCTCCCTACAGACTCTCATCTTGTACAGCTTCATTCTCCTTCAAGGTCCTCTCCAGGATTCAGAAAATCACCTTGATGGTCAACCCAAGTTCACAATAACACACACACAATCTCCTTGCTGTTTCTCTGTCTCTTTCCATGCCGATTTCAGATATAGTACTTCATGGTAAAATTCCTTTAGGCTCTCCAATTTTATGCTCCCATAAACTATTGCTTCATTCTAAGAGCTTGGGAAGCTATTTCTATTCCTTTCCTATTATAAGATAGGTTACTATGATTTGCGAGGTTATCCATTTTTCTACGTTGGAGATAAAAGGCAAGCAACCCCATCATGCTCTTGGCTTCCCTCAAGCTATTTGTCTTTGTACCATCCCCATCTGTTAGCAGACAAAGCTGAAATGGAGACAGACTTACAGGCAACCCATGGGTGATTCTGACTGGTGGGGCATAGTTCTGACCTAGGGGGACTCTAGGACACCCTACAGATAATCTGAGTTGTGCTGGGAATGGGTTTCCCAGCCCTGATTTATATTTCTAAGCTATTTGGAAAGAGCTGGTTGTTGCGTAGATCAGTCTTGTACACTCATTTATACATAACACCAGGAGATCTCATTCTTAAAATGGCAAATATCACTACTGCGGCAGGGGAATAAACCAGCACAACTTCTACCCATCTTCAGACTTGCACATATTGGGATGCCATCAACTCATGCACAAACAACAACCTTAAAAATAAAAAGGAATCATCCACTTGCATTGAAAATAGGGCAACATTTTCTCATCTTAGGAAAAGTTCACCATCCAAATACTTGCCTGCTTTGGCTTTGAAACCTAGAGAAACAAGGCCTTTGTTTCATTCATATAACCGTTGTGAAAAATGTGAGGGAGGGGTGCTGTTGGACTGCATGATAGGAAAGAGGGTCTTCCACCCCAGTTCCCTTTTGTCTTAGCTCTGACCCAGTGACATCTAACATGGCTTCCACAAATAGAAATGAATGGTGTGGGAGCAGTGCAGCATCTCCATCACATCTGGTACTGATCTCCTGACCAGTCAGTCAAGAGGCTGAATGCCCTGGTACCCAGGTGTGATGAGGTTAAGTACTTCAAGTGGAAAATGTGCTGTGTTGCAATCTGTGCTCTGTCTGGTGTTGGGCTACTGGACATCTTCCTTTCCATCTCCAACATTCTCTGTTCAGCAGTCTTCATTCCTCTCTGACAGGGAGACCAAAGCCAGGTGCTGGGAAGGTCTATAAGCTGTAACAAGGATAGATGTGCTGCATGGAAATGCAGAAACAGGCAAAGCTAATCTCCATAAGGTAGACTGGAGGCTTAACGCACCACAGTTTCAGCTGAACAAATGCCAGCATCACCAGCAAGGATTCACTGAAATCTAAGCTAGTAGGAAAGCAAGAGTTCCACAAGTTTAGGTAGCAGTCATCAGAACCACTGCATGTCACTGGGAGACTATGTCACTGGGAGACTACAACATTGGGACAATGTTGAACAACTGCTAGCACCTCATGGCTAGAATGGATCTTGAGAAACTCTTCCGTATTACCTCCAGTATTAGATGCGAGATGACTCGGCATACTGGTTGCCGGGGGACATCAGTGGAAGAGTGCTACTGAATTGATGTGGCTGGGGGTTTCCCAAAGGCATCTGATTGGCCAATGAGAAACAGGATGCTCAACTATACAGTCCTTTGCTCTGACCCAGCACAACTGTTCCTGCTCACCTCCCAGCAGCACCTACACATCTTTCTGTCTCACAACTTGTAACCACATGTGAGAAGTAGAGCAGCTTTTTCAAAAACCTTAGGGTGCATACAGATGTATAGGATTTGAGTGCTGAACCACCTGTGTAAGTCTGCTTCAGGGAGGGACCTTGGTAATAAGCCACCCTGTCCCTATGCAAGGCTGGAGGCGCGAGGCTTTGACAGGGTCCTGGAATCCTCCTACCTCCTTCCCAAAGCATGGTAAGCACTTGCCTGGCTTTGGGAAGGAGGCAGGAGGACTCTTGGAACCCTGTCAGAGCCTTTCCTGAAGCTGGGCAAGTGCTTACTGGGCTTTGAGAAGGCACCTTTCTGAGATGTGTGTCCAGTGCGGCCGCACTGCTCACACTGCCCTAAATCTGCCCTTGCCTGCTTATTGTACTTTGTTCAGGTATATTGTTTTCTTACCTGGGTTGAGCTCAGGGAAACTATCTCTACATGGTTGGAGCAGAAGCTAGCTGTGCATAGCCCTGGTTGGCTGGAACCACTGATGCTCCAAAATCACGTCAACATTTCAACCTTTAAAACACAGTTCCTACATTAAATTTAAAAGGGGGGGGGTTTTAACTGCAGAAAGATACATATCTTTCTGGGGGAGGGGCAGGCCTGAGAATTGAATTTGTGGTCCAATCAGTGGTATGTATGCCTTTTTTGCAGCAAAGTGGCCAGAAACAGGTTCACACCAGGGGAGGAATGATGGTGATTTTAAGCTATAGCTGTACAAATTATGGATGCAAAACACTGAGCTGTTGCTGTTATTATTTCTTTATTTTCATTATTGGCTGTTCTGGGCATAATGCTAACCTTCCCAGCACTGCTGCCGATATAAATGAACGGTGGAATACGCCTGGAAAATTTGTAATGAGGCTCTGTTAGCCGTGTACAAGTTTGAAAACCACCTCTCTAAGGGGATCAGTCACAGTTCAAACACCAACACAAATACCTTGATTTGATCCCAGTGGATAGTAAACCAGGTACTGAGTGACTGTGAGATAGCAGCCAACCGAGAAGTGGTAGCCATACTGTCTGTGGTCTAAAGTGCTCCAAAGTGGGGCAAGGCCCTTTTTATGAAACCATCTCTCATTCAGCTGACAGGCACTGCCATATCCCAATCTATGCTCCAGCTTTCTCCATCCCTGAATCTCTCCTACTAATGAAGTACACCCTATGAACATATGGTGGCTCCAGAGCACTAGCCAAACAGAGTCACAGACAAAGTGGCGTCGGGGAAGACTATGCTTTTAGTCAGACCAAAGTGGGAATGAACCTGGGGGATTTCAGCCAAGCACACCATAGACAGTTGCTCACATCACAAAAAACAATCACACAATTTGGCACAATTTGGCAGTCTCTGCTCAGAAGAGACTAGCAAGATACTGGGACTGTACCCACAACTAGTACACTTGATTATTACTGGAAGTCTACTCAAGGAGTAATGGTTCTGTCTCTCTCTACTGTGTGTCTGGTAGAGTTGGAGCTATTTGTAACTTCCCAGTTTGCTTCTCTAGAAATCTACACAAGGCCAATGAAGCAAAACTATTAACCTTAGCACCAGTGGTATCATTGTGTATATAAGTCAGCTTGGGGAAGAACAGTGGGAGACCTGGAGGAAAAGGTTCTTTCAGACAGTATTGGTGATTTGGAACACAGGGCATTTGGTGCAGGACGGGGGAGGGGGGATGTAGACAGTGGATTTGGGACAGAGCTGGTTTTTGAAAGGTTAAGAAACTATTTATGATCTCAAGAATAAGGATCACTAGAAAGAAAGCAAATGCACCTCAATGTGTGTGCTAAAGGTTTGCTTCCAGATCTCTCAAATGATTTTTTTCTACAACAAAGTTACCTCTTTCATGTATTTACATTGTACTACTACCTTGCATATGACAGCAGTGACCTGTTTTTTACCCCCATTCAAACCAGACCAGACCAGGAGCACAATAATCCATTTTCAGCTTTCTCTGAAGATACACCTGTAGTGCATTGCAGCATGTTCTTTGGGACTGTTTGGGCGAATCAAAACCTCCCAAGACGAATCAGGTTTTTAAAGGGGTTCCTGCCATTTGCCTTGCAATGAAACACCTTAACAGTGGGGCCACCAGAATCTGCACAATAAATTGTGATGTAACCAGCATAGGAGTTTGGCATGCCACATTCTTTCCAAGAGACTTTCCCTAAAATTTTGGCTTAGTACTGAAGCACCAAACCAGGGTTACAGAAAGTTCCCATTCACACACATTGTTGAGCAAACTTTCTTTGCCTAGAAACTTACAGGTTCAAGTAACCGTCCCACTGTTATTTGCTTTCCAGAGTTCCTTCTAACAAGGCAAATGGAATTCACAACATTGTAATTACTCACAATAGGTTGTATGCCAGGATTTGGATTACCATATTTTTTGCTCTATAAGACTCACTTTTTCCCTCCTAAAAAGTAAGGGGAAATGTGTGTGCGTCTTATGGAGCGAATGCAGGCTGCGCAGCTATCCCAGAAGCCAGAACAGCAAGAGGGATTGCTGCTTTCACTGCACAGCGATCCCTCTTGCTGTTCTGGCTTCTGAGATTCAGAATATTTTTTTTCTTGTTTTCCTCCTCCAAAAACTAGGTGCATCTTGTGGTCTGGTGCGTCTTATAGAGCGAAAAATACGGTAACTGGAAAGAAAATTTTGGTTGAGGAAATGAGCATGCGAAGTCAAAATGAGGTGCACCAAGATGTGCACGACATTTCATCCTCCTATCACATCACATTGTGCTGCAAGGAAATGCCATCAGAGTTATTGACAGCGCGCTTAACCGCTTCCTTCTGATGGAGTTGCATTACACTGTTGCATAGTGCTGCTGCTCTTCATATTGCCCAATATGTGATTGTGGCTCTGACATCACACACAGCAGAAACAAGACAGGATCCTTCCCACTTTGCTACTCTGAGTACAGAGGCAATGCATGAGGGGATATTTGGCTGAAGAGAAAGAAATCTTTGAGTTCTCTGGGGACTGAAAAGGCCTTGCTGTTTTCATTAAGTGGCAAGGTATGTTTATCACTGTATGTGCAGAAATAACAGGCACAAAATCGGATAACCTGCCCTCAACAGCAAGCAGCTTTTGCGGAGACTGGGTGATGAATTCAAGTTTTACTCCTGTTTTCAAACCTCCAACAGTATATGTGGCTGCTTTCAGTAATAATCCTCCCAGCCATGAAATATGTACCTGCAAAGTCATCTGAAGTGTTCTGTGGGTTTGAGGTGAATGGCAGGTGTCATCATGACCTTCACTACGATGCAGAGTTCTTTCACCTTTCTCTGCATGGACACTGGAGACAATTAGCTGTCTGCAAAACATCTGCTTTTAGAGCTCTAGTTGTGGCCCATTGCCCACCACTGTGATTCCAATACTGGATGGATGGAGGGGACTCTAAAGGTGCAGTCAGGTTTCTGCACAAAGTCCAGGAAGAAAACCTTTAGCTATCACCTTCTTGGTTTGGCACAAATTGTTGCTGCCAATCATGGTGGACAATTTCCTTTAGAAGAAAAGGGACAGTGTGAACTGGGAAGAAGGTCATCTTTATCATGGCCAACTCCACCCTTTGTCCACCTCAAGGGTAGAATGCTGCAAAAATTCCAAAATGAAGTCTTCACAGTGATTTGGGGGAGCAGAAGAGATCATCTTGTTTTCTTGATGGACTTAAACATTTATGGGCCACGCAGGGAACAGGCTCGGCAAGGAAAAAAATGAAGCCAGGGACTGCTGGGTTTTGGCTGTTTCTTGCCAACTAGAAATACTCTGTCTTGCTATTCATTTTGCTAAGACAGTGAGGGCCACTGTGACCTCCAACCATGTATGGGTTACTAGTATGCCTAAGGATCTTCACACACTTCCTCTCCCCTGCTTGCTCTCCAAGTCCTCTCAGTATGGTGTGAGTTAGTTTAAATAAATAATACTGACCATAAAATTCAAGTCAATTTCTTTTTTTTTTCCTCTTCTGTGTCTTTGTTGCTGACAACAAATACTATAATTTGTCAGGATAAAATGCTTGGAAATTGGATGTAAAAAGATCTAGATTAAAATCCTCAGGCTAAAAATAATAATTTAAAAATTGATTTGAGATGGGATCTAACTAATGAAAGATTCAGCAGCGATGGCCTTCGAAAACACAGAGCGGGCTGGGTGGGATGGAGATGCCGTGGTGACATCCTAGGATTACTTTTGAGTTTAATAAGCCATTTAAATTGGCTGAAAAGTTAAACTAGACTACAGAACCAATTTGGCAAGAATATACCATTGTTTTTCCTGTTCTATTGAATAATTTTGTCGTTGCTGCTGTTTGCATGATTGGGATGGGAAAGTAAATTGTTTCAAACAGAATAGCAATTTGTCAGCATTGTTGATTAAATACTTTTAAGACAATAAAATGTCAAGACATATCCTGATGAAAACTGGCAAAGGTCTTCCCAGAATTCCATGGATTCAATGGGGAAAAAAAACTTACGAGGCCGCTGTTCTTTGTTATTTGGCCACAGCTCAATGGGTGGAAAGGGGAGCAATGAATCAAAGCTCAAGGATGTTCACTGTGTGGAGAAAGTCACAATGGTTCGTGCTTCCCAAAGTCTTGCTCAGAGCTCAACCTGCACAACCTGCTGTGCAGAGACACTGGAAGGGCAAGGAGAGGATGACAGGAAACAAGAAACAAAACAATGAGAATAGCTTCTGGACTTCTGAATGACGAAAGAGAAGGTCCTCATGAGTGAGTGCCAAGGTGTAACCAGAGTTGATGGGACTAGGCAGCTGCCCTCTTCTGGCAAGTCTGGAGGGAATGGAGATGGTGCACAAAGCAAAAATGAATGGGCTAGACTAAATGGATGTTTCAAAGGCAAGACACCAAGGGCAGCGGATGGCGACTGGCAGTCAAATAGAGGAGGAGGAACTGCAGAGATAACAAGATACTCAAAGAAGGTCTAAAGGAGGCACCTCTTCCACAGTCTGAGGTATCTTCCTATGGAAACAACAAAAAAAGGATAGATAATTTTGGTCATTCCATATATAGGCACAGATAAATTACTTCCCTGCATGTTTTTCAATGTGATTTTCGAAAGCTGTTCAACATAAACCACAATAGTCTTTATGATTCAGTAGACACTTCAGTCTCCCATCCTAGGTCCATTACTCTCTGTACATATTCTCACAGTTCCTACAAGCATCGGGAAGGAAAATTACCCTTTTTTTTTTTTAAGATAGAGCCCAGTGAGATTAGAAGGACTTCCTGATCAGCTCTAAGGAATAGTTGGCAAAAACAGTGCCACCTCCTAAGTAGAGTGGTTTTGCCATTAGAAAAGGAGTGCCTTATTAAAGAGATACTCCTCCTCCCAGAGGTGCCATTTTGCGAAGGTAATTTGGAGGGCAACACTGCGTGTGTCACATCACACATGCGCAATGTCCCATCATCGCACACGCAACATCAGGCTGTCGGGAGGAGCTGGGGAGTACAGCTAAACACAGCAGTAGTGTAGCTTCAACGGCTGGTGGCTCCTCCGGTGAGGGGCTGCTTCAGCCCTCCTTCCCTTCCGTGGCAAGTGAACAGAGGAGAAGGAGCTGGCCGCTGAAGCCACGCCATGCTTGGCTCCATGCTTGGCCTCCTCCGCCCCCTAATTTTTTTGGAAATTGGGGGCAGGTGCCCCCAATATTTTGGGCTGCTTGTTCCTGATCTCCACCCTTTGCAGTGCATCTTGCTACACTGGGACAAAGTGTTACCCCACAGTAAATATGCCATTTGAATTAGCAGGCTAGGGGATGAGTAGATGGACTAGTGGCCTGGTACTCCAGCTTCCTATTGCGAGCAGTACTCTGACTGAATCCCTTAGGGACATAGGAAGTTGCCTTATACAAAGTCAGACCATTGGTCCATCTGACTCAGCATTGCCTACAATGACTGGCTGTAGCTCTCCAGGATTTCAAACAGGAATTTCCTCCAGCTCTACTTGGAGATGCCAGGTATCAAACCTCAAACCTTCTACATGTAAATAGGTGTTCTCCCACTGAACTGTAGCCCTCCCCTACATACAGCCCTGATATGGCCCTTCATATCAGTAGAATGGTTTGACAAGGAAAGCTCTAGCCTACAGCTTCAGCCTTGGGTTTCTCAAATTCCAGGCTATCCTCCTAGCAGAGCAAAGCCTCTTTAGATATATCCATGCACTCCTTGTGTCCTCCTACTTACCGTTGCATTGTAGTCAAAACAGATATGGGGACCTTTTCGATACCGTGGCTTGTCTACTAGTTCACACTGATTGGGATCTCCCGGTGGAGCTTTGCAGTGTCAAAGAAAATATAGCACAAGGCAATAAATACACTTGTAGTGATATGGAAGAGGGGGTGGAGTGGGGTCAAAGAAAGGAGCCCTTGATTGTGGAGACTAGCAACCACAAGAACTGCCCTGCTGGATCAGACCAAGGACCTTTCACAGGGGTGGCCAGGTCCTGAGCTTCCCCCTTCCCCTTGGGCCTGATTGGGGGTTGACCAATGATGTCTGGTGAGCCAACTTCAAAGTATCAAATAATATCTGAGTGTCACAGCAATTGCTCCATTTGCACCGTTATAATCTGGCCATGTTTCCACCCAACAAGCACAAAATATTTGCAGAGCTATAGTGCAAGAAACAGGAAAACCATTGTAAAACATGGGCGAGGGATGGACTCAAGAGGCACCAATCATGGAAACACTGGGGGTTCATGACTGCATTGTGTGGATTTACAAGTAAACAAAGCATTACAGTAATGGGAGAAACCAGCAGTGTGGATGTGGCCAATGTCTGTCATGAAATTTTTCACAGGGAGAGGGCAACGGCTTATTCGTATCCACTGCTTTTTGTAACATGTCTATTAATGCTTCATCAGAAAGATACCATGTGATAACTCTCATTTTCAAATTAAATTCACATGAACAGAATCCCACAAGGATCCCTACCTACTGGTAGGCATGAAAGGAAAATAGGCAACCATGTGTAGACAGTACATTAGAAGAGCCTACTAGATCAGGCCCAAAGGCACATTTTGTCCAGCATTCCGTTCTCACAGTAGCTAACCAGATGCCTTTGGGAACCCCACAAGTAGGGCATGAGTGCAGCAGAACTCTCCCCACTCATGTTCCCCAGCAATTGATTTTCAGAGGCAGACCAGATCTGATACTGGAGACCATATACAGCCATAATAATTGATAGCAATTGATATTTTCCATGAATTTGTCTAGTCTCCTTTTAAAGCCATCCAAATTGATGACTACATCATCTTGTGGTAGCAAATTCAATTGTTTAACTGTGTGAAGAAATACTTTATTTTGTCTGTCCTGAATCCTCCAACATTCTGCTTTGTTGGCTAGCCCCAGGTTCTAGTATTATGCAAGAGAGAACTTCCAATTATTTACTTTAATGTTTCTTATGTAACTAACCTGGCTTGTAAGGCCTAATGCTATTGTGACTTTTTCTGGTCTTTTTGCTATTTGAGTATAATTAAGCCATAAATCCAATGGAACCTAGAGTGTGAATGTGTGAGAGTGATTTCCTGTTACAGGGAAGGAAGAGAGTGCTGTGGGAGTGAGAAGCTACTGGAGTGAGTAATCGCCATAACATAACAGCAGCCAAAGCAAGTCTGGGCCTAGCTAACAGGCAATATATAACACTGTGCAATGTACTATCAGCCACCCTAGAGAGAGCCAAGGGCCTATTTGCCAGATAAGAAGGAAGTGTAACTTTTCTTTTGGTTCTGCCAGTGGCAACATGGTTTATGGTTTTATGGTCTCTCTGTCCATGTGACAGTCTAGTGTAGTGAAAATGTGTGGTGACCTTTGAGGTATAAGAACACCCCAAAACTAAAGCAAGTCGGAGATCCACAGCAGACTCTTGAGGCAGGCATGCAGACACCCAGAGGCCCTGGTCTCTCATCAACACATTACACTTGAACCAGCCACCCAGGTTGTGCATTTGTAAGTATGAATGCATGTTAGGTGACTTTATTCATAATTTGAGCATATTGCGGGGTTAAGAGCACTAACTGCTATATTCTGATTAATAGAGCTTTAAATTTTTACATTACAGTGGTACCTCAGGTTAAGAACTTAATTCGTTCTGAAGGTCTGTTCTTAACCTGAAACTGTTCTTAACCTGAAGTACCGCTTTAGCTAATGGGGCCTCCCACTGCTGCTGCGCCGCCGGAGCACGGATTTCTGTTCTCATCCTGAAGCAAAGTTCTTAACCCGAGGTACTATTTCTGGGTTAGCGGAGTCTGTAACTTCAAGCGTCTGTAACCCGAGGTACCACTGTAGAGTGTTTTTCGACTCCACCTTGCCCTGTC